CATGGATCTATACGGGTCTGCACTGGTCTCTATGGATCTATACGGGTCTGCACTGGTCTCTCCCATGGATCTATACGGGTCTGCACTGGTCTCTATGGATCTATACGGGTCTGCACTGGTCTCTCCCATGGATCTAGACGGGTCTGCACTGGTCTCTCCCATGGCTCTAGACGGGTCTGCACTGGTCTCTCCCATGGATCTATACGGGTCTGCACTGGTCTCTCCCATGGATCTATACGGGTCTGCACTGGTCTCTATGGATCTATGCGGGTCTGCACTGGTCTCTCCTATGGATCTATACGGGTCTGTACTGGTCTCTATGGATCTATACGGGTCTGCACTGGTCTCTCCCATGGATCTATACGGGTCTGCACTGGTCTCTATGGATCTATACGGGTCTGCACTGGTCTCTCCCATGGATCTATACGGGTCTGCACTGGTCTCTATGGATCTATACGGGTCTGCACTGGTCTCTCCCATGGATCTATACGGGTCTGCACTGGTCTCTATGGATCTATACGGGTCTGCACTGGTCTCTCCCATGGATCTATACGGGTCTGCACTGGTCTCTATGGATCTATACGGGTCTGCACTGGTCTCTATGGATCTAGACGGGTCTGCACTGGTCTCTCCCATGGCTCTAGACGGGTCTGCACTGGTCTCTCCCATGGATCTATACGGGTCTGCACTGGTCTCTCCCATGGATCTATACGGGTCTGCACTGGTCTCTATGGATCTATACGGGTCTGCACTGGTCTCTCCCATGGATCTATACGGGTCTGCACTGGTCTCTATGGATCTAGACGGGTCTGCACTGGTCTCTCCATACAGGTCCGTGCTGCATGCTCCTGGATCCATACGGGTCCGCGCTGGTCTCTCAAGTCTGGTCTATGCGGTCTCTCTTCGGTCCGCGCTGGTTTCTGTGTGCTGGTCACTCCAGTCTCTCCTCGGGTCTGCATTGGTCTCAGCGCTGGTCCGCGCTGGATCTCCTCCCAGGGTCCAAAATATTTTGAGATTAATCTCAAAACATTTTGAGATTAATCTCAAAACATTTTGAGATTAATCTCATCATATTCTTAGATTAATCGAATAATTTTGCTAGTTCGACTTTATTCTCATAATATTTCGACTTTTAAGTCAAAATTTTATAACTTTATTTATTTATTTATCTGGCAAAAGAAGAAAAAAGGGTGACTCTTTTGCTCCGAGTAACTCTTTGCTTTAGGCCTGTGGCTGTTTCCTCTGGCATCTGCACACGGCCCTGTAGTCCCTTATACTGCGCATTAATGGGCGGTTACCTATGCTAAGTACCTATGCTAATGAATCACCGGGCACGCGCTGTACTTACGAGGAAATGGCATTCATCAATCTAAGAGAACAGCTGTGAACAATTCAGCGCCTTAAGAGCGCGTTGATGAATCCCACGTGGGCTCTTCTTAGAAATCTACTTAAGAACGACTTGAGAAGAAATTTAAGAAGTTTCTTACGAAGTTATTCGTGAATGAGGCCCTCTGACTTCAGCATAATACAGTAGATCTCTACCATAGAAGCTTCATGTTCAGGACAGTTCTCCCAGAAGAACCACAAAAACTCCTTTTAGACACTTTTTAATTCTTTACATTGATGCGGTCTCCTATATACAATACATTTGCTCAGGTTTGTATTTACACTGGAAAGCTCAGCCACATTATTCCTCCATATGTTACTGTGCCAAACCTGGACTCATCTAATCACATTCCAAACAAAACAAACCAAACCCAAAGCACTGAAAACAGACATTCATGAATCAAGGCGTTCGTGATGTGGTGCTGATGCCGTCGTGCTACCCTCGGGTCAACATTACTCGCCACAGTGCTTAAAAGTTGAAGAAAAATACCTTAAATTAGGGTCTAAAAGGGTCTAAATGAGCCAGGGCTGGTCAGGTATGGAAAAATCATCAAAATTCTGCTCAAAAAACAAAAAAGATCTGGTATTTTTGGATCGCTGTGGCCTGAGGATAGCACCAGGGTTTAAAGGAGACGTATTATGCAAAAAAAAAAGGGGCGACAGTGGCTCAGTTGGTAGAGCATTGGCCTTTGGGCCTGAAGGATGTGGGTTCGAGCCCACCGTAAGACCTACTTCACGACTCCCGCTGATGTTGTGTCCTTGGGCAAGACACTTAACCCCACTTTGCCCAAAGCCCCAACTGAAAGATCTCAGCTCCTGTGGACTCAGCACCTGCAGGAGGATCAGTGAGGGGCTGGTGCTATGTGTCCTGGGTGCAGCTCTGACTGCCACCCCCCCGACCCAGAAATGGATTAAGGGGAAGAAAATGGATGGATGGATGGTATTATGCAAAATCGACTTAATGGAGATTTTAAAATATTGTTCCATCATTTAAAAAAAATCGGCCTGGAGTTTTTTTTTTAGACCTACCCACGTTAAAATCGAGAACTTATGACACGAACATGTCTTCTGTCTGTTGCCGCGTTCATGCAATCTCGGAAACTTAGAGGTTCTTCAAAATATTTTTCTTTAAGTCCAAAAGTAAGAGTATACTTTTAGAAGAAAATCCAATCCAGGCAGAAATTATTATAGCCTCCATCACATACATTTTCTAGCCTGGTCTTATCCATCCGTACACTCCGCTCGATCATCATTTCCTGCAGGTAACGTCTGGGTCTGGTCCCTGTGTCTGCGATTACAGTCGGTTGAATTCCATCCGACCAATCAGAGAGCACGGGAGGCGGGTGTTGTAGTTAGTTGTGGGTGACGTCAAGAGTTTGCGTCGAACGGGAAGGTCGTAGTTTGGCGAAAAATGCGATAGTAAAGTATTCTGGTCTGGTTCTATCAAGAAATTGAAGCCGGAGCAAGAGGAGTGTTTAGCTAATGAAATCGCTAGAATAAATTGTGGCGCTACTCCCCACGGGCTCCGTTAGCAGCAAAGGAGATGGCTAAAGCTAGGCTAAATGCTAAATGCTAACGACTCACTCGGGTGCATTACATACGTCACGGTAAACTCAGATCCGATCGTTTCAATCTGCAAAAGGAGTTAACCCCTCCCACCTGTTAACGGAGTCAATGGAGCCAATCCAGACCTTAGTACATAATGTAATTTGTACTATGGTGTGGTACGACCAGGCTATACATTTTCAACGTAACATATTATTTCACTCTCTAAATGATTAATTGATAAAGTAAATGAAGTAAATAGTCTGAGTATAATTTTGAATGGCCATAAATGATGCATAATATGTCTCCTTTAAACTGAAAGTGTGTCTTTTGTGGCACTGCGGGTGGTGCTGGTAATTCAACAACTGTTTCGTGACAAACTTACTCTAGGTGTGGAGTGGAAAAAAACAGCCTTCTCCGAGCGGTTTCACCACATTCAAGCAGCAAAAACAAGAAACACATGAAATGACCATGTTTTAAGGAGTACTTTCATTTAGACTGGACATTAGAATAGAGAGGGTCAGTGCGGGTAAAAGAGACTGGTTTATTCATGTGTCTTGTTTACCCACCCTGGTCCCTGCGTTCAAAAGTTTGGGGTCGCTTCGTTTTGTCCTTCAAAATAAAAGCGCTGTTTTTTTTTTTCCAAAGAGAATGACCTTGAGCTGATCCGAGTTTACATTCCACGATTCTTACGATTCTAGCTGGTGATGAGACTGGAATACCCACACAGTGCATTACCAGCCACAATAACTCCTGTGATATAACGCATAGTGTGTTGTGCTTGATATATTATAAAACTTTAAGCTAGTAGAGTGTCTTCTACTGTTTGTCGCATGGCGCCGGAAAAGATGGCGCCGTGGCAAGAGCTCTGGTGTGTGTCGTCTCTGTCTGGCGCACACCGGGGTAGTCTTGCACAGTTTTTCCAATGTGGTTTTACTGCAAATGGCAAATAAATGAATCTGAATCTGTGTCTGGAGCATGTGTGTGGTCAGTTTTTACGCTTTTCCCATTTCATTTTGCGACTCATTTGAAGAATTACTGGAAAGAACTGGTGGAAAACATGCAATAGTCTGAGGGACCCCAAACGCTTGAGCCGTAATGTACTTTTTTGTCAGACAATCATAAATACTAGTTAGGGTTAGAGACCTGCTGAATGCTAGCAAGAGCAATGACAACAAGGTACATTCTCAGTTTACTGTTGAACTAAATAAGCCATAGTTTATCTGAATGTGTACAATGACATTTCCAAGTCGTAAGTAAAATTCAATCATGTTTTTCACCAAATCGTTGCCTCAGACAAACCATGACATTGGGATTATTCAGAAAAACCGGCTGCAATGACGGAAATCTCTACGTCTTATTGTAAGTTCACATAAACACTGAAGTATTCATGGCACTGAATGACTTTTCCCAACTTTCCCAATTAAACAGGATCCAACGAACAGATTTTCGGCCACGGCTCACAAAGGCAAAGAAGAGGGTGGCAACTCGGTGGCAGCCCCCTCACTCGTTGTCCCGCCAGCAGGGGGCAATGTCTCACAATTCTAAAGATAGTACCGGCAACGGGTGGTGCATTACAAACACAAGTCGCTTTCCTTTTAGGCGTAAAGACGTATATAGTTTCATAAAGTGTTTTTTGCTGTTGTGTTGAACCTATGTAGCCTGGTCTTACCCTACCATCATACTCTTTTCACTTCATACATGTGGGGAAATGATAATTGACCGGAGTTTAGGGATAGCTAAGGCCAGGCCAGGACCTATGTGTGTGTGAACGTCATGTGTGTGTATAGATATTATATTTTGTTTGTTTTGAAAATGGTTTAAAAAATGGTTTAAAGAAGAAAAAAAAGATGGCGGACATTAGAACATCAGGGGTATTCAGATCGTCATATGTGTGTGTGGAATATTCTGGTTGCAAGTATGAAGACATGGCACTACATCCATCCAAAGAAAAAAAGGCAAATCCGTGTCCTACTTTCAGATTCTCATGAGCCTCTACATATGTCGTGGTTTCAGACATGATCTTTCTGGAATAGTTCTTTTTTTGGCGTCCATCTTGATCCGTCAGGTCAGATTTTCATTCCCAGTTTAGCTTTCTGTGAGGACATGACATGGTTAGGATTATAACGGTTATATGTCGTTAAGATTCATCAAAAATCAGGAAAACGTACAATGCCAGTGGCGTGTTTCGGCTTGACGCTGTAGCTAGCCTTCTCCTTGACTTGCCGGAAACTCTCCTCCGCTGCCTTCAGCCTGAAACACACACAGGAGATGAGTTTTGGTTCCTCTGTAAGAAACAAGCTCTTAAATGATATTGAACATATTCATGAATAATGTTCAGGGCATCGCAAAACTCTCTCCCATCGAGTCTGCAAACAACTACTTTAAAATCAATGTGTATCTCTGTGTATGGAGGTACTCTGTGGAACGGTCAAACTGATGAAATTAGCAGGTGAAGGAGAGAGGTGTATGGTCAGGGAGTGTTTGGGCCTGTGTGTGTGTGTGTGTGTGTGTGTGTGTGTGAGTTGTCTTTATTGTTCTTACTGTATGTAGTGTACAGTAAACTTTTGCATAATGCGATTGGTGGATTTAACCAGTATGGTAGGCATGTCCAAACTCAGGCCTGCGAGCCAATTGCGGTCCTCTGTGCCATTTTATACGGCCCTCTGCTGCTAACACAGAGTCGCCATTGATGCACTTTGACAGTGTCATCCAACCAACTTCAGCTCCACCGATACAGTCACGCTATACCTTGTTGTAAATCTCCGTTCCTTAACTTTATTGTCACAACATTCCAAGACAAATGCAGCTGTGATGTGGATCAATGAGGACGTATTATAATCCATTTTGAATTCCAGAATCCAGTCAATCAAGTTTTTTAAACCCAGGCCCCCCGGTCAAGTCACATGAACTAAAGTGGCCCTCTTGCTAAAAAGTTTGGACACCCCTGCAGTCTGGTATTGTTTCTGTCTTGTTGTTTGTCCTGTGTTGTCTGGGTGACTGGGTCTGAGTTTTGCTTCCTCAACCCCTGTAAGTGCTTTTGTTTTCGTGTTTCCTGTGAAAACTATGTGTGCAGGTTTTTAAATAAATAATAAATTCCACTGGCACCTCTCTTTGAGAATGACTCTGTTCTCCCGTTTCCACTGCTCCTTGAGGTCGGAGGAGAACTCGTGCCACACGCTGAAGAAGGTTTGCAGAGACACCTCCTTCTCTCCAGATTTGGCCTTCACCGAGAAGAAGACGGTGAGCTCCAGGAAGCTGCAGATAACTCAAGTTAAAGCCCAGGACTTATATGGATCTGGGACTAATGTGCAGAAAAACACGTACAGAGTGTGTGTGGTGCCGAGCTGCGTCTCCAGAGTTTCCAGCTCACTCTTGGCTAAAAAAAACAGAACAATTTTACATTCTGTAATTATATCCTGCACAGACTATATTTCTCACCTTTTTGTACAATCAAACATGTACATTTCTCCAGTGTGAGATCAATAAAGTCTATTTTATCTGATATTATATTGAAATACACAAGTTTGCCAGCTTTTTCATGTATCAAAATTTTAATAAAAAGTATGATGTATTAGGTAAAAACAATACAAATGGAATAAAAACCATAAAACACCAGTTATGCGACATAAAAATAACAATAAAAACAATAAAACTGAGGACCACTTAAAGTAGAGAAACTTAAATACTGTATATTTAGAAAAGAACCGCCCTCTCCACTTTTTGAACTAAACTCTCTGCTCTTATTGGACGAGCTTGTATCACCGGAATGATTGACACTTGGGAGGACCAATAGTCTTGCTGGTCCACCCGGAAGTAGAAAATCCTCCTGTATACGTAGCTTTAAGTATATTTTTCAAACGTGGCAGAACTCACCTTGTGACAGGAAGTCCTTCATCTTGTCTTTGAAAGGCTGTAGATGCTCCTCGTCCGACACGGAACAAACCTTCTCCACCTCCGCCGTGCACGCTGACACACAGTCACGTTAGTTTTTTTTTTTTTCATACTTTATTGTGTCATCTTCATTAGTTCACACTGTTTTCTTAATACATACAGCTTAACCAGACACATTTTTAATATCTTTTTTTTTTTTTACCCCACTATGCTCCCCTTGTGTCAAAAAATAAATAAAATAAAAAATACACAAAGAAAAACAGAAAAAAAAAAACAAAGGATAAAACAAATCAAAGCAAATCAAATACATAGACAAATAAGGAGAAAGTATGTATATATACGCAAAAATAAAATATATATATACAAAAAAATAAATATAAATAACAATATTAAAGTAAATAAAATACTCTTAACAATAGATGGTTATTCTTATGGCTGTATGTTAAATAGTTTTGATGTTATATTGATAAGTGTACAGAATGTGTAGTCAGTCTTCCTCTGTGACCATTTTTGTTGAATTTATATATACATACACACCTGCACAGATACTCGTTTGCGCACCTATATACTCATGTACATACTTAGATGGTCACTTTTACGTAAATATATCATCGAAGGTGTGCCATTTTCTCCTGAATTCATCTTCCTCATTATTCATTTTGTGTGACAGTTTCTCCATTAGCTGAACCTCTTGAATTGCTTCCATCCAGTTTTGGATTTTGGGGATGCTGGTTGTTCTCCAATTCTTGGTGATTTGTTTGAGGGCGGTTATTCGCATTATCCAGAACAGGTATTCCTCTCTTCTCTTCATTCTCTGAGTTAACATACCCAGTAATAATGTTTTATCGCTGTGTAGGTTTATGTGTCTAAGTACTAGTGTAATATTTGATTTCACCTCGGTCCAATAGTCTTGGATTTTCGTACAAGTCATAAAAATATGTCTGTAGTCCACCTCTTTCTCCCCGCACTTCCTCCAACACTCTCCCAGGTTCTTGTTCTTTGTGTACTTCGAGATTGCTTTAGGTGTTTGGAAGAACCTCAAATGTAGTTTCCAAGCAAACTCTTGCCAATATGGTGATCGTATGTGTGAGTGGTTTGCCTTTATACTTTCGTACCACTTGTCGTTCTCAATTCTTTTGTCTAGTTCATTTTCCCACTTCACCTTGGTTATTTCACTATTATGTTTCTGATGCTCCTGCATTATGGTATATATCTCTTTAATAACTTTATGCTTTTCTCCTTTACTCTTTTGAATTAAGTAACGTATGAGAGCATGAAGTTCATCTACTTGTTTATTATTTGTATTGTTTTTTAGGTAACTTCTCACTTGAAGATACCGATAAAAATGATTCACTGGAATGTGGTATTTTCTTGCAATGTTTTCAAATGAGTCGATTCCTTGGTCATTGTAGAGTTGATGGTATCTTTGCACTCCTTTCATTTTCCAAGTATTGAATCCTTTGTCTGTAAGGTTTGGCTTGAATTGTGGGTCTTGAGTTATTTCTCTGAGAAGGATGGTGTCTTGTTTCATCACATTAAATTTCTTGCATATTTCTTTCCATATCCTCAGCGAGTTGTATACTGTGAAGCTCTTCTCCTTGTATTCTTTAGTTTTAAAGTTGGTGAAGGGGAGGGTGCCAAGTAGTTTGATAATTTTTCCCTCAATCTGTTTCCATTGTGTGTTTTTCTGTGCATTTATCCAATCTAATATTGTTTTCATTTGTGATGCGAGAAAGTAGTTTGCCAGGTCAGGAAGCGCTAAGCCCCCTTTCTCTTTCTCTCTTTGGAGGTTTTTCATTTTTACTCTGGGTTTTTTCCCATCCCAAATAAAACTTCTGAGTTGTCCTTCCCATGCTTTGAAAATGTGTCTGTCCAAATAGAGAGGTAAATTCTGAAAAAGGAAGATGTATCGGGGAAAAATGTTCATTTTTATAAGTTTAACCCTTTCAAAGATAGTTAGGGGGATCATTTTCCATCTGATAAGGTCTCGCTTTATTGATGTGTGGAGGGTATAGTAATTGGTTTCATAAAGTTTATCTAATTTACTTGGTATGTTAACTCCAAGATATTTAACTTTGTCACATGACCATTTGAGTTTAAATTGTTTTTTAAAATCAAGGTCTAGTGGGTCTCCTATCTCCATAACTTCAGTTTTATTGTGATTCAGTTTATAACCAGATATTAGCCCATACAGCCTTATTTCTTCTATTAGAGTTGGCAAGGATTCTTTCCCATTTGTCAAATACACCATGATGTCATCGGCGTATAATGCTAGTTTATGTTCTTCATCGATTGTTCCGCGCGGATCGCCATTGTGCGCTCTCAGGGAAGAGCAGAGGCGGAGGGCTGTGTTTCTACGTCAATACAAACTGGTGTAACGATGTGACAGTGATCTCCAAGCACTGCTCTCCTGCTCTGGAATATCTTTTCATTCATTGTAAACCATATTACTCCCCGCGGGAAATTGTTTCATTCATTCTTGCCTCTGTTTACATACCGCCATGCGCGGATGCGCGCGAGGCTCAGCGCGCACTCGCAGAGCAAGTACTGTGTATGGAACGTTTATACCCGGACTCTCTGATTATTATCCTGGGGGATTTTAATAAGGGAAACTTGAGCCAGGAATTACCCAAATACAGACAGTTTATCAAATGCCCGACCAGAGAGGAGAGAACACTCTGGATCACTGTTACACCACCGTGCGCGGAGCTTTTCGCGCTGTTCCCAAGCCAGCCCTCGGCTTCTCAGATCACTCCATGATACATCTGGTTCCTGCTTACAGACAGAGACTAAAGCTCTCGAAACCTGCAGTGAGGAGCTCCAAAGTGTGGTCTGATGAAGCTGTGGAAGAGCTGCGCGCATGCATGGAATCCACAGACTGGGACCTTTTCAGAGCTGCCACAGACAGTTTGGATGAATATACGGACACTGTGACGTCATACATTCACTTCTGTGAGGATAGCATCATTCCAACAAGGACCAGGGTCATCTACAACAATGACAAACCCTGGTTCACTGCTAAACTCCGGCAACCCCACAGGGCTGTGTTCTTTCTCCCCTGCTCTTCTCCCTGTACACCAACCACTGCACCTCCAGCCACGACTCCGTGAAGCTGATCAAGTTCGCGGACGACACCACCCTCATTGGACTCATCTCCAACAACGATGAGTCCGCCTACAGGAGGGAGGTGGACCGGCTGGTGTCCTGGTGCAGTGGTAACAACCTGGAGCTGAACGCCCAGAAGACAGTGGAGATGATTGTGGACTTCAGGAAGAGCACTGTCCCCCCGCCCCCACCCTCCCTGATGGACTCCCCCATCACCTCTGTGGAGTCCTTCCGTTTCCTGGGCACCACCATCACCCAGGACCTCAAGTGGGAGCCGACCATCAGCTCCCTCATCAAGAAGGCCCAGCAGAGGATGTACTTCCTGCGGCAGCTCAGGAAAGCCAAGCTGCCTGCACAGATGTTGGTGCAGTTCTACACGGCCATCATCGAGTCCATCCTCACCTCCTCCATCACCGTGTGGTTCGCTGGAGCCACAGTCAGGGACAAACAGAGACTACAGCGCATTGTGCGCTCTGCAGAGGAAGTGATCGGCCGCAGCCTTCCATCGCTGCAGGACCTGTACGTTGCCCGAGCTCGAGGCCGGGCTGGTCGTATCACAGCCGACCCCTCTCACCCTGCACATGGACTATTCCAACCACTCCCCTCAGGCAGGAGGCTGCGGTCCATCAGGACTAGAACCTCCCGCCACAAGAACAGTTTCTTCCCCTCTGCTGTTGGACTCTTGAACACTTCGTAACCTGTCCCCCCGCCCTTTATAAAGTCACTTTACTGCCCATCATACGTCACTTTACTTCACTGTACTGCTGTCACCTTACATTGTGTGCACCATGTGCACTTGTATATTGTAAATAGTAACTGTAACTCTATTTTAAATTTAAATTTATTCTTTAGAAGTGTTTTTTATTCTTATTTTTATTATATCTTTTTGACTGTTGCACTGAGCCAAAGCAATTTCCAAGTCTGTGACCTCCTGTTACTTACGTTGGCAATAAAAATGATTCTGATTCTGATTCTGATTCTGATGACCGTCACTCCTTTTATTGTTCTATTCATCCTAATCCTTTCTGCTAGTGGCTCAATGCACATGGCAAAAATCTGTGCAGAAATGGGGTCCCCTTGTCTTATTCCTCTTTTTAAATTAAACGTTTCTGAGAGCAATCCATTTGCTTTAACTCTAGCTGTAGGCGTGGCATACATACACTTCATTAGATTTATGAAAGCTTCACGAAATCCAAATTTCTGGAGTGTAGAAAATAAGAAGGGCCATGTTACGCGGTCAAAAGCTTTTTCTGCATCCAGTGTCAGGATGAGTGTTTGTTGTCTTGTCTTTGTTGCGTGATCTATAACATTGATGGTCCTCCTGACGTTATCGCTCAGGAGTCTGTCCTTAACAAAACCAGTCTGATCCAAATGGATTATTTCTGGTAAAATGCCAGACAGTCTGTTGGTTAGTATTGAAGTAAATATTTTATGGTCCACATTTAATAGGGATATTGGGCGGTATGAAGCGCATCTTTGTGGGTCTTTTCCTTCCTCACGTTAGTTTGAGATCTCAGGCCGCGTTCACATTTGTTGTTCTGGGTCTGGGTTGGTCCGGTTAAAGTGATCCGGACCAACACATGTGAACGCGCCCTCAGTTTGCTCTGAAAACATACGCTTCTAGACCTATTTCTAAATCTGCACCTGAAAGCATTTGGTTTAAAACAATAGCCTGTGTATGGATGGACAATGCTAAGCTGCTGGCTCAATGAAACCCAATAGGGAAGTGCTTGTGGACAAAGTTTGGCTCCTGCTCGCTCTGGCTCCCATTGACTTACATAAACTCCTCCAGCTCCAGAATCTCTGTGATTTTGGAGTTTATATTATGTATTCTTTTTTGTGTTCATAAATCCAGAGCCATAAAATGACCACTCAGATAGCGTCATTCCCGGGAAAGAGCTATCCCCATCAAGAGTACAAATGACCATATAAGGAAATCGGCTCCAGCTAGTTTTTGTTCAACTCGACTTCTACCTCTTATATCCTTGCGAAGTCTCAACAGGTCTTTCTGGAAATCTTCAAACTTCATCTGTGAGGCCTGGAAGAGCTCATGAGGCTCGGGAAGAGGATAAACACAGGTCTCTCGGCCGGCGTCCTGCGAATTCACACAAGAGAAGAAGTCACAAATACTGATATGATATCCAGGGATCATATTTATCATTGTATTGAAAGAGCAGGCGTGTCAAACTGAGGCCCGTGGACCAAATCCGGCCCGCGAGACCATTCTTAGTGGCCCCTGAAATGGAATGGGAAACTGTGGCATCTATCCATCCATTTTCTTCCCCTTAATCCAGTTCTGGGCCTTGGGGGGGTTGGCAGTCAGAGCTACACCCAGTACACAGAGCACCAGCCCAAAGGAAACTATGGCATGTTATACTTCATTTTAAAGCCTATTATCTCATGAAAAAAACCACAGAATTTAATATTTTCTAAATTGTTAACTATAGTTACTTTAAAAAAAAAATCTAATTATCAATATTTCAATACATCTCTTCTTGATATTTTGCCCAGCTGTGGTTGAATCCAAACCTACTGGAAAATTAGGTCCAAACTCATGCAATAATTCATCAAAAATATATAAAAGTAAACAGCATTGTCAAGTGCGTTCACATTTGTTGTTCTGGGTCTGGGTTGGTCCGGTTTAAGTGAACCAGACCAACAGACGAATGCTTCTAGACCTATTTTATGCCACTTTTATGCATAAAATAGCGGGTTTGGGGCCACATGAGTCTGACAAATGGCTGCTCATACGTTCTCTGGACATACCTCAGTGAAGTGTTGGAGGAAGTACCTGACGATGTACGACAACAGACTCTTGCTTCCGTCCTGAGACAAAACACATTTCATTTGAACCTACTTTACATATTTTCAAACTCTTTACTGTTGTATTCAAAGCCGTACGTACGCAGCTCTTCACGTCTTTCAGTTTGGGAAGGATTTCGAGAGTGAAACCGTCGGCCTGACCGCGGGTCCGGTTCCCGCCGTTCATGAAGTTTCCAAAGACCAGGACCAAACCCAGGACCTGCTTCACGGTCTCACAGTCCTTCAGAGCCTGCAACACATGGAGTCGAAGTCGAGGCGTGGTTGGATTTAGGGCTATAGACACGTTTTTTGGGCATTTCCGGTTTACTTCCTGGTTTTGGATCCCCATTTCCGGTTTCAGTTCAAACACTGCTTACAGATGTTCTTTTCCGACGTATATAATATGTCTCGGATATGGCTGCATTTAGCAAAATCTCTTACAGAAGTTGAGCTATACACAATTCCTCATCCAACTACAGTAATGACAACATTCCACAACAAAGATTCCACCTGTACCTTCATAGCAACAAAGTGTTACCAATAAAGGAACACAGCCCTTTCTTGTTTGCGTTTTTCTGCATCCATTTTAAATTCTGAGGACGTAGAATGATCCTCTCTCTTTGGTCTGATCTGTACTTGTTTAAGCCGCATTTAGCGCTAACCGGAAGCGGAAAACGGAACAGAGGCTCAATGGCTGCGCCCATGGTTCCCCCCAGAAAACTTGTCTATCCGAGAATGAATTGTGTAGTATCGTAATGGGCTGTATGCACGGGGAGGCGTGACGTCATTTCCTGTCAACGCAGATCAGCCCGTTCACTTCCTGTCTATGCTATTCTACGGCATTTAGGTGAGTTTTAGTGACGTTTTTTAGTAATTAGATTGATACTTTCAGCTGAGACTGACCCAAAAGTGTCACTGTGCTTTCTCTCTGAGGTAGAGCTGTGACTGTGGCCACTCAGAGAGATTTGTAAACTTTATAACAACACAATGACAGCACAATCAAAGAGCACTGCTGTGTCCCAAAAATGCCCAGTATCCTCACAGTTTAATTCCCGTTTTAGCATTATTTGGGAAACTCGTGTAAACCACTGCTGAACTCCAGTGAAACTCAAGCCGTTTCCCGCGAACAGGAAGTGAGGTGGGGCTTTAGCTGAAACGCGGAAGTGGTGCATAGAGGCCATAGTATTGTAAATTGTCATAGGCTAAGATAATTTTTTTTGCTTTTTATCAAGTCCTTTTCTCTAGGAGACAATTAAATCACGGTAATAACATGTTCATCTGGGATAGAATTTGTTTTACTTTTTTATTTACAATTATTTTTCATACATCTTTTGTATGTTTTTGCCTTTTCTTGTTTTGTCGTCTGTTATCTTGGCTTTTGTTGTTTTGTTTGTGTCTTTCTATTGTGTATTGTCCCTATGTGTGTTTACTGTGTGTGATAAGCACATAAATATAATAAAAACTCCTAATAATATTAATAATAATACATCGTACATATATGGCGCTTTTTGGGACGCTCAAAGACGCTTTACAGAAGAACAAACAAGAAACTAAATAAAAAGCTCAAATTAAATAAGTGTAGGCAGTTTTGAACCTAACCTAAGCCCTTTCCCCATTGGTCTAACTATGCTTCCACTGAAAAACATGCATAATTATAAAAATGAAAGTTGTGTGACATCACTTAGAGTCAACATTTCTCCTTAAAGGGTAGTGTTGTTCCTCACCGTGCACACTCTCTGCAGAATCTCCAGCTTCCTCATCAAAGAGCTCATGCACTCGGTGAAACTGCTCTGGAAGAGGATGCAGAAGACTCGACCGGAGAAGTTTGGGACCAGAGACAGTTCGTACAAAAACCTGCAAAAGTGGAGCACGCGGTGAGACGGGGATGTGTTTTAGTCTCTCCACTTTGTTTGGCCATAAATGTTTCATATTCCCCCAAAACAGACCACTCCGGGCGCTATCATAAAGCATCACTCTGTTTTATATCAACAAAAAGGCCATCGTCAAACCATTATATGTTCTGGTAACTTGTAAGTAAGTAAGTAATGTTTATTTATAGAGCGCATTTTACAGACCAAGGTCTCCCAAAGCACTTTACAAAGTTAAAAAGTTCAGATAATGTTCCATTCTCTCCACACGGTGACGACAGAAGCGAGACAAGAACACACTGGACCATCAAAGCCTCCGACCAAACACCCTCCATTCACTCACTACATTCATACCTATTGTGCATGTTTTTAGTGGTAGGGGGAAAAGGAGCGCCTGGAGGAAACCTACACAGACACGAGGGGGAGAACATGCAAACTCCACTCAGAAAGGCCCTGTTCCGACTGGGCTTCGAACCCAGGGCTGTCTTGCTGAGAAGAGAGAGTGTTAACCACTCAGCCACCATGTCATGGAATAATTGTTGTTGTTTTTTGCGTCTGCCCAAATAATAAAATATGAACTGAAAACTGAAACCAGTGTTCATAGTTTTACACTGGTCCAGACCAGAGCAGAGAGGATTCATGGTTTTACACTGGTCCAGACCAGAGCAGAGAGGATTCATGGTTTTACACTGGTCCAGACCAGAGCAGAGAGGATTCATGGTTTTACACTGGTCCAGACCAGAGCAGAGAGGATTCATGGTTTTACACTGGTCCAGACCAGAGCAGAGAGGATTCATGGTTTTACACTGGTCCAGACCAGAGCAGAGAGGATTCATGGTTTTACACTGGTCCAGACCAGAGCAGAGAGGATTCATGGTCCAAACCAAGCGGCTCCATCTCTGCTGCTGGGACCTGAAGAACTGATGTATTTTATTATTACTATTCTAGCTTTTTAGAACACTCAATTTATTTGTTTTGTTGTTTGGATGGATGTGTTTTTGCTGCTGCTGGACACCTGCATTCCTCCTACACGGATCAATAAAGTGTCTATCTTTCTAAATCCAAAGGTTGTAATAGCCTCTCCGCAGATGTGACGATACCGATATTATCATAGACCCATGGACGGAACTCACTGCTCGGGTTTGTCCAGAGGCTTGTTACTGTCCTTGGAGCTCTTCACATGTTTTTGAATCTTGTCCATCTCGTCCTGCTGTGCCCTCTGTCCCAAACAAAAACACAAATCAAACAGTGAACGTCTTCCATTGAGCCGAGGACACGTTCCAGAGAGTTCTCACGTTCTCGTAAAGCGCCTGTAGCGTCTCCAGATCCACCACAGCGTTGTCCAAGTTGAGCACAGCTGCAGAAAGAACAGAACCAAACAGTGAATCAAAAATACAGGTGTTTTTGTATCGCACTTTTCCAAACTCACCGTGCTGGATGTCCTTCATATCCAAATGCAGCGACGACATGAGGATCCCTACTGCCTGAGAGCGCTTGTTGTTAAGCAGTTTTACAACCTGGAATAGAATAGTGACTAAGGAATCTTTTTTATATGGCGCATTTCACAAACCAAGGCCACACCGAACGCTTTGAATGTACCAGTCAGTCCCATTCACTCCACACACAGTCATGACCGAATCCATTCCCTCTCTCATTACATTCAAACCAACATGTTTATAGGGGGAAAAGGGAACCGGTGCACCTGGAGGAAACCCACACAGTTGTTTTGCCGCAAAAGAATCCTCAGAATGATACACACACATGCAATGGCCTCGAGACGGAGCTAAATGTTTATATTTAATTGAATTTATAAGACATCAGTGCATCAGTCCATCCTGAAACTAAATGAGGAGCTTAAATCATAAATCGAACCGGGTTTTAGTGAAATGTCTGTGTGAATGTCTGCTGAACTGTGCAAAACAAATTTCGGACCCTTGTGACTGACATAAGTATTTATATCTCTATACGTATCTATTATCTACTATCTATCTATATCTATTATCTATTATCTACTGTGAACAAAAATCTTTAAGGTATACAGGAGGATTTTCTACTTCCAGGTGGATCATCAAGACTATGCTAAGACCAGAGAGTTTTCGAAAAGCAGAGAGGGCGGTTCTCTTTCCTAAAATATGTCAAAGTATGAACTCTGACAAATGCTTTCTGCCTGTGACTCCTTGTGCTACCACCAGAGGGAGCAGTGGAACTTCGTAAAAGCTCAAAAACGTGGAGGATATGTCTCCTTTAAGTCCCAGAACACTTGATTCTTCCGTCGTTCTTGAGCACTGACCTGTTTGGCTTTGGATTTGGTGATGGTGTCAGAGAGCGGCTGTTTCTTGACCTTCACTGCGCTCTTCGAGAACAACGCGACAAACTCATCGAAGTCCACCTCAGGCTCCTCTATAGTCTCCCACACGGATGACAGGACCACTTCTCTGGAAAAACATACAATCATTATGGTTTATTAAGCGGTAAAATGCTACGGTAGCTTTCTCGCCTAACTGTACTGTAGGCCTTAATCTGAAGTGTGTTCACTCTTCTCTCTGTATATTTTCAATTGTGAAGCGCTTTGTGATCCTGGTCTGTGAAAGGTGCTTCATAAATAAACTCTACTTACTTACTTCTACAGTATATTGTGGCTTCTACGCTGACTGCCGTTTAAGTTTAAGTTTAAGTTATTAAGGACAATGTGCAGTTACATTAAAAAGATGGCTGCACCAGATTTAGCACCAGCTACTTTCCATCTGTGGTCCTTCCCAACACAACCATAGAACTTATGTAGTACAGGATTACATATAATTAACATTTAGCAGCGAATGGAGAATGTGCAGAGGCAGATTTTCACAATATTTATGTCCAAAGTTGAAAGTCACTGATTCAGGTCAGAGCGATGAACGATGTCGGTGTAAAAACAGTTCTTACTTTTTGACGTTGAGTTGAATCCTGGTCCAGTACAACGGCTTCATGGGTTTGGGAGGCTCCACCACAAATTTCCGAGGCGGCTTTTCCTGCATCAAACCCAGAGAGTAGAGTCCCAGAGGAAGAGGAGGAGGCAGGGAGCCCAGAGCTGTCGGGAGAGGAGGAGGTACACACAGTGCACCTGGAAGACCTCCACCTGGAAGAGGAGGAGGAGGAGGAGGGGGAGCGGCACCAGGGAGAGGAGGAGGAGGAGGAGGGGGAGGGGGAAGGGGAGCGGCACCAGGGAGAGGAGGAGGAGGAGGAGGAGGAGGAGGAGGGGGAGCGGCCCCAGGGAGAGGAGGAGGAGGAGGAGGAGGAGGAGGAGGAGGAGGGGGAGCGGCCCCAGGGAGAGGAGGAGGAGGAAGAGGAGCACCGGGAAGAGGAGGAGGAGGTGGAGGAGGAGGAGCAGCTCCGGGAAGTGGAGGAGGAGGTGGAGGAGGAGGGGGAGCACCTCCAGGAAGAGGAGGAGGGGGAGGAGGAGGTGCAAATGTCCCGGGGAGTGAAGGAGGAGCTCCAGGAAGAGGCGGCGGTGGAGGAGGTGCGAATGTCCCGGGTGGTGGAGGAGGGGGGGCGAGAGCAGACAGTACTGTAGCAGGAGGTGCAGGGCCTCCTGTGAGCTCTCTCTGACAGGAGCAGTAAGCAGCAGCAGCAGCAGCAGGAGCAGCAGGAGCAGGCCGCAGCAGGAGGTCTGAGGAGTCCGGGGGCACTTTGAAGCTGAAGGAGTTGTCGATGGGAGAGGTCTGCACGGACTTGACCTGAAGGCAGCAGGGGGAGGTCTGGAGGTGGGCATCACACTGGGGCAGGAGGGCCGGCTCGCTCCCCCCACACTCCCGCTCCACAGTGATGATGTCCAGCAGGGGGGGCTGTCGCTCCAGCTCAGCGATCTTAGTGCGGAGGTCCTCGATGGTCTGCTCCAGCTGCTGGATCACAGTCACGTGCTTCTCCTTCAGGTGCGCCGCCTTCAGCACACTCTCCTCCTGAAGACAGTTTCAGAACTAAGTCAACCGCTCAGTTTTCACAAAGACAGAACTATAGACTGCACCATGAACACTATAAAACTGCATTTATTATTCCATTCCATTCCATTTTCTTCCGCTTCATCCGTTGCCGGGTCGCGGGGGCAGCAGTCTAAGCAGAGACGCCCAGACTTCCCTATCCACACACACTTCCTCCAGCTTGTCCGGGGGGACCCCAAGGCGTTCCCAGGCCAGCTGAGAGACATAGTCCCTCCAGTGTGTCCTGGGTCTTCCCGGGGCCTCCTCCCGGTGGGACGTGCCCTCCCACCTCCCCAGGGAGGCGTCCAGGGGGCATCCTGAACAGATGCCCGAGCCACCTCAACTGGTTCCTCTCGACGTGGAGAAGCTGCGGCTCTACTCCGAGCTCCTCCCGTGTGACTGAGCTCCTCACCCTATCTCTAAGGGAGCACCCAGCCACTCTGCGGAGGAAGCTCATTTCGACCGTTTGTATCCGCGATCTCGTTCTTTCTGTCACTACCCAAAGCTCATGACCATAGGTGAGGGAGGGAACGAAGATTGACCGGTAAATCGAGAGCTTTGCCTTTCGGCTCAGCTCCCTCTTTACCACAACGGTCCGATACAGCTCTGACTGCAGACGCTGCTCCCTCTTTACCACAACGGTCCAATACAGCTCTGACTGCAGACGCTGCTCCCTCTTTACCACAACGGTCCGATACAGAGACCGCATCACTGCGCACGCTGCACCGATCCGCCTGTCAATCTCACGCTCCATCCTTCCCTCACTCGTGAACAAGCCCTGGAGACTTGAGGTAGGACCTCTCCAGGTGCTAGGCTCAGGAGGTAGTAGGCATTTATTATTGTCTTGATTTAAAACTGTTCTGATTTAAAACTCTCTTTACATCACACATGAGGCTGACATGACACACCTGGACCTCCTGCGGTGCACAGCTGGATGTGTGCTCTGAAAAACACAACACACATGGTTTTTATCAGCAAAATGTACCAGAGACATACAGTGTGTACTCAGCAAAATACTAGTTTATGTCCAGTTGAAAGAAATACATACAACAACCATGATCTGTCTGTTCGAGCCTGTATCAGTGTAAAGACATGTGACATTGTGGTCTGCAGGTTAAAAAATCATAAATCTATCTATTTATCTTTAAACCGTATGTACCATAAACTGTATTCCACACACTATAGCAACTTTCAAATGTCATTGAAATGTTGCTGTTTTTACATTTCTGGTGATGCCCTCAGGAAAAATCAGAATCAGAATCATGTTTATTGCCATGTAAGTAACAGGAAGTCTAGGAAATGGCTTTGGCTCTCGGTGCATCAGTCAAAGAAGAGAAGTAAAGAATTGAGTAAGGCATAATAACAATCAGCATATACACTTCTAAGGTATAAAATATAAGAATATGTAAGAATGTAAGGACCAAAAGGCTGTGATGATGGTGGTGAGGGCTCTACCGGGCTCTGTGCAGGTGCTGGGCCTCCTGCTGTCCACTCCGGGGCGGACTGAGTTGAGGGCGGCTCGGAGCTGTCCTTTCACCTCCAGCGCCTCCAGAGAGAGCGGCGGCTGGCTCACTGCTGCCCAGGTGTACAGCCGGTCGTGCTGCGGACAGAGAGAGGGTTTAAGGCACAGAACTGAGATAGAAAGATTCCACGAACACTCAGACGAACACGCAACCCACAAAGAGTAAAGATACATAATAAATAGATATTGAAGTGAAAACACTCAGAGTCACAATAATGTGGGTAAAGAGGGTAATAGGATGGACTGAGCAGGAGATTTGTATTTAGAATAAATTTACCACGTTACATGATTATGCAGTTTTATTTGGATTATTTAACATACAATAACATATTGTACAACAAAGTTACTGCAAAGAAACGTTTAGTTAGCATGATATTCGTTACTATTCTGGAGAAATAACCTGGAACATTATGAAGGAGTTTGAGCTGTGCTTTACCTTCAACGTTATTAACTGTCTATTTCCTGTCTATAAGCAGAACTCTCATACAACATTTAATAAAACAGCTATAATGTTTCAGGAGCAGAGGAGGTCATGTGACCTGCACGTGGTGTGAGACTCTGTCACTTACATGGAACTTGGCGGTTGTGGGCAGCTGCCCCATGCTGTCCCCCAGAGGTTCTCTGAAGCAGTCAGTGAAGGGCTGCAGGAGGCCCAGAGCCAGGATCTTGGAGCAGAGCTGCTCGGCCTCCTCTGGCTGCTCCTGCTGCTGCTGATTGAAAAGCTTCTCCAAGAGAGTCCGTCCTGAACACAGACGCAGCCGAGTTTTCATGAGAACGTGAAAACTCGTTCTCATGAAAACTCGTTCTCCTGAAGCCTGAAGAGCCTTCTGAAACCCTCACCTGTGAAAATGTCCAGGTACGAACTGCTCTGTCCACAGGAGGACCTCCTGGTGGGGCAGAGAGGCTGGCTTCCTCCTCTCTGGGCCTCAAGGAAATCTCGAGATATCCCAGAAACGTCATCGTGCTCCCGTGAGCCCCTCAGCTCCTCCGTCCAGTCTGCAGATCGACTCAGGGGCCTCCCACTGCTCCGAGAGCGCTGCTTATGAAGTCTGCGGCTTTCTACGAGTGTCCTGCATCAAACACATGGTCAGTGGGACAAATGTTCTTAAATACATTTAAACTGAAGCCTTGGTGTAGCATGTAAGATACCTGTGAAGCATGGGGGTGTCCCGTCGGGGCGACAGCGGGCTGTGGGAGGGGGAGTGTCCCGGGGAGCTCAGCTGTCTTGTGGTGGTCTTGATGTACGAGGGGATGATGGCGGGATAAGGTTTCACTACAGGACTGGAGCTGGGCTGACTGGCCCTGAGGCTTCTCTTTGCTGTGGAGGGGCTCTCGTGGGGGCTCAGAGGACTCCAGTGTGGTGGAGTAGAGGGGGCCGTGTGGTCAGTCACATAAATGTTGTGGTCAGACTCTGCACTGACACTGTCTAGAGACTCAGCACTGGTCCCTGAGTCCACGGGACCCCTGGAGCTGAGGGCTTCCCCAGGACCCTCCTGACTGATGCACGGCTCTGTGGTGGCAGCCCCCCACTCCTCACACTGTCCCAGTTGCTCCTCTAGAGCTGCTTCATCAGCACTGACCGACGTGGTTGTCATGGTGACTGCGCTGCCTGTGGACCCCCCATGTGTAGTCATGGTAACAGTGGGTGCTGCCCAAACAGGGGCCTCTGTGTCTTCCTCAGTCTGTGCCACATCCTCCTCTGGGGAGTGTTTCTCCTGAGTGGGCTTCAGTGTCTCCACACTGTCCTCAGGAGACGGTCCTGGACCCGCCTCCAGGAAGGACAGAGCATCAGAGCCTAACTCCAGCTCAGGAGTCAAGTCCAGGACTTCTGGAGGTGTGAGGTAGACAGCTCCGTTGGTCTGCCTCTCGTTGCCCGCTCCCAGGCCCCGCTCAGTGTCTGGGTCAGTGGGGGTGTGGGCACTGCTCCGGACCCCCCCATGCTGGTGCTGGAGGCGGATGGTGAGCTGGATGTCAGCGAGCAGGTCCTGGTGGTCTGTGGCCGAGTGAAAGCTGTAGATGTCAGTGTCAGAGCCCGAGCTGCCCCCTTTGGGACCTCCCTCCTGACCTTTCTTGCCTCGAGTCTCTTGAGCGAGACCCTCGTTGTCAGACTGCCCCAGCTCATCAGCGGACAGGTCTGGGGTCTTGCTGGGGTCCTGAGTGTGCTGTGGACTTGCCAACACATCTTCTCTGGAGCCATTCACCGAGGAACAGCCTTTGCCTTTAAGCTGGCCTCTCCTTTTCCGAATAGAAAACACAGACTTGGATTCTGATTTGTTTTTCCTCTTGTTGGTGGCAGTACCGTGTGGACCCCCTCCTCCCTGCTTACCATGGAGCTTCTTCCCTCCTTTACGCTCTCCTGATAAGTCCTTAGTTCCATCTTCTAGAGAAGGATAATTGCCATTGGCTCTGCGCTGCTTTGCCTCCTGGTTTCCCATGCTGACGTTAAGAGGCAAACACCGGCTGGTGGCTCAGGCCATGGTGCCTCTCCACCACGGTGCTTCCTGGTGCTTAGCTCTGGTGGTCTGCAGCTGATGCTGTGATGCTAGGCTGCTGGTGATCTGCTGATGCTCCTGTGACGAGGCTGTGAGGCTGTGATGCTGTTACTGATGTAGGAACCTGCCTCTGCATCCCCACCCCCAATGCTGCTGAGAGAGAGCCGGGGCTCAGTGACTGGTACAGCCGCTGAGGAGGAGCACAAAGGCCTGTGATGGGAGGAGATGCTGCTGGAGGAAGAGCGCAGGGAGGGGGAGCTCTCTCACAGCTCTGACTACATTTCCCATCACACTCAGGCTTCAGCATACATTACCCAGAGTGCACTGAGAGCTCAGTCTTAAAGCCCCAGAACAGAGCGACTGTCCTAGTGTCTGCAGACCTACAGGACACTCGATCCAACTTGTTTATGCTTTTGTACCGTCTCTGGTGGAATCACAAGAACGTAAAGTCACACGCTGCAGGAGCAAAACAAAGAGCATCCACAACACACGGGATGCACTGCCCCCGTGTGACAGGAGCAGGAACTGCATCAGACAGACGCTACAGTGGATCTCAGATATTGACAGTGGTTTTTAAACTTATCTTTTGCCCATTTTGTCTTTTCGTCACGTTAACGATCACAGACACTGATTTTTTTTCTTTTTTGAATTTTCACAATAAAGTAAAACACAACTGAGACATGAAAGAAAAATGGTACTTGATTTTTTTTAGTTTAGTTTTTTTCTTTAAAAATGGGGCGTGCACGTGCAGTCTGAGCACAGCCTTGAACATGACTCCTGAATCTTTCACTAACGGTTCCCTAATGTGTCATTTACTCACTTAATAATCACAACTGTTGGTCACTATAAACAGCAACATAAACCCAGAGGTCATGAAGTTACATTACGGCCGTCCACCTTCCCTCTCCGCCTGTAGACACCGGAATACAAACTGTGGAACTCTGGGAGGAGGCTCAGCGTATGTACAGATGAATGTGCAAAACTTTCAGTCTCTAGATGTGTAAAGTATTAACTCATGCTGTTTGATTACTTATGCAAGCTCCTCTTTTCAGTTGTGCTTGTTTTTTTATTCTTGAACTTCAAACTGTGTTAATGCAGACTAGAAGATGTGGCGGTTAGCATCATATTTATTATATTTCAGCCCAATTACTAATAAAATACTGACATTTTAGTATTTTATTAGTGATTTGGAGATGGGCTGACTTTGAACAGCATCTTTATATACTCATAATCATAATGAGCCATATGTTCTTAGTAACCAAAAGGTATAAATTAATTAAATATAGTAAATAAATACTGTGGAATATTATCCTTGAGCGGAGAGACAACTGACTGCTGTGGCGTGATTGTCTGTCCCCGGTTTGTGGAAATGTGCAGTGATGGATCATGAATGGCTACTCTCATGAGGACATTTATCTATTTTATTTTTTGAGGAGGAGTGGGATTGGGACTGATTACTGTGAGTATGGAAAGATCTGAAGTTTCTGAAGGAGGTCCCTACATGGCTCTGGGGTTTGTAAGATGCCTGAAAGACATTATTTTTATACACCTGAGAACTTCTTTGATCCGGCTTGATAACAAATATGTGATACATTTAGTGGAACATTGTGTGAGTTGGTCTTACATTTCTTTTTTAGGTCTGGGCTTTGAATTGATTGAATAGTTCAGCCCTGCAGAAAGTCTGAAAATAGAGTGAAAGGACAATTTGCAAATATGAGTCTGTGGAAAAGTCCATTCATTCCTAAACTGTGCGTGTCTCCGTCAGCCGCTTAAACCAGAGTCAAACCAGAGCCAGGAGTCTCTATCTGCGGAAGGCGGCTCGTGCCTTCTTGCGCTGGCTCCACTGGCACAGCAGGATGTCCCTGAAGGTGTCTCTGAAGGTCTTGTTGCACAGAGCGTAGCACATGGGGTTGATGGTGCTGTTGACGTAGCAGAGCCAGTAGCCCAGGGCCCACAGAGTGTCGGGGATGCAGCCCTGGCAGAAGGTGTTCACCAGGACCATGATGTTGTAGGGCAGCCAGGTGGTCACGAAGGCCAGGAGGATGGCACTGAGAGTCCGCGCCGCCTTCTTCTCATTAGCCTTTTTATTATCGGTCTTTCTTTTGTTGATCTCACTCTTAGCTTTAGACGCCATTCGTTTGGCCACCGCTGCTTCCTTGATGCTGATGGACGGAGCCCTGCTCTCCTCTGGAGAGTGCTGCTTCTCTTGGCTCCTGGGTTTGTCTGAGGAGAGGGAGAAGCAGAGAGTGAACAGACAGGAACAACAAATGTAGCTCATACTTTAGGTCGTTTCTAAATATCTAAACAATCCTATGTGATCAAGGCTAAGGCTCTTTGAGAAAAAAAAGTAGTTTGTCAGTGCACAAGGTGCTGCTCTGACCTGGGGCAGACGGGGGTCCGGCTCCTTTGTCCATAGATGGTCTGTTGACATTGTCAGGGCTGCCTCGCTCCATCGCACCCACTGCTCTAGAGGACAGAGGAGGGAAAGGGCAGCAGAAGGCCCTCACAGACCGGCCCTGGGTGGACCTCTCCATGGTCTGGTTCAACTCCACGCTGCTGCAGCTCTGGGAGCTCATCTGCCTCAGCATGCCCCCCTCTGTGCGTGGGGGTCTCGGGGCAGATCCCGAGGCCTTCAGACCCTGCACGTCTTTGGCCCTCTTCTCTGTTTCCTGGTAGATCCTCCAGAAGAGCACGCTCATGATGGACACAGGGAGGTAGAAGGCGGCGATGGCTGTGCAGAAGGTGATGATTGGCTCTGATAGGAACTGTATGTAGCACTCTGTGGGCTGCACGGTCCGCTCTCCTACGATGTACTGCCAGAACAGGATGGCAGGGGCCCACAGAACCAGAGACACCGACCAGGCCAGACAGATCATCACCATCGCCCGCTTTGTGGTGCGCTTGGCCATGTACGTCAGAGGGCGAGTCACCGAGAAGTACCTGAGCAAACAGAGTATTATATTAAAGACAGCAACATGTCATCAAAAATATGTCAAACCTTTTTCAAGTTACAGTGTTTGACCTTTTTGAGGCAACAACAGCCTCAGCATTCCTGAGTTGACAAAGATGAAGCTAATACAAAAGTTCAGTTTAGACGTTATCGTCTCCTGCCTTCTCCCCAGTCCTCCTCCCACTGTGCCATGTCCATCACATCTAAATAAATATCCTTCTCTGTCATTCTTTATGCCAATCAAGCGGCAACCAAGTCACTTTATGCAAACATTTAGGAGAATAAATGATGGAGAAGGAAAAGAACATGTGCTGTGAGTCTCACCTGTCAAAGCTAATGACCAGCAGGTTCATGACAGAAGCGTTGCTCGCCACATAGTCGATGGCGAGCCACACGTCGCACACCAGAGGCCCCAGGGCCCACTGGTCCATGATGATGTAGGTGGTGTAGAGGTTCATGGAGAGGGTGCCAATGGTCAGGTCTGCGAAGGCCAGGCTTAGGAGGTAGTAGTTGTTCACAGTTTTCAGAGCTTTATTGATTTTGAATGAGACCAGAACAAGAATATTCCCCACAACAGTGACCAGGGACAGCGAGCCGGTCAGGAACACGATCATGATCACCTGCAAACACATTTAAGTCAGGAACACGATCATGATCACCTGCAAACACATTTAAGTCAGGAACACGATCATGATCACCTGCAAACACATTTAAGTCAGGAACACAATCATGATCACCTGCAAACACATTTAAGTCAGGAACACGATCATTATCACCTGCAAACACATTTAAGTCAGGAACACGATCATTATCACCTGCAAACACATTTAAGTCAGGAACACGATCATGATCACCTGCAAACACATTTAAGTCAGGAACACGATCATGATCACCTGCAAACACATTTAAGTCAGGAACACAATCATGATCACCTGCAAACACATTTAAGTCAGGAACACGATCATTATCACCTGCAAACACATTCAAGTCAGGAACACGATCATTATCACCTGCAAACACATTCAAGTCAGGAACACGATCATTATCACCTGCAAACACAATCAAGTCAGGAACACGATCATTATCACCTGCAAACACATTTAAGTCAGGAACACGATCATGATCACCTGCAAACACATTCAAGTCAGGAACACGATCATTATCACCTGCAAACACAATCAAGTCAGGAACACGATCATTATCACCTGCAAACACAATCAAGTCAGGTACACGATCATTATCACCTGCAAACACATTTAAGTCAGGAACACGATCATTATCACCTGCAAACACATTTAAGTCAGGAACACGATCATTATCACCTGCAAACACAATCAAGTCAGGAACACGATCATTATCACCTGCAAACACATTTAAGTCAGGAACACGATCATTATCAGCTGCAAACACATTTAATTCAGGAACACGATCATTATCACCTGCAAACACATTTAAGTCAGGAACACGATCATTATCACCTACAAACACATTTAAGTCAGGAACACGATCATTATCACCTGCAAACACATTCAAGTCAGGAACACGATCATTATCACCTGCAAACACATTTAAGTCAGGAACACGATCATTATCACCTGCAAACACATTTAAGTCAGGAACACGATCATTATCACCTGCAAACACAATCAAGTCAGGAACACGATCATTATCACCTGCAAACACATTTAAGTCAGGAACACGATCATTATCACCTGCAAACACATTTAAGTCAGGAACACGATCATTATCACCTGCAAACACATTTAAGTCAGGAACACGATCATTATCACCTGCAAACACATTTAAGTCAGGAACACGATCATTATCACCTGCAAACACATTTAAGTCAGGAACACAATCATTATCAGCTGCAAACACATTTAAGTCAGGAACACGATCATTATCACCTGTAAACACATTTAAGTCAGGAACACGATCATTATCACCTGCAAACACATTCAAGTCAGGAACACGGTCATTATCACCTGCAAACACATTTAAGTCAGGAACACGATCATTATCACCTGCAAACACATTTAAGTCAGGAACACGATCATTATCACCTGCAAACACATTTAAGTCAGGAACACGATCATTATCACCTGCAAACACAATCAAGTCAGGAACACAATCATTATCACCTGCAAACACATTTAAGTCAGGAACACGATCATTATCAGCTGCAAACACATTTAATTCAGGAACACGATCATTATCACCTGCAAACACATTTAAGTCAGGAACACGATCATTATCACCTGCAAACACATTTAAGTCAGGAACACGATCATTATCACCTGCAAACACATTCAAGTCAGGAACACGATCATTATCACCTGCAAACACATTTAAGTCAGGAACACGATCATTATCACCTGCAAACACATTTAAGTCAGGAACACGATCATTATCACCTGCAAACACATTTAAGTCAGGAACACAATCATTATCACCTGCAAACACATTTAAGTCAGGAACACGATCATTATCACCTGCAAACACATTTAAGTCAGGAACACGATCATTATCACCTGCAAACACATTTAAGTCAGGAACACGATCATTATCACCTGCAAACACATTTAAGTCAGGAACACGATCATTATCACCTGCAAACACATTTAAGTCAGGAACACAATCATTATCAGCTGCAAACACATTTAAGTCAGGAACACGATCATTATCACCTGCAAACACATTTAAGTCAGGAACACGATCATTATCACCTGCAAACACATTCAAGTCAGGAACACGGTCATTATCACCTGCAAACACATTTAAGTCAGGAACACGATCATTATCACCTGCAAACACATTTAAGTCAGGAACACGATCATTATCACCTGCAAACACATTCAAGTCAGGAACACGATCATTATCACCTGCAAACACATTTAAGTCAGGAACACGATCATTATCACCTGCAAACACATTTAAGTCAGGAACACAATCATTATCACCTGCAAACACATTTAAGTCAGGAACACGATCATTATCACCTGCAAACACATTTAAGTCAGGAACACGATCATTATCACCTGCAAACACATTCAAGTCAGGAACACGATCATTATCTACCTACCTATCTACAGTGTATCTATCTATCTATCTATCTATCTATCTATCTATCTATCTACCTACCTACCTACCTACCTACCTACCTACCTACCTACCTACCTACCTACCTACCTACCTACCTACCTATCTATCTATCTATCTATCTATCTATCTATCTGTCTATATTTGGAAATATCAGTGACATTTTTTATCCAATGAAAGTAGGAGAGAGAATATGAGAATCCTTAGTGGTAAATACTGTAGGTCCGGAGGATTTTCTACTTCCGGGTGGATCATGAAGACTATTGGTCCTCCTTATTGTCAGTCATTCTGGTGATGCGTGCTTGTCAAAAAAGACCAGAAGTGGAGAGGGCAGTTCTTTCCTAAAAGTTGGGAAAATTATTCTTTATAATCTTAAGGAGCATTTAGAATCCACTTGGGAAATGATTTAGTCACAGTTGTTTTCAAGAGTGGCTTTTTGATTATTTTTTGCTCTTAGACCTGATGGAAAGTCCCCACTGCGCTGTGTTCAAAACTATCGGATGACATAAGTACAGATCATTTAGAAACTCTGAATGATTTGTGTTCGTAACAAAAACATGATAATTCTAAAAGCAGCATTTTGGGCCTCACCTGCCACACAGTGTGCCCCCCCAGAGGGTCTAAGTCCAGGGGAGGAGGCGTTGGTGCCGAGAGGTTCAGCCGACTCATGTTCCCCCTCAGCACATCCAGGGGCCCGGCCGCTGGACTCGCTCCTGAGGGACTGGGGACGGGTGGGACCAAACTAAAGCTGCTGCTCATGTTTCAGACAACACTGGACAGAAACACAGACACATCTACAGTCAGGTTTGTTCTTCATTCAGTACAGAGCATTGTTAATAATAATGAATAATACATACAAAATGTATGTAGCGCTTTTTTTTTGGACACTCAAAGACGCTTTACAAAACACATAAAAATGAACATTGAAAGGACAGTGAAAAGGCGGGTTGTGCGAAGTGAGTTGGAGTCCCCCAAGGTTCGGGGTTTGGTCCCGAGATGTTTAGTCCTGAGATGTTTAGTGAGAAGGTTGTAGTCTGTGGATCGGAGGCGGCGGGAGGGACAGTAATGATGGAGGAGGTCAGTGAGGGAAGAAGGAGCAGGTTATGGAGGGACTTATAGGGGAGGAGGAGGAGGACCTTGTATTGGATGCGGTGTGGAACAGGGAGCCAGTGGAGTGATTTGAGGACAGGGGTGATGTGGTCCCTGGAGCGGGTGTGGGTGAGCAGGCGGAGTTCTGGATGTATCAGAGTTTTTAATTGTTGTTTCATACATCCGGTGTTGTGCTGGTTCTGGTGTTGTGCTGGTTCTGGTGTTGTGCTGGTTCTGGCATAGATTAGCAAAGCCTGTAAAGAAGTCCCAAAGTCACTAATACAGGCTGTACTAATTAAAGCCACAACCACCGTCCTCTTTCAGCAGCGTCCACGCTCTCCAAACTGTACTAGTCTGGGAGGAAAAGATCATACCTTCCTGTGAAAGCCTGCTCCAGGTTGATCCCAGGAGATAAGCAGAATAGGGTCTGGTTAGGACTGTGATGGGAGACCTCTGGAAATGTGGGAGTCAAACAAAGATCGCACAAGAAGCTTCTTCACAAGTATGTTTTTGCTCACCTTAGAAGTGTGGTGTCTCTCCCTTCACCAGACTGAGAACAGCAGGTGCCACAGTGCAGTGTGTGCGTGTGTGTGTGTGTGTGTGTGTGTGTGTGTGTGTGTGCGTGTGCATGTGCGTGTGCGTGTGCGTGTGCGTGTGTGTCTGTGGTATTATAGATATATACTTTGTTCATCCTCGTTGGAGAAATGCAGGTGCAGCAGAAACACATCCATCCAAACAAAACAAATAAATAGAAAATTCTAAAAATAGCTAACAATAGTATTAATAATAACAATTAAAACTATTCTTTATATTTGATATTCTGCTCAGTCAGAGATTTCTGTGGTTGATATTGTTGAAGATAAATGTAAACAAACAAGAGATTTCTCAATAAAGAATGAAAAACAGATGCAGAAATGATCTTGGTGGATTTTTTGGATTCAGATTCATTTATTTGCCATTTGCAGTAAAACCACATTGGAACACATTTTTACAAGTCCCCAGTGTGCGCCAGACAAGTACATATATGAAACAACATCAAAAGTGCAGAAACAAAACAATAAATATTTGTCACTGTGAAATCCATCGACTAAAACAGTTTCAGTGCCAGGATTGATGAGAAATAGTAGATAATACGCAGTGTATTTATGTACGGATATCAATTTCTCAACAATTCATAAACTCAACTAAGCTCATACTGTTCCCAAAGCAGTGAGTTCTACCCGTGCCCTCTCTGTGTTTCAGAATGACAGAACAAATCTCTAAAATGTGGAGTTTGTCTGTAGTCGTGTGAGAGTAGAGGCACTCACCTGCTTCACCTGCTGCTCTGGGCTCTCTCTGGACTCACACACAACTGATGTGGAAGCTGAGCCCCAGAGCTCCTCCCACCTCCCACCACAGGGGCCCCAGAGAGGTCAAGGCTTCACATGGAGGGTCTCACAGGGGACAGGAGAGGGTCTGATGGGACAGGAGAGGGTCTGATGGGGACAGGAGAGGGTCTGAGGGGGCAGGAGGGTCTGATGGGACAGGAGAGGGTCTGACTGGGGACAGGAGAGGGTCTGATGGGACAGGAGAGGGTCTGACTGGGGACAGGAGAGGGTCTGATGGGACAGGAGAGGATCTGATGGGGACAGGAGAGGGTCTAAGGGGGCAGGAGGGTCTGATGGGACAGGAGAGGATCTGACTGGGACAGGAGAGGATCTGATGGGACAGGAGAGGATCTGATGGGGACAGGAGAGGGTCTGATGGGACAGGAGAGGTCTGACTGGGACAGGAGAGGGTCTGATGGGACAGGAGAGGATCTGATGGGGACAGGAGAGGATCTAAGGGGGCAGGAGGGTCTGATGGGACAGGAGAGGGTCTGACTGGGACAGGAGAGGGTCTGATGGGACAGGAGAGGGTCTGATGGGGACAGGAGAGGATCTGATGGGGACAGGAGAGGATCTAAGGGGGCAGGAGGGTCTGATGGGACAGGAGAGGGTCTGACTGGGACAGGAGAGGGTCTGATGGGACAGGAGGGTCTGATGGGACAGGAGAGGGTCTGACTGGGACAGGAGAGGGTCTGATGAGACAGGAGAGGGTCTGATGGGGACAGGAGAGGGTCTGATGGGGACAGGAGAGGGTCTGATGGGACAGGAGAGGGTCTGATGGGGACAGGAGAGGGTCTAAGGGGGCAGGAGGGTCTGATGGGACAGGAGAGAGTCTGATGGGGACAGGAGAGGGTCTAAGGGGGCAGGAGGGTCTGATGGGACAGGAGAGAGTCTGATGGGGACAGGAGAGGGTCTAAGGGGGCAGGAGGGTCTGATGGGACAGGAGAGAGTCTGATGGGGACAGGAGAGGGTCTGAGGGGGCAGGAGGGTCTGATGGGACAGGAGAGGGTCTGACTGGGGACAGGAGAGGGTCTGATGGGACAGGAGAGGGTCTGACTGGGGACAGGAGAGGGTCTGATGGGACAGGAGAGGATCTGATGGGGACAGGAGAGGGTCTAAGGGGGCAGGAGGGTCTGATGGGACAGGAGAGGATCTGACTGGGACAGGAGAGGATCTGATGGGACAGGAGAGGATCTGATGGGGACAGGAGAGGGTCTGATGGGACAGGAGAGGATCTGACTGGGACAGGAGAGGGTCTGATGGGACAGGAGAGGATCTGATGGGGACAGGAGAGGATCTAAGGGGGCAGGAGGGTCTGATGGGACAGGAGAGGGTCTGACTGGGACAGGAGAGGGTCTGATGGGACAGGAGAGGGTCTGATGGGGACAGGAGAGGATCTGATGGGGACAGGAGAGGGTCTGATGGGACAGGAGAGGATCTGATGGGGACAGGAGAGGGTCTGATGGGGACAGGAGAGGATCTAAGGGGGCAGGAGGGTCTGATGGGACAGGAGAGGGTCTGACTGGGACAGGAGAGGGTCTGATGGGACAGGAGGGTCTGATGGGACAGGAGAGGGTCTGACTGGGACAGGAGAGGGTCTGATGAGACAGGAGAGGGTCTGATGGGGACAGGAGAGGGTCTGATGGGGACAGGAGAGGGTCTGATGGGACAGGAGAGGGTCTGATGGGGACAGGAGAGGGTCTAAGGGGGCAGGAGGGTCTGATGGGACAGGAGAGAGTCTGATGGGGACAGGAGAGGGTCTAAGGGGGCAGGAGGGTCTGATGGGACAGGAGAGGGTCTGACTGGGAAAGGAGAGGGTCTGATGGGACAGGAGAGGGTCTGACCAGGACAGGAGAGGGTCTGACTGGGATAGGAGAGGGTCTGATGGGACAGGAGAGGGTCTGACCAGGACAGGAGAGAGTCTGATGGGACAGGAGAGGATCTGACTGGGACAGGAGGGAGTCTGATGGGACAGGAGAGGGTCTGACTGGGACAGGAGAGAGTCTGATGGGACATGAGAGGGTCTGACTGGGACAGGAGAGGGTCTGACTGGGACAGGAGAGGGTCTCACTAGGACAGGAGAGGGTCTGACCAGGACAGGAGAGGGTCTGACTAGGACAGGAGAGGGTCAGACTGGGACAGGAGAGGGTCTGACTGGGACAGGAGAGGATCTGATGGGACAGGAGAGGGTCTGACTGGGATAGGAGAGGGTCTGATGGGACAGGAGAGGGTCTGACCGGGACAGGAGGGTCTGATGGGACAGGAGAGGGTCTGATAGGACAGGAGAGGGTCTGACCAGGACAGGAGAGGGTCTGATGGGACAGGAGAGGGTCTGACTGGGACAGGAGAGGATCTGATGGGACAGGAGAGGGTCTGACTGGGACAGGAGAGGGTCTGACTGGGACAGGAGAGAGTCTGATGGGACATAAGAGGGTCTGACTGGGAAAGGAGAGGTTCTGATAGGACAGGAGAGGGTCTGACCAGGACAAGAGAGGATCTGATGGGACAGGAGAGGGTCTGACTGGGACAGGAGAGGGTCTGACTGGGACAGGAGAGGATCTGACCAGGACAGGAGAGGTTCTGACCAGGACAGGAGAGGGTCTCACTAGGACAGGAGAGGGTCTGACCAGGACAGGAGAGGGTCTGATGGGACAGGAGAGGGTCTGATGGGGACAGGAGAGGGTCTGATGGGGACAGGAGAGGATCTAAGGGGGCAGGAGGGTCTGATGGGACAGGAGAGGGTCTGACTGGGACAGGAGAGGGTCTGATGGGACAGGAGAGGGTCTGATGGGACAGGAGGGTCTGATGGGACAGGAGAGGGTCTGACTGGGACAGGAGAGGGTCTGATGAGACAGGAGAGGGTCTGATGGGGACAGGAGAGGGTCTGATGGGGACAGGAGAGGGTCTGATGGGACAGGAGAGGGTCTGATGGGGACAGGAGAGGGTCTGATGGGGACAGGAGAGGATCTAAGGGGGCAGGAGGGTCTGATGGGACAGGAGAGGGTCTGACTGGGACAGGAGAGGGTCTGATGGGACAGGAGAGGATCTGATGGGGACAGGAGAGGGTCTGATGGGGACAGGAGAGGATCTAAGGGGGCAGGAGGGTCTGATGGGACAGGAGAGGCTCTGACTGGGACAGGAGAGGGTCTGATGGGACAGGAGGGTCTGATGGGACAGGAGAGGGTCTGACTGGGACAGGAGAGGATCTGATGAGACAGGAGAGGGTCTGATGGGGACAGGAGAGGGTCTGATGGGGACAGGAGAGGGTCTGATGGGACAGGAGAGGGTCTGATGGGGACAGGAGAGGGTCTAAGGGGGCAGGAGGGTCTGATGGGACAGGAGAGGATCTGATGGGGACAGGAGAGGGTCTGATGGGGACAGGAGAGGGTCTAAGGGGGCAGGAGGGTCTGATGGGACAGGAGAGAGTCTGATGGGGACAGGAGAGGGTCTAAGGGGGCAGGAGGGTCTGATGGGACAGGAGAGGGTCTGACCAGGACAGGAGAGGGTCTGACTGGGATAGGAGAGGGTCTGATGGGACAGGAGAGGGTCTGACCAGGACAGGAGAGAGTCTGATGGGACAGGAGAGGGTCTGACTGGGACAGGAGGGAGTCTGATGGGACAGGAGAGGGTCTGACTGGGACAGGAGAGAGTCTGATGGGACATGAGAGGGTCTGACTGGGACAGGAGAGGGTCTGACTGGGACAGGAGAGGATCTCACTAGGACAGGAGAGGGTCTGACCAGGACAGGAGAGGGTCTGACTAGGACAGGAGAGGGTCAGACTGGGACAGGAGAGGGTCTGACTGGGACAGGAGAGGGTCTGATGGGACAGGAGAGGGTCTGACTGGGATAGGAGAGGGTCTGATGGGACAGGAGAGGGTCTGACCGGGACAGGAGGGTCTGATGGGACAGGAGAGGATCTGATAGGACAGGAGAGGGTCTGACCAGGACAGGAGAGGGTCTGATGGGACAGGAGAGGGTCTGACTGGGACAGGAGAGGATCTGATGGGACAGGAGAGGGTCTGACTGGGACAGGAGAGGGTCTGACTGGGACAGGAGAGAGTCTGATGGGACATAAGAGGGTCTGACTGGGAAAGGAGAGGGTCTGATAGGACAGGAGAGGGTCTGACCAGGACAAGAGAGGGTCTGATGGGACAGGAGAGGGTCTGACTGGGACAGGAGAGGGTCTGACTGGGACAGGAGAGGATCTGACCAGGACAGGAGAGGTTCTGACCAGGACAGGAGAGGGTCTCACTAGGACAGGAGAGGGTCTGACCAGGACAGGAGAGGGTCTCACTAGGACAGGAGAGAGTCTGATGGGACAGGGGAGGGTCTGACTAGGACAGGAGAGGGTCAGACTGGGACAGGAGAGGGTCAGACTGGGACAGGAGGGTCTGACTGGGACAGGGGAGGGTCTGACTGGGACAGGAGAGGGTCTGACCAGGACAGGAGAGGGTCAGACTGGGACAGGAGGGTCTGACTGGGACAGGAGAGGGTCAGACCAGGACAGGAGAGGGTCAGACCAGAACAGGAGAGGGTCAGACTGGGACAGGAGGGTCTGACCTAGAGAGAAGGGTCTGCGACAGTCACTATATTGCATAACTCCTGTGGACTCTGTTGCCGTGTGTTCGAGTGGATAATGCTGGATGGGAGACCGCTGTGACACCAGATCGGGATTTGGGAACTGTCAGTGATCGGTGATCAGAGTGGCTGTTGGTGCAACTTGCCACCTGACAGGGCAGCTGCGGCTACAATAATACTGTACAGTACCACCACCATGCCAAGACCAATGACAAAAGTTGGGCAAGGACAAAAACAGATTTTCATTGATAATATTGATGCGATGTGGATTGGACAAAGCAATGGTGTTGTGTCCGTTGGAGGTAAGTCCTGATCAGCTGTTGTACATATTATTAGTAGTGTCTCAATAATAATAATAATAATAAACAATAATACATGTCAATCAACAATAATAGATAATAAACAAACAAACAAATCAATAATAATAAATGTTGGGGTGGATCCATGTTACAAGCACCACACAGCAGCTATTACAGATTTTGTATTTTTATTATTTGAATAAATACATGAATAAAAAGATCATGAATAATAATAAATGCATATTTAAATTCTGTTTTAATAAGCAAGCTTGAATAGAATACAATGGCCATTCCCTGCATACACTCCGGAAACCTCGCTGCAGTGATCACAGAAGAAGACGGGTCATTTTCCACCGAAACAGTGAGATTTCACCGAGCTCTCCTAAATATACAATCACTGCCAATGGCTCTGTGCATGGTGAAGTCTTTTGATTGTTTGGTCGTTGGTGATTGGACAAAACAGAAGCAACACTGAGGGTTGAAGGTGGGCAGAGGTCCAGACCCGGTGAGTCTGTATGTGCTCTGTATGTGCCACATGCTCTCCCCCTCTGAATATACAAAAGGTCATTTTAGAACATTATCATAAACCTGCAGGAAACATGCAGTGTTCCCAGGCTACTTAGAACATTTTAATTTCAACATAGCATAGCAAAAACCTCCTCACGCATGCCCGAGTTTGTGTGAGCTCCTCTGGGCTCCGTCACACAGGAGTGGACAGACACAAACCCCACACACATCATTACAAACGTGAAACCTCTGCCGTGTATGTTTCACTAAGTTCATGTTTATTTGGAGGTGGAGCTCATTCATACAAACAAATGCAGTGAGGAGAAAGCTGACTGAGCCGTGACTTTGGAAGTATCAGCACAGTTTTCTCTCAGACAGGCTCCTGATCGACTGCTGTACGCTTCACTGGAAGACATCTGAAGTAAAGAGAATGTGAAGATATATGGTTAAAATACTTCACTGCACAAGTGTCCAGGCCAAAAGGAAAGAGTAGAGTGGCCACAAAGGAGTGGACGTGTGTCTGCACCACGGGCCCCTGGCTTAAGGCACTGGTTCCTGCCTGCTCCGTGGATCTGAACACCATCATCTCCCACTTGGTAACTTTGGCATCACAGCCTTCAGCTCCACACAGCAGCACCTGGAGAATGCATGCATCCATCAGAGAAGCTTCAGTAGAACAGTGTGTCAGGTCCTTGTATAGCAGTGAACCTTTAGGTTTAATGTGACGTCCAACTTAACACCTATAGTTTATTGCAGAATGCAATGATCAATGATCAACCATTCACTCAAGAGGTTGGATATGACTGCAGTAGGAACAGGGTGAAGGTCTGTGATTATCTCTTGTCATCCTGAGTACACAATAAACATGTACACACTACTGACTACGGAGAAGTTACAACTCCTCTTCTCTTCTTATTCTCAGGAGCAGAGAAAAGCCTCAACATGGAAATAGGAGCAGAAATGTCCCAGAGGAGGGGGGCTTGCTGGTTCTGGGGTGGGCCTGAGGCGATGGATGAGTTATTGCGAAATGCTTCATTGGAGCTCAACATGTGCCCACATGCAACGTGCATTAAGCAGAAGTCCAGAAGAACAGAGCTCCCAGACCTCAGCGAGCTCCACGTCCGACCAGAGTCTGTGCTGTTCAAATGAGTCTAACAGAGTCTCAGGAGCCGAGGCCCAAACCAGGCCCTTTACACGGAGCACCGAGCTCAGGTCTAGTTTATGTTCACGAAAAAATCAATTCAGTTGATCTTCATACTGTTTACGGAAACAGTCTCCTGCAGGAAAGAACTCCCAGCAGCGCTCCTGGTACATCTTCCACACATAGGACTCCTGCGGACACACAACTTTCATTCAGACGAGGCCAGAATTTGGCATCAATAAAATAAAACCATTTAAAATAACAAAAAAACAAGATACAGTAAAGTTCCTGTCATGTGGGACGGCTCTTACCTGGCCAGTGTGCTCCGTCTCATCTTTGTTGATCAAATACATCACAAAGAACCTGGAAAACAATTCAAAGATGTGAATTAGACAGACACACACACACACACACACCTAAACACACAAACACACACACACACCTACACACCTACACACACACAAACCTAAACACACAAACACACACACCTAAACACACAAACACACAAACACACACACACACACACCTACACACCTACACACACACACACACACACAAATCTAAACACACACACACCTAAACACACAAACACACACACACACACCTAAACACACAAATACACACACACACACACACCTACACACACACAAACACAGAAACACACACACACACACACCTACACACACACAAACCTAAACACACAAACACACACACACACACACCTGACACACTGAGCACAACAGATACTCACAAGTAATTGGCCAAGTTGTGCTCCTGAAGAGTGTGTGTCTCAAATCCATGAGGCACTGTGTCAAAATAGTCATTTCCGATTCCACAGATGAAGCATTTAGTCTGAAAGAAACATCTGGGTTTAGATTCACGACACATGTTTAATCAATATTATGAAACAAAACAGTAAAAACACACCTCCATGTCTTCCTTCACTTGCTCCTGCTGGTCTCGCAGCTCTCCAAAGGCGTCGATGATGAGACCTGCAGAAACAACATTCCATTTCAGTGCATTCAGTGAAAATAACCCATGTTTCCCACATTGTTTTGTCAGCACTGAGCCGGAGTCAACCAGTCTGATGAAGGTTCAAATAGGAAATGTAGATTGGGCACATTTGCAACAACATTCACACCCAGAGAACACAGAGGACACCATGGCTGTGATGAGGTGTGGAAGCTGGTGTGGCACCATGTGAGCTACTTGTGCTGTAGTGTAGTGTGTGATACTTTGTGATTTATGTGAAACAACTGTTAAATTGTAGAATAATGGCTGAAAGAGAGGTGCACCTTGGATGATGGCCAGCAGGATGACTATAACAAAGAAGAAGAAGGTGATGTCGAAGATGATTCTGTAAATCTCGTATTCGTCTCCGGCTGGGTCCTCAATCTGGTCCCCGATGCCTCCTCCAGCACGCACACCCACATACATGTGGAACATGTAGCACTGCGGCACAGAGGACACAACAATCAGATCAACACAGTGAGTGGGAGGAGCTTCTGAATAGAACATTGTTTATATCACTGCTCTGAGGTTTATCTCAGTGTTTGCAGTGAAACGTCCATGATGTAGGTCCCACACTGTGCCAATGTTATCTTAAGGATTCCATGGCCACACAAAGGTGTTGCCCTTACACACACACACACACCGTCACCCAGCCCCTTAGAAGGACAGGAGCTGTAGGGCTGTTCCGGGTGGCTGGCTGAGAGGATTACAGTCTGTCCTGAGCTTTCCGGGTGACTCCTTCCCCCCTCAGCCCCCCCTCAGCCCCCCCCTCAGCACCGCAGCCCCCTCAGCCCCCGGCTCACCCCAGCACCACAGCCTTATATAGAGTAGGCAGAGCTCCCACGGCCTCAGACGCTTCAGTCTGAGTGATGTGCTTTCACAGTCGGGGAGTGTGTGTCTGCTCTCTTACCTTACAAGTGCACTATGTCATATTTGAATGACAATCACAACAACAGGAGCTACATGAATCCATCTGGATCAGATTCAACGCCAACGTTTTATTATGAAGTCAGTCACAAAAAGACCCTACGAATGTTGCACCTGTGTGCGTGTGTGTGTGTGTGCGTGTGCGTGTGCGTGTGTGTGCGTGTGCGTGTCTATGTCTGTGTGCGTGTATATGTCTGTGTGTGTGTCTATGTCTGTGTGCGTGTCTATGTCTGTGTGCGTGTATATGTCTGTGTGTGTGTCTATGTCTGTGTGCGTGTATATGTCTGTGTGCGTGTATATGTCTGTGTGCGTGTCTATGTCTGTGTGCGTGTCTATGTCTGTGTGTGTGTATACTGTATGTCTGTGTGCGTGTATATGTCTGTGTGTGTGTCTATGTCTGTGTGTGTGTATACTGTATGTCTGTGTGCGTGTATATGTCTGTGTGTGTGTCTATGTCTGTGTGCGTGTATATGTCTGTGTGCGTGTCTATGTCTGTGTGCGTGTCTATGTCTGTGTGCGTGTCTATGTCTGTGTGCGTGTCTATGTCTGTGTGCGTGTCTATGTCTGTGTGCCTGTCTATGTCTGTGTGCGTGTCTATGTCTGTGTGCGTGTCTATGTCTGTGTGCGTGTCTATGTCTGTGTGCGTGTCTATGTCTGTGTGCGTGTATATGTCTGTGTGCGTGTCTATGTCTGTGTGTGTGTATATGTCTGTGTGTGTGTCTATGTCTGTGTGCGTGTCTATGTCTGTGTGCGTGTCTATGTCTGTGTGCGTGTCTATGTCTGTGTGCGTGTCTATGTCTGTGTGCGTGTCTATGTCTGTGTGCGTGTCTATGTCTGTGTGCGTGTCTATGTCTGTGTGTGTGTATATGTCTGTGTGCGTGTCTATGTCTGTGTGTGTGTCTATGTCTGTGTGTGTGTATATGTCTGTGTGTGTGTCTATGTCTGTGTGTGTGTCTATGTCTGTGTGTGTGTCTATGTCTGTGTGTGTGTCTATGTCTGTGTGCGTGTCTATGTCTGTGTGCGTGTATATGTCTGTGTGCGTGTCTATGTCTGTGTGCGTGTCTATGTCTGTGTGCGTGTATATGTCTGTGTGCGTGTCTATGTCTGTGTGTGTGTCTATGTCTGTGTGCGTGTCTATGTCTGTGTGTGTGTGTATATGTCTGTGTGTGTGTCTATGTCTGTGTGCGTGTCTATGTCTGTGTGCGTGTCTATGTCTGTGTGTGTGTCTATGTCTGTGTGCGTGTCTATGTCTGTGTGTGTGTCTATGTCTGTGTGTGTGTATATGTCTGTGTGTGTGTCTATGTCTGTGTGTGTGTCTATGTCTGTGTGCGTGTCTATGTCTGTGTGCGTGTCTATGTCTGTGTGCGTGTATATGTCTGTGTGCGTGTATATGTCTGTGTGTGTGTCTATGTCTGTGTGTGTGTCTATGTCTGTGTGCGTGTAAATGTCTGTGTGCGTGTCTATGTCTGTGTGTGTGTGTATATGTCTGTGTGTGTGTCTATGTCTGTGTGTGTGTCTATGTCTGTGTGCGTGTCTATGTCTGTGTGTGTGTCTATGTCTGTGTGCGTGTCTATGTCTGTGTGCGTGTCTATGTCTGTGTGCGTGTATATGTCTGTGTGCGTGTATATGTCTGTGTGCGTGTATATGTCTGTGTGCGTGGCTATGTCTGTGTGTGTGTATATGTCTGTGTGCGTGTCTATGTCTGTGTGCGTGTCTATGTCTGTGTGCGTGTCTATGTCTGTGTGTGTGTCTATGTCTGTGTGTGTGTATATGTCTGTGTGTGTGTCTATGTCTGTGTGCGTGTCTATGTCTGTGTGCGTGTCTATGTCTGTGTGTGTGTATATGTCTGTGTGTGTGTCTATGTCTGTGTGCGTGTCTATGTCTGTGTGCGTGTCTATGTCTGTGTGTGTGTCTATGTCTGTGTGTGTGTATATGTCTGTGTGTGTGTCTATGTCTGTGTGTGTGTCTATGTCTGTGTGCGTGTCTATGTCTGTGTGTGTGTATATGTCTGTGTGCGTGTATATGTCTGTGTGCGTGTATATGTCTGTGTGCGTGTCTATGTCTGTGTGCGTGTCTATGTCTGTGTGCGTGTCTATGTCTGTGTGCGTGTCTATGTCTGTGTGTGTGTATATGTCTGTGTGCGTGTATATGTCTGTGTGCGTGTCTATGTCTGTGTGTGTGTATATGTCTGTGTGTGTGTCTATATCTGTGTGCGTGTATATGTCTGTGTGCGTGTATATGTCTGTGTGTGTGTCTATGTCTGTGTGCGTGTCTTTGTCTGTGTGCGTGTATATGTCTGTGTGCGTGTCTATGTCTGTGTGCGTGTCTATGTCTGTGTGTGTGTATATGTCTGTGTGCGTGTCTATGTCTGTGTGCGTGTCTATGTCTGTGTGTGTGTCTATGTCTGTGTGCGTGTCTATGTCTGTGTGCGTGTCTATGTCTGTGTGTGTGTATATGTCTGTGTGCGTGTCTATGTCTGTGTGTGTGTATATGTCTGTGTGTGTGTCTATGTCTGTGTGTGTGTCTATGTCTGTGTGCGTGTCTATGTCTGTGTGTGTGTCTATATCTGTGTGCGTGTATATGTCTGTGTGCCTGTATATGTCTGTGTGTGTGTCTATGTCTGTGTGCGTGTCTATGTCTGTGTGCGTGTATATGTCTGTGTGCGTGTCTATGTCTGTGTGTGTGTATATGTCTGTGTGTGTGTCTATGTCTGTGTGCGTGTATATGTCTGTGTGCCTGTATATGTCTGTGTGTGTGTCTATGTCTGTGTGCGTGTCTATGTCTGTGTGCGTGTATATGTCTGTGTGTGTGTCTATGTCTGTGTGCGTGTATATGTCTGTGTGCGTGTCTATGTCTGTGTGTGTGTATATGTCTGTGTGTGTGTCTATGTCTGTGTGCGTGTCTATGTCTGTGTGCGTGTCTATGTCTGTGTGCGTGTATATGTCTGTGTGTGTGTCTATGTCTGTGTGCGTGTATATGTCTGTGTGTGTGTCTATGTCTGTGTGCGTGTATATGTCTGTGTGCGTGTCTATGTCTGTGTGTGTGTGTATATGTCTGTGTGTGTGTCTATGTCTGTGTGTGTGTCTATGTCTGTGTGCGTGTCTATGTCTGTGTGTGTGTCTATGTCTGTGTGCGTGTATATGTCTGTGTGTGTGTCTATGTCTGTGTGTGTGTATATGTCTGTGTGCGTGTCTATGTCTGTGTGCGTGTATATGTCTGTGTGCGTGTATATGTCTGTGTGCGTGTCTATGTCTGTGTGTGTGTATATGTCTGTGTGCGTGTCTATGTCTGTGTGTGGGTCTATGTCTGTGTGTGTGTCTATGTCTGTGTGCGTGTATATGTCTGTGTGCGTGTCTATGTCTGTGTGTGTGTCTATGTCTGTGTGTGTGTGTCTATGTCTGTGTGTGTGTCTATGTCTGTGTGCGTGTCTATGTCTGTGTGCGTGTATATGTCTGTGTGCGTGTCTATGTCTGTGTGCGTGTCTATGTCTGTGTGTGTGTCTATGTCTGTGTGTGTGTATATGTCTGTGTGCGTGTATATGTCTGTGTGCGTGTCTATGTCTGTGTGTGTGTCTATGTCTGTGTGCGTGTCTATGTCTGTGTGCGTGTCTATGTCTGTGTGCGTGCATATGTCTGTGTGCGTGTCTATGTCTGTGTGTGTGGATGTGTGTATTGGTCTAAATTTAAAAATTGCATAAATCCTTATATTATATTTCATTCATGGTTGTGTTGCTCTTGGATGAACTGAGAGCTCTTCCTGATGTCGTGGTTTTGAGCCGATCGGGAAAAAATTGGTAAAAATAATTGACCTAAAACAGTTACAGCAGCTCTGTTTGTTTTTGTCTTTTTTTGTACAGCAAAAGTTGAATCTCCCACTGAGGCCAGACCCAGACCCAGAGCCAGAGCCAGACCCGGAGAACTCACCGTCAGCATGTCATCACACTTCATGTCCGGCAGCTCGCCATCCTCGCTTTTGTTGTAGAACTTTCTGAAGAAGTTAAACGCCACCACGGTGTAGAGGTAAACGACCACAGCCAGGAGCCCCACGGTCAGGACCAGCTGCAGAGGACATCATAGTGTTGGGAACCATGAAGAAACCTGAACCAAATCTCCCATAGCAACCTCATTCATTATCCAAAGTGCTCCACAGATACACTTTTTAAATATACAGGTTTTCCAGCTGTATATATGTATAAAAAATAGAATAAGTAAAACATTATGTACAAAGTAAAAACAAAAACGTAATAAAAACAAAACAAAATCTTCTTTGTTCTGTTTTTTCTTTGTTATGTCTGTATTTATGCTCACTATTTGGACAAAAAATGTAAATAAAACTAAAAAAAACTAAAAACAAATAAAACATATATAAACGGTATTATCGGTAGAGAGACGGCTCTTCTCACCTGCTTCCCGTTGTGAGTCACAGATGAAAGGATAGTGCGCAGAGTTTTAAAGCCCATGGCGATGTCCAGCAGGTGAGCGGCAAAGAAGAAGTTGTTGTAGTGCCCCAGGATGGACATGGTCATGTACCAGGCCAGGTACAGGAAGGACTAGAAGGAGCAGGTAACGAGAACGTAAAAAGTCTGTCCCAATAAGTAAGGACAGTAGGAATGAGCTCACAGCACAAACTAAACTCTCTACTAGATAAAAAAACAGAACATGAAATCTCTAGCTTTAGCATAATATGGAAGCAGTCTATAATCTGTAAGAAGAAGCAAGAATTCAGTACAAAATCTCTGACTTTAGCATAATAAAGAAGAAAAGGTGTAAATCCTGTAAATTTCTTGTGCAAAAATAGTTGTAAAACACCAGAGTTTAGTAGTAAGTAATCTTTAGTACGTTTTTTATTTATATACCGCCTTTTCACTGCAGATCTGAGTCTCAAAGCGGTTTACAATTGTTAATTTTGGGCATTTGTCTCTCACTCCACACAGAGATGGGAGGGGCCAGAACAGGAGGCATATGCCAGAACTATTGGACATATTTTTAGTGGTAGGGGAAACCGGAGTACCCGGAGGAAACCTACACAGACACGGAGAGAACATGCAAACTCCACTCAGAAAGGCCCTGGTCCGACCGGGATTCGAACCCAGGACCTTCTTACTGAGAGGCGAGAGTGCTATCCACTCAGCCACCGTGCCGCCGTTTAAAACATGTTCCAACTGGGTCAGAGAGGGTTTGGGCCGGTGTCTTGTATATGTGTTGTATGAATGAAAAGGGTTGGAGCCAAATACATGTCTGCTTCTTATTTTGTTTTTATACTTACATTGTCAGTGAAAACAACTCCCAACTTCCAAATCTGGTACTGGACATCAATGGAATTAAGTCTATAATACATTTAAAAAAGAGTTAAGGTCAGTCTGTGGTTTGCTGATGTCACTTCCTGGTGGTGAAGCAGTACTCACACGGCGGCCAATGAGCTGTCTCTGCGAGGCTTCCTCTTCTTCTGAGAGTCGCTGAAGTCCAGGGCTGCCTTGTCCATCCCCAGGAGCTCGCTGATTCGGTCATGACCATAGAACTCACCGTATTTATCCATCACCTGAACAACAAGCAGAGAGTAAATCACACGTCCTGTTCAATTATGTGCTGTCTGCCCTAAATGTTAAAGCTGGGGTACCTAATTTGTATAATGTATAAAATATGTAATTGTGCACTTTATTGTCCGAGTAGTGAAATGTGTCCACGGCATTTGACCCATCCTGATGCCACTAAGGCTTCTGTCAGGGTTTTACCTATTGTTAAGTATTGTTTTTAGTGGTAGGGGAAACCATTGGCCCCTCCCACCACCACCAACCATTCACACACACACCAGGCGGCACGGTGGCTGAGTGGATAGCACTCTCGCCTCTCAGCAAGAAGGTCCTGGGTTCGAATCCCGGTTGGACCAGGGCCTTTCTGAGTGGAGTTTGCAAGTTCTCCCCGTGTCTGCGTAGGTTTTCTCCGGGTGCTCCGGTTTGCCCTACCACTAAAAATATGTACAATAGGTCTGGCATGTGCCTCCTGTACTGGCGACCCCACCCAACAATTGTAAACCGCTTTGAGACTCCGATGTGCAGTGAAAAGGCGGTATATAAATAAAGCTTACTACTTACTACTTACACCAGACTCATTCTAATGTGGCTGAAGTGTCTTGCCTAAGGACACAACCACAGTTTGGCACCTGATGTTCCCAGAGGTCTCCCATCACAGTACTAACCCGGCCCAGCCCTGCACAGCTTCAGAGGTGTGACAGGATCTGGCTTTCGCATACAGGTATGGCCAAAATTATGGTTATTGATTCAGAATAAAAGCTAGGCACCACAGCTGGTCCTACTCTTCGCACAGGAGTAAATCCAAACCCAACGTACCTTTCTTTTCACAAACTTGTCCCAATAATTGTTTGGAAACGATCTACACAAAGAAAAACACACAGAAACAGATTGGACTTTTTGTCTCATTAAAAACGTGTTATTTAGAGGTAGAAATGCTCACTGTGTGTTTATGACCAGCCTGTCCCACTGCCCTTTGATGTCATCCTCAGACGGCTGCTCTGTGATGTACAAACCATCAAACTCCAGCTTTCGAGCCACTTCCTTTTCCCTTTTAAAGATAACCAGAGGAACCTGTAGCACACCAGCCACAGTCAGACACACGCACAGAGACATGATGACCCCAGTGTTCTCTCTATTTACTCTAATGTTCTCAAAGTTATATTTCTAAACAATATTTGCCCCTAGAGACAGAGGGTTACGTCTCCTGTCTCTAGGGGCAGAGTCACATTCTATTCTTAACCCTTTAATGTTCACTTCTTGAACCGTTAACGATCAAGTGGTTGAGAAAACTATGAAAGGGTTAAAGGTATACAGGGATTTTCCCAATTATTAGGAAAGAACCGCCCTCTCTTCCATTTGACAAAAAACTCTCTGGTCTTAGAGCACCTGAATGATTGACAGTTGGGAGGACCAATAGTCTTGATGATCCTCCCGGAAGTAGAAAATCCTCTTATATACCTTGAAGTTTGCTTGTTCCATACAGTAAATCCACATGAGCACTTATAAGAGTTGTAACATGTTTGACGAAGGAATTTCAAGAATATTAATGTTTTTAACTCTTCTTTGGTCAAAAACTGCAAATATTTGTTCAATTGTCGCGATTTTAAAATGTGAAATTGTGACCTCCTTAGACTCGCACAGGCAGCAAGAAAAACAGTATTACTACATTTTTATACATGATTATTATTCTGGTCATAGTTACACTTTACCATTAACTCTCTGTTCTGACTAAGACAAGATTAATATTTCATGGGAGTTTGTTTGTGCCTTGAGACAGTAGTATCCGATGATGCAGAAGAAGGAGATGACAGTGTGGAGGATGGCCAGGATCCTCAGCGTGGGCTCCATGTAGCCGCTGCTCTCCTCCAGGACAAAGCGCACAGTGGTGGGTTTACGGGACAGTCCTGAGTCGATCAGAACCTCGGCATCAACCTCGCCCAGGACCTGAGCGTCCACAGAGTCAGGCTGCACCGTGCTCTCATGAGGGCTAGGGGGCGCTCTCTCCTCCACCACTGAGGCTGAAGCAGTGGAGACCTGTGGAATAAAGGTGCATTTATAATCAGGTCAAAACAAAACATGATCAGACTGGATTTCTATTATTATGGAAGTGGTTCCAACTCAAATCATGAATGAGAATTATTATTACCAAATAATAAAATTGTACTTGGACAAAACCTTGGAGTGCTAATGATAGATATAACAACAACAAAATTAAGTAATATGGATTTATTTTTTTCCCAAATAAAAAATAAAACTGTATATAGAATGTGTTTTGATATTTACATTTTGAAAATGAATGCGTTTTCCACAATTAAAAACGCAGCAAAACTTTTCCCATCGCTCTAAGTCTAAGTAAAGGGTGCTCTGTGTAGTGAATATACTGCCATCTAACATGGCGGCGTAGTTGCTATGCAGGTCCCATGGTGGTGCAAAACCCGTATTACTGACTGTCACTGTAAAAGTTAGCAATACAATACAATACAATTTATTCTTGTATAGCCCTAGGTCACAACAGAAGTCATCTCAGAGGACTTAACAAAACCATTGAAATCACCAACACAGGTCAGAGAATCAACAGTTAAAACACATGAAGAATATAAAGCACACACAGAAGAAAATGTCCATACATGTTGTAGAATGCTAAAGTGTCCTGATCATCACCAATCCTTTCTGTTGGACACTAACTGTCCAACAAGACCCTCCTGCATCGACAAGGAAAAACTCTTAAAAAACCCAGTGGGAAAAAGTGAGAAACCTTGGAGGAGAACTAGGGAAACCCACAGGGAGGGAGACCCATTTGAGAAAGGGATCCGCTCCTCCGGACGGACAGGCTAATGATCTAGGACCTAAGCACATTGCGGTCGCAGCAGTAACTAGTGCTATTCTGAGCGTGAGTTACAGAACTTGAGTCTGACCTTATAGAATAAGAGGATGAAGTTGATGGCAAAAGCCACGAGAAGCGCGAGCATCCTCATGTTGTAAAAGTTCCTGGCGAAGTAGTTCTGTGTGGAGCAGAGACAGAGACAGAGTGAAGCTTTGCACGAGGCTGAGGATGAAGAGTTCAGATCCACATACCAACATCTTCCTCTGATAGGCCAAGATCTTCTTCCAGAACGCGGACTCCTGCTGGTCGCCCTCGTCTGATCTGGAGACACGCTGCCGTCTCACTTTGGGCTTCTCCTTCACCTTCGCTGCCTGGTCTTTGTCTTTCTCCACATGCTCAGTCCTACACGGTTAAACAGATAGACAGAATACATCTGATCTTACATCAACATTAAGAAAGCTATACCTATCTAACAGACTATAAATAGACTATAACTATCAATCCCAAAGACATTCAAGCTTTCCTGCAGGCTGCTACAGGCTCATCACATATACAACCAACTTATACACCATTTATAAATATACAAGTAGATCCAAGGTAAGAAAATAATAAATAATAAGGCAGCCTACTCTGATTTAGTTTCTGTGTCACATGTTGCTTCAGAGCTGGGTTCCTTTTCTTCTGGGGCTGAGGTCTGGGACTAAAACAAGACCAGACACGTTTAAGTTAATCCGTGGACATCATCTTGCACTTAATAAACATGAACTATGGTCTCCGTCTCACCAGGTGGCGCTGTCTGGGCTGTGTGGGGGGAGTGGGCGGGGGCACAGGGCTGCTGAGCAGTTGGGTCAGGCCGGCGTTGGGGTTGTGGGGCGTGATCTTGTACTGGCCTCCCTCGCGCCTCAGGTCCAGCCCAAAGATGTCTGACAGCAGCTCCGTGTCACTCGTGTTCACCACCAGGTCGGCCAGGTCTTCTTTGGCGGAGCTTCTCTCAGACCGCCGCTCCCTCTCCCCCTCCCCTCGCACCTCGTCCTGGGTGGGGTCAGGCATGTTGGCGAGCAGCTCCGACACCTAGAACAGGGATTTATCACGTTAACATTAAGTTTTCAGAAGGCAATAGTCAATACAGGGCTTAACAAAACAAGAAAAGAAAGAATTAAAATGAAGGTATTCAAATCATAAGTAATCGAAGTACATTACAGTTGTATCTATAGCTAAACAGAACTGCTTTTTAACCTAGATTTGAACATTGTCAGAGCAGAAGCCTGTCGCAAACTTTCAGGAAGACTGTTCCAGATTATAGCAGCATGAATCTGAAATCCTGCCTCCCTATGTTTAGTCCTGACTCTGGGACCAGCAGGAGGCCAGTCCCTGTGCTCTTCAGAGTCCCAGCAGGAGGCCAGTCCCTGTGCTCCTCAGAGTCCCAGCAGGAGGCCAGTCCCTGTGCTCCTCAGAGTCCTAGCAGGAGGCCAGTCCCTGTGCTCCTCAGAGTCCCAGCAGGAGGCCAGTCCCTGTGCTCCTCAGAGTTCCAGCAGGAGGCCAGTCCCTGTGCTCCTCAGAGTCCCAGCAGGAGACCAGTCCCTGTGCTCCTCAGAGTCCCAGCAGGAGGCCAGTCCCTGTGCTCCTCAGAGTCCTAGCAGGAGGCCAGTCCCTGTGCTCCTCAGAGTCCCAGCAGGAGGCCAGTCCCTGTGCTCCTCAGAGTCCCAGCAGGAGGCCAGTCCCTGTGCTCCTCAGAGTCCCAGCAGGAGGTCAGTCCCTGTGCTCCTCAGAGTCCCAGCAAGAGGCCAGTCCCTGTGCTCCTCAGAGTCCCAGCAGGAGGCCAGTCCCTGTGCTCCTCAGAGTCCCAGCAGGAGGTCAGTCCCTGTGCTCCTCAGAGTCCCAGCAAGAGGCCAGTCCCTGTGCTCCTCAGAGTCCCAGCAGGAGGCCAGTCCCTGTGCTCCTCAGAGTCCCAGCAGGAGGTCAGTCCCTGTGCTCCTCAGAGTCCCAGCAAGAGGCCAGTCCCTGTACTAACATGGTGTAGTTTGGTGCGAGGCCAGGGAGACACACAATATCCTCAGATAATAAACTTCTGACAATATTTTCACCTGGATCTAAAACATCTTCCAAGTTTTCAGATTGAGCGATATAACAGAGATCAACTTTTTTTTTTGTAAAGTTTGATGGCCTTTTGCTTTAATCATTTCCTTTCTATTTCCGTCCAAACTGCCTTGTGTCTCCGTTAAGCCAAACATCTCGACTGAACTCACCTTTATGGTTTTAGCCCCCTCCACCAGGTTTCCGCCCATGAATGTGTTGTAGAAGATCCGGCAGAAGCCTCGGGCCACGCTGAAGGCCACATGCAGCAGGCCCAGGAGGATGGCGCAGTAACAGGACAAGAGCGCCCCCACCAGCTCCTTCAGCGTCATGTTCTTCACCCTCTTCATCTGCTTCTTCAGGCTCTTCACAGACAGCACCTACACACACACAAACCACATCTATCTCCATCTCCCATGATTCAATAGCACCTCTATGCGTGTCTACCTTGATCAGAATAAGTAGGTTGTAGCGGAGAGTAACCAGAGCCATGCAGACAGTGTTTATGGTGAAGAAGCCCTGGTCAGAGGTGTCTTCATCAGGCCGTTCTTTCTCGCTCTCCTCTTTCACCATTAAGCGCTCTCCTGCGTCAGACATCTGTGCGGCAAGCTGCATTTCAAAGATGGTGTCCTCACAGAAGTTTACAAACAGCTCCATCTTCTCCTTCTCCCCTCCTTCATTCACCACGTCAAAGATGAACTGCCGCTTGGACTCTTTCACCTGGTCAGACACAACAGCAGGTCAGAAAATGCAGAGAATACAGACAAATCAGCATTAGAATTCTCTTTGTCTTCAGCGAATACCTGCGGTTTCTCCCACTGCGTGCGGCTGGACTCGCTGATCTCAAAGTAAACCCTCTCAATGCGTTTGGCACTACCCATGATTTCAATTCTGCCCAGAAATGGCTGGAAGTAGTGGAGAACGCTGTCTGCCAGCTCCAGGAAGGTCTGCAGCCGACAGTCGTGGGGCATGTGCTCCGACAGGTTGGTGAGCAGGACGGCCACATTGAAGCCTATGTCCTTCACACAAACACAACTGCTGAGTTTATCTTTCTCATTACAGAACTTTGTGTTGGGTAATAGCAGAAGGATAAAACCAGAGCTTTACCTTTGCAGGCTCGTGGAAGCGCTGCACAAACTCCTCATAATCCAGGAGTTCATTCTCGTCAGTCTCGGCGCAGGACAGAAGGAAGTCCGTCTCTGATGGAGTGTAGTGCTTATGACTCTCCATGGCTTTGTGGAAGTCCCGTTTCGAGATCACACCTAGAATTTAGGACAGTTACAAATCTCTCAACCCTGCATGTGCGATCTCATCAGACACACCTTTTCCATCCTGGTCATACTCCTTGAAGGCATCGGACGAGGTCAAGTCTTTCAGTTTGAGGAACATGTCGAAGAATTTGAGGATCATTTCGACATTGTTGGAGGATTCTACCAGCATGTCCACCATCTGCTTTCCAATGGTGCCATTCACCACGTTACCTGAAAGTTCAAACAACATGTGAGGACCATAGGAGCTGAGGGCCCCAAGGGAGAGAGATGGACAAGAACAACCCTAGATACTTTCTCTAATTCAGTGTTTCTCAAAGTGTGGGGTGTGAGACAACATATATATCTTTTTTTACTGTATTCAACCAATTATTTGATTCTGTGTGGTTATTATGATTCAAGTATTCGAGTATGATGTGTACCTTCCAGCATGGACAGCAGCATGACCACCATGTCCTTCTGTAGATCCATCAATTCTTTCAATAGGTCGATTTGACTGGAGTCCTATTTAAACAACACCATAGTCTCAGGATATTTTGACAACATTTTCATTATCTTTGAGAAGAAAATACAAACCTGGGACAGTTTCATCTGCATATGAGCAAACACATGCAGGAATCCCACCACTGCATCCCACAGACGACTATGAGCCAGGCTCTGCTGGTTCCCCGTGCAGGGCCCCTATGAAGCAGAGGAAACACATTCATCTTCAGATACAGTCAATGGCTTTGGTTGTATTATGGCGAGCTCATTAGAAAACTTGAGATGAACCTGGATATACTCCGTGAGTGTGTTGAAGACTTGTTTCGCAACATTTATGGCTTTGGAGAAGTTCCTCTGGCCCTGCTCATCGATGACATCTTTGCCTGAATAATACCAGTAGAAGTCACTGATGGACTCCTGCAGAGACGTCAGAGATGTTTAGAAAAACACAAACAACACAATAACAGTTGAACAAGACGAGAGCTCAGACCTGGACTCGCAGGAGGTAGTCCACTGTAGAGATGATGATGTTGACTGTTGTGTTGTTGCCGGTCTGTGTCCTCAGGTAGTTCTGAAAATCTGACACACAAATCTCCATTAGTCACGATGGGGGATGATGCAAACTCACACCTGGACAATCTTCGGTGTCTCCACAAACCTGAGTTGTGTCCTTCACAGAGCAGCTGAAGGAAGCGGAACAGGTCACACGTGAACTGATCGTCCTGCATGACCTTCTCTCCTGGCGGTGGGAAAAACAGCCAAACAGACAGAGCCCATGCACAAGCAGGACAGCCAGGGAGGGGGTACAGGAAGATGAGAGTGAACAAGAATTCAGAAGAAGCACACACTTCCTAATGAGCAGTGGGAAACCACAGCACTCTGAAAAGTCACTGCAGCACTAAGGCCACGCCTCCACAACGCCGAGGTCATGAACTGTTGCGGCGTCTGAGGCAAAGTCCACAGAGACTATGTTCATTAAGAGCATCATGTTTAACCAAAACTCGTTTGTATTCTTAGATACTGCAGATATAATGAGGTAGAGCAATGTGCCCGACCCAGTTCTTACACTCGTGGAGAAGCATGCCTTAATGCTGACTTTTTCTGTAGAAGTAAGAGCAGAAAAACCTTGTGGGGTTTGATACATATGGCTTTGACCCAGAAAATGGAAAAAGAAGCACAATGATAAGTAAGACACCAAAGGGACTGAAAATACAGTTAACACAGAGAATGATTACAGATGTGCACAAGACAGAGCACATCTTACTCTGCCCTGTCCACTGGTCTGACTGGTACTGGTCTGACTGGTACTGGTCTGACTGGTACTGGTCTGACTGGTACTGGTCTGACTGATACTGGTCTGACTGGTACTGGTCTGACTGGTACTGGTCTGACTGGTACTGGTCTGACTGATACTGGTCTGACTGGTACTGGTCTGACTGGTACTGGTCTGACTGATACTGGTCTGACTGGTACTGGTCTGACTGGTACTGGTCTGACTGGTACTGGTCTGACTGATACTGGTCTGACTGGTACTGGTCTGACTGATACTGGTCTGACTGGTACTGGTCTGACTGATACTGGTCTGACTGGTACTGGTCTGACTGGTACTGGTCTGACTGATACTGGTCTGACTGGTACTGGTCTGACTGATACTGGTCTGACTGGTACTGGTCTGACTGATACTGGTCTGACTGGTACTGGTCTGACTGATACTGGTCTGACTGGTACTGGTCTGACTGATACTGGTCTGACTGGTACTGGTCTGACTGATACTGGTCTGACTGGTACTGGTCTGACTGGTACTGGTCTGACTGGTACTGGTCTGAGTGGTTCACGATCTGTACATGTGCGAGAAGGAGGGAAGGGAGCGAGCTTGTCTTTGATACAAAGAAACCAAGCTTTTGAAATGTTGATTATTATCATCAAGGAGGAACTAACCAGAATGTTTATGTCTAGTTTATGGTTATAGAAAACAACTGTAGATCTGTGGAGCGATTTTGGGCGGTGAAACCAACAGAGGCACATGGAGAACATGCAAACTGCACCAACAAACAACCAACACAGATCAGTCATGAACCCCTAAGACGTCATAGAACAGCAAACCTCTTTGCTTCTGTGGACACTTTGATATAGTGTTGAGGACTGACGTCTGTCACTGTCACATCTGTCACATGTGTGTTGACTTTAAGCTTTCAGAAGAAATATCAAATGGAAAGAAGTAAATAGAAAGTACAGAAACAGACAACACCAACACAGGACCAAATCCAGACACAAGAGTTGTGACGAAGCGGAGGAGCCTCTGGAGTCGTGTTTATCCTGAAGCTTTGATCCTGAGCTCAGTTTGACATGACCAGTGCTTTGACCCCGGTGACCGTTAAAACAAGTGATTTACCACAGACAACACATTTGATGTATTTTCTGGTGTAAATTTAGAGACATCCACTCTTTACATTCCACACATATAATAGTAAAGTAAAGGAACCATTTGGATAAAGGTTTATATGACTTCAGGTGGGAGCATACAGTATTTAGAATGACGGGAGGTATTTAAGGTTAAAGCACCAATGCTAATGTATTTCTTTAAGAATATTTTTCCACATGCTTTTTGATGAAGGTCTGTGGTCGAGAAATCAGCAAGATTTTGATAAATGCGGTTTTTTGGGGATGGATAATTTCTTGGCGCAGGAAAATACATAAACGCTGCACCTCTGACTGTGACGTACAATTGTGGACAAAGGCACTCTAAAACACAGAGCATGTGGACTTGTTTTGTTGATCTATATCAAAGTGAATATTTTTAAGAAGAAATATCGTCCAGTTGAAGCAATGTGTAATGTCACGACAGAACTCAAGATTTGAGCACAACTGACATAAACCAGAGGAGAAAGAGACCAATCGACACACAGCAAAATGGCAGAGGCATAATTACCACGCTCATGACTCGTGACTGAGGAAAGTGCCCAAAACAAACATGAGAAAAGAAAGACAACAGAGCAAAGAAAGAGTGTAAGAAACAAAGAGAAAGGTCTGAACCAGTCCCAGCGCTGGCCAAGGCTCACTACTGTTCACAACCACAGTGTGAGGCCCTGGGCTCTTGTTTATAATCTGTATGAAACGGGCTGAAGATCAGAGTCAGTGTCAGTGCTAAGCAAGTAAATGTATGTAAATATGTATATATGTATGTATGTGTGTATAAATGTATGTATGTGTGTATATAATTGTATGTATGTGTGTATGTCTGTATGTGTATATACTGTATACATATGTAGATACCTGAATCTTCGTCCAAATAAAAAACATAATGAACATAGACAGCATACATATGATATGGGGACCTTTAACTGGACATGTGAGATATTGTCTGAAGATTGGAATAAAAGTTCACCTGATCCTTCTTCTGTCACCATTCCCAGACCTTCTGCTTTGTTCTGTCGCTCAAACGCATTTAGATCCAAAACGCTGTGAAAACAAGAACAACTGTTAAGTCTGTGTTTTTGGGATATGACAAAGACAGTAAAGTTAAGAACTTTTATATGATATTTAGCCAAAGAACAAATCTGTACCTGCACGACTGCATGAGTCTGGCCAGACTCTGGAAGAAACCCACATCTTTCTTGTCTTTGAGGTAATCCAGCATTTTCTGTGAGATGAAGAAAAAGGAGCGTCACTATTTGTGAGGCTCCAGTTCCAAAGAGAGGAGAAACAGAGAGTACCTGCTGCACTGTGGAGTTCCCCCCATTCAATATGGCTATTCCCAGCTTCAGCGTGGAGGCCACCATCAGACCCATCTCACCTGAGACACAGAAACAACAGACTTCACATTGAGCAGGGGTTAGACCGGTTTGGACACCCCTGACATAAGAGTAAAGCCATGTGTCACATGTGAAATATGTTTTCATCCATTCTTGCCTTGTGCCTTTGAATTTCAAAGATACAATAATGATGGCATGATTTAATAGCTAAAATGATAGCTATAATGAGCTATAGCTTTAGCTACGCCTCACATCATCACAATCATTATCAAAAGATCATTAGGTGAGGTTATTATTACTGCTGCTACTGGACACCTGAATTCCTCCTAGAAGGGATCAATAAAGTATCTATCTAAGAAGAAAGTCCACACCTTTGCTTGCACTCAGCGTTTGGAGAACCATCTCTGCAGCTCCTCGGTCGTGCAGCCGAGCCTGCTGGTACAACAGCTTCTGCTTCTCCATCTCTTTCTCCTGTTGCACAGACACACATCACTGACCGCTCACAGGCAGCTGCTCTAGACCACAGTTCATAACCAGAAGCTTACAAACCTCAAACGTCTTCACTTCTTCTCCGTCTTCATCCTCTTCATCGTGGCAGCTCTGAGGAGAATGAAAGAGAAACACTCAGAGACAATGTAAAAGTAAAGGCCTGAAAAGCTCTTTATTATTTATTACTAAATAATAAAGTGTATTGAGCACTATTGGGAATGGGAATGGGAGTTTGTGCTTGGGGTAGGAAGGCTTGGAGAGGTTTTTTAAATATCTGTATTTGTGTTGGACCTGAGCCTAACAACTCCTCAGAGAAACTACAGAAGCAGAAATCTTGTACCTTCGCCATAATATCCGCGTAAGCCATGTACAGCAAATCCTCATCCAGTTTACTGCAGCCAACACACACAAGAGAAACATATCACACTGTAAAACTTACTCTGCATAAAAATTATTATTTAAAGAGTTAATCACGTGTTTCAAGCAATATTTATCCACCAGCTTCAATAAGCGTTAATTTGTTTGAATTCATTTGAAATACATATTTATGGGTAATTAGTATAGTAAATATTTGTTAACAGAAATAAGATGTGATTGTGACATGACTCGACAGGGAGTCGGTGTGAGGTTTGTGTAAGCACCATTTCTCAGTGAGAGCAGTTCTGCTGAACAGCTGAATGAGCTGATGCAAAGGATCGATGAGCTTTACTCCTTCTTCCTCTTCCAACGTTTCCTGTTCACCAGGTTTCTGTCAAAAACAGAGAATATATAAATTGTTAGTGAACCACAGGACCAAGAACATCTTACACTGAACTTACAGCCAGATCCTCGATGAGTTTATCCTCAAAGTAGTGCTCTTCTGCTTCTATCCAGGACTTCTCGTAGCCCTGCAGGAACAGGTTGACTGCTCGGTGCCTGTGGGACAACAGTAGAATCAGCCTCAGCTTTAGGCCAGTCTGTGGGTGTGGACATACCGTGGTAAGTTATAAAGAGGTGCCATTCTGAAGCATGCCACCACTGCCCTCTTTCTCTGTTTGGAGAGCAGCTTGTGCCACACAGCCTTCTTACTGCGCTGAGGATGCTCCACCTAAACAGACAGACTCAAGCCATCTCACCACAGTCACTTACACAGAAATGTACGGCTGAGACAAACCTGATCCAGATGAAAAAGCACATGAGCAATGTCCAGGACCCTGTCCACAGTCTTGTCTGGGTCTGAGAATTCTTCACAGTGACTGGGGAGTTCTCGATACAAGGCCCTCTGCCAGCGGATGGCTGGATCCTCCAGCTGTGAGACACAGAGAGCATTAGCCTAATACAGTCCTAATACAGTAAACTTTCATGAATCTAAACTCGCCTTTCCCTGCAGGTGCAGGTTGCTTCTGATAGTCTCTCGGACTTCAACTTCAGTGTCCTTCTATTGTTAAAGATCAAAGTGGTTAGATGCTTCTCGTGCTCTCACTTGGGGCAGTCGTGTTGTACCTGCGTGAAGCGGTTCTTGGCCAGTGCGATCAGCTCTTGTTCCCCAGGAGCACACATGTTGAGCCCCACAGGCAGCAGCCTCTTCAGCGTGGCCACAATCAGACTGGTCTGCATGGTGTAGCGGTCTCCCTTCCTCTTCATCTTCTTCCTTTCCTGGTCCGACACCAAGCCCTACAGCCAAGCCCAGCAGTGAGGAACGCTGAAGATACTGTGTGTACTCAGGGAGCGCAGATATTTTACCTTTGACATTTTACACTTAGTGTCAGAGATGAGGAACGACATGTTGTTGATTTCATTCTGTACCACAAAGTTCTGCTCCTCTCTCTTGAAATTCTGCAAAATGAAGATCAACTTTAGTCGTCAGAACAAAACCCATAATTTCCTTCTGAAACTAATAATGAATTTAAAATGAATCTCACGTGAGATTTTGACCAAAATATGAAGACTTCAGCCACCATCCTGAACAGCTCCTCAGCGTCTGGGTCCGACTCCCGCAACCACCGAGCCCTGTCACAGTCCACAGTCTGTTCTTACATCCAATGATCAAATGGAACATTTTCAACTAATGTATATATACATAAAATACAAGCCATGACATTAAAGAGAGTGAGGAAACTGCACAACTAAACCTTTCCTTCCAAGCTCAGATGGAGAATATGGAAACACACCTTGCATGGCAGAAACAATATTTTGTGTGGTCTGTACCTGTTGTAGTCCACAAATCGGATGAGTAGCGGGTAAAAGGCGTACAAGTCCCGCACCAAGACGGTGAACTGGTCCATGATGAGCAGCTCTGTCTCTGACATCTCCCCTCTGCCCTCTGCTTTACTGTGCTCCTCGTCCAGAAGAACCACTGACGCTTTCTGAGCACAACACACACTCACTACTACTGCACGCATGTACGTTCATTACTCAGTATAATCATTCATGAAGGACAATGATGACGTTTTCTCAAGACTCACTTTCTTGAGTTTGTCCATAAGAGGCAGGAAGTGGGTCTTGAGAAGTTCTGGTTGTGCCTTGATGATGATGGGCTGCGAAAAGACTTTAGAACAGTGGGAGGAGCATGAGTCTAGGTCTGTAATAAACAAGGATAGAAGTGTGATGAGGAAATACCCGCCAGCCGCTTCATCCAGGCTCCTTCATCAATGCCCAGGTTGTTATAGATGATCTTCAGGATGTTTCCCAACAGAGCGTTCATGTGCTGCGAGGTGACCGCTGTGCAACAGCCTTCTGCCCGCTCCGCTGTGTTCTCTGGGCCGTGCTCCCACCAGTGGGACATATAGTTACACAACATAGGCAGCACCACCTGCAACAGAGGCAGAGCAGAGGTGACCTCTGTCGCCTGATTGGGAGATCTCAGAAGGCACTGCTCTTACTTCCATCACGTGAGGCATCTGTGTGTACCTCATGCCAGACTGTGCCAGATCAGTGATCTCCTGCAGACACGTGTCCAGGTTGGGGAGGAGCGGACAAACTTGGCTGACCTGTCCTTGGAGCCCCAGGGCTACATTCAAAAGATATGATAATATTACTTTATTTCTTCAAATGTACACTATTATCTCTAATCAGACAATCACACAATTATTACATAATAAAATCCTGAGCATAGAAGCTCACCACAACAATGAATTGTAAAAAATTAAAAATCAATATAAGAATTTGATGAAAGACAGAATACCAATGCGCTCTTTTGCAGGTCTGCTGTTGTAGATAGAAAAGGGGTTGAACTTGTTCAGGTGGGGCTCCAGGAAAGCAACAGGAAAAGCAGCAGAAAATGCCGCCAGACACTTTCCTAAAGCAGGCCGCTGTCTGCACACAGAGACATCAGGAGGTTACCAGGCTGAAAACAAGAGTGCACTGAACTACAGCCAGAACAAACTCACACCTCTCCACATAGATGCTTGTGTTGGTGCCCAAGAGGTACAGACTGTTGAGAATTCTGTAGCAGGAAACCTGAACATCGTCCACTGAAAGAGAAGAACATAAAGCATGACTTTCCCAGCTCAGACTATGGGACCGTTGGGAGTGAGGTACGCACGGATCAAGTCCTCTCCGAAGGCGTTCTCGCCGATGTGCTCGTACAGAGAGGAGAGCACCGGCAGCAGAGCCACTGTGGTGTAGTTGATGATCTGAGTGACTCCACGCGGCTGCTCTCGGCTGTGGCTAAACTGACCCAGCTGCAGGTTTTCTTGGGTCTTTTCCAGATCCTCAGCCGCGTTCAAAAAGTAGCACCGCAGGGCCACTTTCACTGACTCCAGACCAGTCTTCATCACTGTCCTGAAACATGCACAAAATGCTCAGACAATAACAGTCCTGCCCCCGTCGCACACAAGATACATTCTTAGTCTGACCTGGCATCCAAGCTCTGTCCAAGGATCTGCAGACAGTTCACGATGGAGCTTGCGTGGCTCCCTGTTAAAAAGATGCAGCAGATGAAGAAGTGTTTTGCATTAGATCATAGTGTATGTGTGGGCAGTGACTAATGGATTAAGGGGTAGAAAATGGATGGATGGTGGTTTATAAATCAACTTAGATGTTGAAAACTGATCATTATGTTCATCATCACTGTTTGAGTTAATCTTCTGTAGAGGAAAGCGGGCGTTAACACATGCAGGACCACATACAATTTCCCTTACCAAATAAGGATATCCTGTGTCTGACCAGAACACCCAGTTTGCAGAAAAGGCTGGATATTACAGTAGAGGAGCATGTAGAAAATGAGAGAAAATAGAAGAGGAAGTATGAGAGACACCGGTGGACTAAAGAGGCCCTTACACACCTACTTCTCAGTTACATACTGCTTAAGACCCCTTGAAGCAATAGAAATAAAAAAGGTAAATTCTAAACTCACCTGGTGACCATCTCCTTCTCCTTGTTGGAGGCATGACCACCGCTGCTTATGAGGTGTATGGCTGTAGACAAGAAGTAGAGCCGGTGGTTTTTGAAGTACTGATCCAATAAAGGAAGAACCACCTGAGGGAAGTATTGTGATGGTGAGCAATGAAGCTTGTATTTGGTTTGGTATAATTTTAAATTATTCTGACCTTCCCAAAGAATTTAATCTGCTGTTCGTGAGGAATCTTCTCTCCCTTTTGCCTTGTGCCCACATCTGACAAAAACCATTTATTGTTTGATTACGAAAAGAATTGACAGCAAGCATGAGAAAGACGTCTCTCTCACCGAAGTCTAACATGTGCTGATGCGCCTGGTCCACATACGCAATAAGTTGCTGCAAGAAAGTGTAGGCAAAGCGCTTCTCTATCGCAGGAGTGTCTAGTTCTGGAGACTTTACCCCCCTGGATGAGAGAATCAGGATCAGAATATTCAAACTAATGCTGTAAATGTAGTTTAGCATCTTCCCGTAACTGTTAATTTTACCTGGACAAAATGTATCCATTGATCTGTAGGAACTTGAGGATGTCCTGAGCCTTTTCTCTGTCTTTGGCCTTCTCTTTAGCGGTCAGTGTGTCATATGGGACTAAGAGCGGATGGTTCCCACCTCCTGTGTGCAGAGACAGTCAGCATAAACTGGACACGTCCTGATGGAACACCCTCCACACTTTTACCTTTAGCTTCTAGCTCCTGTTTCTTTTTCCTGGCCCAGATATTATGGTAATTCTCAGCAAGCAGCTCTGCCATGGACTGAAAACAGAAAAGTATTTTCTGGTATTCGACCACAACAATAGACTGTAATTGAAGTAAATGCATGAAGGCTGAGGATACCTGCATATCTCTGGATAGTGTTACGTTGCTCATATCGATGGGCCTGGGGAAGAAAGCTGGACCACCCTCAAACGACAGCTGTGTGTAAACACATGTAAACACATGAAAACACAGGCACATGTCAATATATAAATGCTTTTTAATTATAACTAGAAGTTCTGTATACTTGTTGTATGCTCATGTAATGTGAAATGTTATATATTGTCATTTTGGTCTCTGTATGAATGAATAAATCGCATGGTTTCGCAGGAATAGCCGCTTGGGGATCTAATAAAGAGCTACTGTTCTCCAGTGCAAGTCCTGACCTGGCTGATCTGGGAGATTCTTCTGGACTTGTTGCAGAGATTTGCTGGGTCTGACTCTTTGATGCGCTCGATGCTCCAGCCCCATGAGAGCATGGTCTTCAGAGACTCTGTTACAGGCCAGCGATACGCCTCCCTTTCCTGCTCGCACACACACACACACACACACACACACACACACACACACACACACGTCAGGGCGACGGCTGGGACACGGCCGTCACCCACCCTCATATACACACACTATACCTTCTCTGGGATGCTCTTGTAAGGCTTCAGTAAAGCGTGGGTTTTAGCGATCTCACAGATCTGGTCTCCATGGGACCAGCCAGAGGAAAACTTGAACAAAAGACAGAACTTGTATTGGTTTGGATGATTCAGAGAGAGATTTAAAATAGTAAAACAATCTTCACCTTTTCTGTACACCACTTCTCATGGTTGTGTTCTGCATATCGTGTGATGAAACAGTCCAGTTTTTCAGGCACAGCGATACTGTAGATAAATGATTACAGATCAGAGAATAGACAATAATCAGCACACGGAACCTACTTGTGAAGTTAACCTGGTGATGTCTGCAGGCTGAGGAGTGAAGTTCCCCTCAGAGTCCATGGAAGACTGCTTCTCCATCAGAGTCATGTAATTGGACTCCATGTAGTCTGGAGGGAGGGCCCCGGCGACAGCACTGAGACAGGGCAAGGCCAGCTTAAACAGCTCTTGCTCGTACGGCTGTGGACAAACGCCTCTGAAAACAATGTCGTCTGAATCGCTCGTGTGTGACGTAGAAGTGCTAACCTTACGCGACAGAGCATCAAAGATTCCCCAGAAGAGTTTCCTGGAGAGGTGCAGCTCCTCGTCTGATGCTGCCCCGAAGCTGCCCCAGCCTCCAGACAGACAGTAGTACTTCCAGCAGCGCTCGTAGTGGTTGGTTAGCAGCTGAAGTAGAAGAGGACAGAATCACAGTGGCAGCTTTTGTCTAGAACTACATTAGGTGTCACTAGAATCATCAATGGAGGTCTGGCTTTGTCCGGAACCTTATCAGTCGAGAAACAAGACATTTATACACAAACATTCAAATTACTATCAAATTACTATTATAATCATATTCCAAAATAAAGTACAAACTGCTCGGTCATGCTAAACACATTATATGAAGACAGACGCTATCTTACAGTACAGGGAAAACTCTGAATCTCTATCATTTCACTTGAAATGTGAAACCGTCCGTCCGTCCGTTTTCCTCCGCTTCATCCGTTGCCGGGTCGCGGGGGCAGCAGTCTAAGCAGAGACGCCCAGACTTCCCTATCCACACACACTTCCTCCAGCTTGTCCGGGGGGACCCCAAGGCGTTCCCAGGCCAGCTGAGAGACATACTGTAGTCCCTCCAGCGTGTCCTAGGTCTTCCCCGGGGCCTCCTCCCGGTGGGACGTGCCCGGAACACCTCCCCAGGGAGGCGTCCAGGAGGCATCCTGAACAGATGCCCGAGCCACCTCAACTGGTTCCTCTTGACGTGGAGTAGCAGCGGCTCTACTCCGAGCTCCTCCCGTGTGACCGAGCTCCTCACCCTATCTCTAAGGGAGCAGCCACTCTGCGGAGGAAGCTCATTTCGACCGCTTGTATCCGCGATCTCGTTCTTTCGGTCACTACCCAAAGCTCATGACCATAGGTGAGGGAGGGGACAAAGATTGACCGGTAAATCGAGAGCTTTGCCTTTCGGCTCAGCTCCCTCTTTACCACAACGGTCCGATACAGCTCTGACTGCAGACGCTGCTCCCTCTTTACCACAACGGTCCGATACAGAGACCGCATCACTGCGCACGCTGCACCGATCCGCCTGTCAATCTCACGCTCCATCCTTCCCTCACTCGTGAACAAGACCCCGAGATACTTGAACTCCTCCACTTGAGGAAGGACCTCTCCACCCACCTGCAGAGGGCAAGGCACCTTTTTCCGGTCGAGCACCATGGCCTCAGATTTGGAGGTGCTGATTCTCATCCCAGCCGCTTCACACTCGGCTGCAAACCGTCCCAGTGCATGTTGTAGGTCCTGGTTTGTTGGAGCCAACAGAACAACATCGTCCGCAAACAGCAGAGATGAAATCCTGTGGTCCCCGAACCGGACCCCCTCCGGCCCCTGGCTGCGCCTAGAAATTCTGTCCATGAATACAGTGAACAGAACCGGTGACAAAGGGCAGCCCTGGCGGAGGCCAACATTCACCGGGAACAGGTCTGACTTACTGCCGGCAATGCGAACACAGCTCTGGCTCCGGTCATACAGGGAGCGAACGGCCCTCAGCAGAGGACCCCGGACCCCGTACTCCCGGAGAACCCCCCAAAGAACACCCCGGGGAACACGGTCGAACGCCTTCTCCAAATCTACAAAGCACATGTGGACAGGTTGGGCGAACTCCCATGAACCCTCGAGTATCCGATGGAGAGTATAGAGCTGGTCCAGTGTTCCGCGGCCGGGACGAAAAATGTGAAACCAATACATGATATAGACTCATATTCAAATTTTACTGAGGTGTTTTATGTGTGGTTTGTACAAGCTCTGAGCCATTTATCAATATCATGACTAATGATGTTGATAATTGAGACCACAGGTGTAAATTAGAACTCCTGCTACAACCTGGTACAATGCATCTCTCTTATATCTTATATCATACACTGTCCCTGGACAAATATAAATCATACATAAAACTAAAGGCTTGATATGTATCTCACCTTTGCACGTACCCGGCACTGAGTCTGTCATGTAATAGTTTAATATTGTAAGTTGAATTACTGGAGTATATTACTGGAGTCAACAATATTCCAATTTTCCGAGTTTCTCCTGTACATCAGACTTGGAGGAAACTTGATCTTATATCTTACAGTATATCTCACCTTCAAAGGCATCTTGGTGTGTTCATTCAGCAGAGGGACATCAAATACCAGCCTCCTCAGCAGGTGCTGCATCATGGAAGGCCTCAGCTTCCTGAAAGAGAGGTCTTATCTTACACAAAGCCTCCGGGAGCAGGGGATGACAATCTGTGGTAAATCTTACCCGCAGACAGAGAGCAGGCACTCCTCGATGGCGTCACGCTGGGCCTTGGTCAGACAGCAGCCTCTGGACAGGCGGTACACAGTGTGGAGCAGGGAGTCGATCAGGGAAGCAAACGGCTCCGTGCCCGCAAACAGAGGCGCACATTTAGTCAGCAGGGGGAGCACCGCCGTACAGAGGTAACGATTCAAAGCCAGTGCCATGTCTGTCGCACTGAGGGCCACCTGGCAAAGACAGACTGTCACTACTCAGACAATCTCCTTTCAATCCATTCATGTCAGAAAATATGAAGTTTAGCAAAATCTTACAGTATCAAGAGAGGCGGCAGCTCTCAGATCAGGTAAAAAGCCAATCTCAAGTAAGTGCAGGAGAAAGTTCTGGTCTTCAATCCCATAGACACGATCCAGAAACAGTACCATGGCTGCTTTGTGGTCCGGACAGAAGCCAGCCGACATGTCAGGCTCCAAAACCACCCCATCTATCAATATGAGTAACACATGAGTTCACACCCCAACTGCACACGTGACATTACCCATGGATCCATACGGCTGACCTTTAGTGAGGCTGGGCATGGAGAAGGGGATACTGATGACCCCCACGAGGTCCTTGATGGGAATGAGGGAGCGCAGAATGGCCCTGATGCGAATGGCTTCACCTTTGCCCGCGTGGATCAGCTGAAAGATAATTAAAGAGGGATGACTCAGAGGAATATGTTCTGTTACTGCGTGTGTTTACGTTTTCTCACATGCATCTCAGGAGCACAGCGGCCGAGCAAGTCGATCAGTGCCGAGTAAAAGGTCATGATGGCGTTTCCCATGTGGATGGTGTCGTCCTCTTCGTCCTCCATCAATTCCCTGGAACACACAGCACTAACCTCATCAATACTTTTATATTTATGAAATCCTTGGATACACATTAAGCCCAGAACCAGGTCTCATTTTATGAATTTGGCCCCAGACACAAAATGAGTTTGATACCCTGAATTACAGCTGATCACATCAAAATGATATAAGAAAGAAAATGAAATTACTACTGTATATATATATATATATATATATATATATATATATATATATATATATATTTATTATATATATATATATATTTTTAAAAAAACAGCAGCTTACAGGGTCCGATTGCTCTCAGATGTGGGGGAGGGGCCATCTCTACAGGGATCCTGGGAAATCTTAATGGCTTCCTCCATGGCCGACAACAGACCATCTCCTCCTTCTCCTCGAAGAGCGGGGCCGAAACACTCCGGTCGACGGATCAGCAGTCTCACCACCACATTAGCGTTTTCTTCCACACTTTCCCCTGCACACAAACATGTTAAGAAAGGATACAGTCCAAATGAAACGGTCCAAAAAGGAAACGGTCCAAATGAAACGGTCCAAATGAAACGGTCCAAATGAAACAGTCCAAATGGAACGGTCCAAATGAAACGGTCCAAATGAAACGGTCCAAATGAAACGGTCCAAATGAAACGGCCCAAAGGAAACGGCCCAAAGGAAACGGCCCAAAGGAAACGGCCCAAAGGAAACGGCCCAAAGGAAACGGCCCAAAGGAAACGGTCCAAAGGAAACGGTCCAAATGAAACGGCCCAAAGGAAACGGTCCAAATGAAACGGTCCAAATGAAACGGTCCAAATGAAACGGTCCAAATGAAACGGCCCAAAGGAAACGGCCCAAAGGAAACGGCCCAAAGGAAACGGCCCAAAGGAAACGGCCCAAAGGAAACGGCCCAAAGGAAACGGCCCAAAGGAAACGGTCCAAATGAAACGGTCCAAATGAAACGGCCCAAAGGAAACGGCCCAAAGGAAACGGCCCAAAGGAAACGGCCCAAAGGAAACGGCCCAAAGGAAACGGCCCAAAGGAAACGGCCCAAAGGAAACGGTCCAAAGGAAACGGTCCAAATGAAACGGTCCAAATGAAGCGGTCCAAATGAAACGGTCCAAATGAAACGGTCCAAATGAAACGGTCCAAATGAAACGGTCCAAAGGAAACGGCCCAAAGGAAACGGCCCAAAGGAAACGGCCCAAAAGAAACGGCCCAAAGGAAACGGCCAGGCCAAGGAAACGGCCCAAAGGAAACGGCCCAAAGGAAACGGCCCAAAGGAAACGGCCCAAAGGAAACGGCCCAAAGGCCCAAAGGAAACGGCCCAAAGGAAACGGCCCAAAGGCCAAAACGGCCCAAAGGAAACGGAAACGGCCCAAAGGAAACGGCCCAAAGGAAACGGCCCAAAGGAAACGGCCCAAAGGAAACGGCCCAAAGGAAACGGCCCAAAGGAAACGGGTCCAAAGGAAACGGTCCAAAGGAAACGGTCCAAAACGTCCAAGGAAACGGTCCAAAGGAAACGGTCCAACGGTCAAGAACGGTCCAAAAGAAACGGTCCAAATGAAACGGTCCAAAAGAAACGGTCCAAAAGAAACGGTCCAAAAGAAACGGTCCAAAAGAAACGGTCCAAATGAAACGGTCCAAATGAAACGGTCCAAATGAAACGGTCCAAAAGAAACGGTCCAAAAGAAACGGTCCAAATGAAACGGTCCAAATGAAACGGTCCAAATGAAACGGTCCAAATGAAACGGTCCAAAAGAAACGGTCCAAATGAAACGGTCCAAATGAAACGGTCCAAATGAAACGGTCCAAATGAAACGGTCCAAATGAAACGGTCCAAATGAAACGGTCCAAATGAAACGGTCCAAATGAAACGGTCCAAATGAAACGGTCCAAATGAAACGGTCCAAAAGAAATAGTCCAAATGAAACGGTCCAAATGAAACGGTCCAAATGAAACGGTCCAAATGAAACGGTCCAAATGAAACGGTCCAAATGAAACGGTCCAAATGAAACGGTCCAAATGAAACGGTCCAAATGAAGCGGTCCAAATGAAACGGTCCAAATGAAACGGTCCAAATGAAACGGTCCAAATGAAACGGTCCAAATGAAACTTCTTACCGTTACAAAACACAGCAAAACGCAGGAAGTCCAAGTAGCGCTCTCCTTCCACAGGGTTCCATCCGATGTCGGGGTAACCTTTGCAGACTAACATCACACAACTCTGCAGGCCACAGCCAGCCAGGTACCGCACCACCTGAAACACACACAGTCACACAAAGCATTCATAATCATGCATTTATTTTACGGCTGTCAGACTGTACTATAAGTCACTTTAAGTCACTAATGCACTAGGACTGAAAAACTGACTCCATCTTTGCCAAATGGGACATGTACATTTCTCCAGTGTGAGATCAATAAAGTCTATCTTATCTAGTCTTATCTTAAAAACATGTGATATATACAAGTCATGAGATATACTGCATTTCTCCTCACTTTTCTCCTCACTCAGACGCTGCAATCACGAGGCTGGATGATACAATTCAATTAAATAATATCTTATACAACAATACGTGTCAACAAATGTCATACAACAGCATCTTGTACGGATCCAAAATGGAGGCCAATCCTGATATCATACAGTACAATAACCAATCCTTACTAGTACCATCCCACCGTGGGTCCATGTTTTGGAGGTTGGTTTTACAGTATGACATCCATGAACTATCTCGTGGCTCAGTACCTTCTCCAGGTCTGGTTCCCTCAAAGCCAAAGCCAGCTCGTTGTTGTCCATAACAGACGCCGCGGCCACGTCCAGAGGAGTGGAACCGCGCATGGAAGGTGAAGCTGAGAAGACAACATTAAAAATACATTATGCACTGAGCGTTTACCGTGAGCTTTTGACCGTAGCACGAGGCTTACCTAGTCCCACGCTGCTGTTCTCCAGGAGGTAACTGAGATGGTCAAACATGGCCTTCTGGTTCTGGCGGCTGATGCGACAGAAGTAACACAGAAATCGACAACAGTTTGCCACCATTTTGGGGAAGGTAATTTCCTGGAAGTCATATGCACGAGGGCAGAAAGTATTAGTATCGAGAGAGGAAAGAAAAACAGCAGATGTATAGAGGTTACCTTAGAGTCTCCTCCACTCAGGACATTGACCATGACCTCCATGACAGTCTCGTGCATGCCCAGCGCTCTCATCAGGTTAGGGTGCTGGTAGAAGACCTTGTTGTTCATAATATCACTGGACAGACAGAAAAGGAATCACAAAGGACATTTAAAGTAGTTTGAAAGGTTGGAAGGCACTTGGAGTATTATTTCCATGATTTAGTCCTCGTTCTACAGCCTGGATCCTGGTCTACAGCCTGTCTGTCTATGGGAGCGGATCCCTCTCACAATGCGGGTCTCCCAGAGGTTCTCACTTTTGTCCAACTGTTTTAGTATTTTGAGTTGTTCCTTACCGATGCACAAAGGCCGGGACATTTAAGGACATTTTTATGGACACTGGTTACCCAATTCAATTCAATTCAATACTTTATTTCGGATACAATGGTAAAAGGTCCATACCAGAAAGACATTCAAAAGAGGATTAAAAATAAAGAAAAAATAAGTCATTTCCTGTATAGGCTTCGAAGCCAGTGTTGCATCAGTATAGAACATTAGGAAAGAGGAGCACACGGCACAAGATAAGTGAACAACAATAAGTATAAAATCTCTATCTATGGTAATAGTGTATCCTGTGTATTTACAAAGACAAGTCAGTGTCTGTGCCACGTCGCTTCTTTCATTCCTCATTTAGTCATAATAAAAGATTACATAACAGCATACACTCACCCCAGCCCCCGGATCATAAGTTTCTCCTCTTCACGCCCCATGCGCACACTCAGCAGAGAGCGGATCTGACCCAGAGCAGCCAGGAGAGTGATTGTGTCCTCTATCGAGACTGAGTTTATGGTGTAAGTCTTTGGAAGAGCTCGGACCTGAAAACATTACACAAAGCTACTGCCTTGTATGTATGCGTATGTATTTGCTGTTGCAACGTTATCAATTTCAGTTTCCAAATGTATGTATTTCATTCACAGAAGATTTAAAATGTAATCTCAAATGTTCTATATGTTGAATACATGAGACTGTCTGTACTCACCAGTCCTCCGATGCCGTCATATTGGCGATGGAGAAGGACAAACATGGCTCGGACCAGTTCTGGGTCGTCTATCACAGCCTCCTGAGCCCAGCGCACCATGGTGTCGGAGATGAGCTGCTGAAGGGTGCCTGCGGAGGACAAACATGTGTTACCTGCTGGATCACAGAACAGACCGGAGGAAAGTCCAGACAAGAGCATGCACAATATAATTTATTCTTGTATAGCCCTAAATTACAACAGAAGTCCTTAACAAAACCATTGAAATCCCCAACACAGATCAGAGAATCAACGGTTAAAACACATCCCAGAGCACATGTTGAAAAAAATGTCCATACATGTTGTAGAATGTTAAAGTGTCCTGGATCATCACCACATCCTTTTAACCCATTTTATTATTCTTACCTATTACTGTATGTCTCGTTTCAAACAAAGCAAAGTGTTGTCGTGTTGGCGTCACACACTCACTCAGCTTGCGTCCGTGCGTTTCCAGAGGGAGGTGTGCCATCTTCTTCTTCAGATTCGACACTTTCTCCACTAAGGACATGAGGCGCCCCCTGATGGTGACGTCTGCGCCGCGGTCCAAGGATCTGTCTTCATCCAGTTCTGCAGACACCAAGCAACCCATATTTTACAGACATGAAATGCTTTAGTCTATGTATCTACTTATTTACAACGACACTGGTTATATGTTAATAAAAGGAGGTGAAAGAGCACTTTACCACAGTGCCTCATGAGGTCATCGTGGAAGTCCAGCAGCTGCTCCCGGATATCGTGGGGACAAGGACACTCCTGCTTCTCATCCTTAAAGTTTAACAGCATGTTGATCTAAAGGACAAATTAAATGTATTCAAAATAGAGGCAAAGCTTTTGAAACATATGGAAGTGACAAGTCCATATGGTTGCTAAACTGTTGTCGTGTCCCTCGGCAAAAAACCTGACCCACATTGCCTGGAATGAGTCTGGTGTGTGCGTGAATGGACAGACAGAATATTTGCAGAGATTGAATAATGCCATGTGACGTGTCTTTAAGTGTCCAATAATGTAAATAATACCCATAATCAAATAAACAGTTATAGTACGATACAAAGAGAAGCTAGACAAAGCTATTGGGAAATGCCTGGTCGGCTGTTACCTGCTCCTGGGGAGGGGAGCGGAACTCTTTGGTCTTCTTTGCAGTGAGGGCAGCAGACATGTTAAGAGCTAACATGACTTCATTGTATCGAAAACGCTGATTGTCCTGAAGAGACGCCACAAAGTCGTCAGAAAACGCCACCACGGCCTCGATCCGATGGCGGAGCTGGCAGTCGCACAGGAAACACAGCACGTGGCACATCTACAGGAAAATACATAAGAGAGAGCAACCTCAGAACATGAATCATGAGTGAGAGAAACTTCAAATGAGTGACTTAAAAATGCAATCATTCCTCTTGTATTTGAAAAAGAGGAATTTGTGCATACAGGGCCAAAAAAAAAAAGGAAAGGTAAACGTGAGGAGTCAGGTCATTAAGGATCCGTGGAAAAGTGGAAAACAAAGTCGAGAAGGTGCGAGGCATTCTCACTTAAAATAATATTCTTTATTATTGTGGGGACATAAAAACAAAAAAGACAGATGTATTGGTCATTTCACTAGATGTTATTGACCGTGTTGGTAAAATTGTATGTAACAAATATATATCTATCTTTCTACATTGCAATTAAAATGATTTATGACGAAGCAAAAAGGAGGCTAAAGCAGAAAGTGTATAAAGTGTAAATAAAATACACAAATTGAAGAAAGGAAAGGCACCTGTAGTTTGACAGACTCTGGAAGCTTCATCTGCAGCAGCCCTTCTTTGGCCACAGATCGCTGCTGCTCAGGCCCCTGCTCTGAAAACACATTGGGTTCGATCAGACGCAGAATCCTCTTCAGGTCTCCATTGTGGAACAGTCCCATGATGAGCATGGTGTACACCAGTTTGAGGACAGGCACGAACAGGAACTCCGTGCTTCCGCCAATGGGGTCTCGCACGTGCTTGCTCCCCTCCTGCACCGCCTCGGTCAGCATCTCGATGGTCTTCTCCTTCAGGACGCCCAGAGGGAACTCGGGGCTGTACTGGAAGCAGTCTCCTGAAAGTGCACTGTCGGCACTGTGGGTGTAGTGTACAGAGCGGTTACAAATGAAGTTAGGGGAGGAGAAAAGCATTCGGGGCTGGAGAGAGGTGCTCAGACCAATGCCTGGGAGCCCTTGTTCATTGGAGTCTTCGGGAAACAGAGTAATGCTCTTTGTGGCCTCTGTCATCGGGACAATGTACTCATCGTTCATCATGAGACGCGCTGTGGCGTAGCTGCTCAAGTGGATGTCGATGAGGAGGTCGTAGTAACCGGCTCGCAACAGCCCTGCACAGAACCAACGTTTTTCATGGTGATTGACATTGGAATGTTGTTTAAGTTATCATTTTAATAAGTCATATGTGGCTTATTCTGATTGTTTTGTAATTCAGCTTGGCTCCAGGATGTCAGGGCTGTAGGATGTATGGGTTATATGCAGATGTGGTCCCAGGCTACAATGCCACTGTTTCTTTGTTTTCTATGGCTCCTTCCTGTCCTGTACTGTTGACGTACCAAGGTCCCAATTTAACTCACTACTCACTTCAACTGTGCCTTTGTGACGACTCTGTGTAGAGGTGTGTCTTATCTACTGAAAACAACCTTACAGCCCGTTTCAAATCAGACATGTCCGAGACAGAGGCTGAGCTGCTTTGTGCTCTGTTCTCTCAAAACTCAAGGCTCCTTGGAGGGCAACCAAGTAATCAAAGAATGCCAGAACGATGGCTGTTTGTGTGTGCGATTATGTCCGATTATGTCCAAGTTTGACTGTAGTTACATATCAGCATTAACAGTAATAAATATGTATAAGCATGAAGAGAATAGTTAAAGAGCTGATGGAACGTACCAGGCATGTACTTGTCCTGAATGGCCTGCAGCAGTTGGGCCTCATCCACGTGGGAGCACAGAGCATGGGCCACACGCCGGTTCCCCAGGGCACAGATGGCAGAATACAGTCTGAGCGTGTGGTAGTGGAACCGCAAGAGCTCCTTTCGTTCTGATAGCTCCAAAACATCCACCGACCTACGGCAAAGAGATGGTAAACAAATGCATAAAAGGGAAAGGAGGGTAATGGATGGTGTGATCCTAAGAGCATCCACCTGTTCTCCTCTGGGATGTGCAGCGACATGAACTGCAGAGCCTCGGAGCACTGCACCAGCCAGCCGTGTCTGTCATTGATCCAGGACACACCCACCTACGAAACAGAGTGCACTGCCCATCAGCACACATAAAGTGCTTTGGACAATATCAAGCATGTGGAGTCTCATGGGAGATGAGCTCAACAACATAAAGAGACCACACAGGTGCGTATATCACCAATCATCTTTATCAAGACTTGAGATAATGGTCAGTACCTTGAGAAAGTGGTTGGGGACTCGGCTCCATAAAACTGGAGTAAGGAACTGAACGTGGAGGCGCGGAGGGCACTGAGGAGAGGGGTTTGTCCGCTCACTTCTGAACAGAGCCGCAGATAGAGGCATAATGTTCTGTCAATTAAATATCAAAGAAAAAATACAATGAGAACTGTTTTCTTTCCTGTGTTCCTCAAAGAGCTCTTACCCTGATGCGACCTAACTCAAACTGGAAAACATTGGGACTCGTGGCCTTGGCAAACACTGCAGGGAACAGCTTGGTGCTGGGCTCCACCTGGAGAAAGGGTTTTATGAAGGACATTTCTAAATTGTCTGTAACATGACAAGCGTATTAAGGTTTAGAAAAAACAAACACACACCTGATAGAAAGTGCTAAGCTCTTTGCCGTTGGCAGTGAAGGATAACAGGCCTGAGGTCGTGTCCACCAAACAGCCAATCTCTAATCCATTATTGTTCCTGCCCTGACCAGGACTGCTGCTTTCTCCAGCCCACACCATGTAGCAATTACTGCGCTTTATACTGGGGCAGAAAGAGGCCAATAACAATGAGGTGTAAAGCAGTAATGGCTTCATTCTGACTGCTTGCAAAAGCACTGTCACACTGCCTCACCTCTCGTGCACTTTTCCCTTCTCGTCTCCGAGAGTGACAGTGACTGTGCGCACCTTCTGCAGCTCAAAGCCAGGGTCGTACTGATGGAAGTCCGAGGTGACCCACCCCACCCACACACTGCTGGGCTCCTGCCCTGGGAAGATCCTCACAGAGTAGAAGTACTGTACACAGACAGGTACAGCAGATATTTTAAAAGCCTCATTGTTTCTTACGTTAAAGGCTTGTTACACATCAATTCCAGAATAAAATAATGCAATCAGAGACTTACAGTTGAGGCATGCATGTCATACTCGTCCTTGTCTTCCCTGTCATCAGCCCGCTCTTCCTCAGGCTGAGGGGTCACAGTAGGGCAACTGTTGTCCGGCTTATTCCTCTTCAGCATGAATCTGTCAGACAGAAGAAAAGACTCAGTCCCCAGAGACAAGGCGCTGTCAGCTGCAGAGATCCGCGCTCCGCACCTCTGCTTGAGCTTGGAGGGCTTCTCTTGGGTGTAATCTTTGTGGTTGTTGTACTCGTCTTTCTCAGGGCCGTTGGGACCACTGTAGCTCTGTGTCTTCATCAGAACCTCAAAATCTGAAACGGTTTCAAAGTCCTCTAGCTCCTACAGTAGTCAACAAAAACATGCAACTAGAAAACAATGACTACATCAACACGCTGAGTTCACTCTTTGATGTGAGGTGTTCAAGTGTGAACACAGCATGAGAAAATGTAAGAATGGCATTAGATGTTGCGATTCACAATACCTTTTTAGGTGAGAAAAAGCTGCTGTTGGTTGGACTTCTGGAGAGACACTCGGCACACTCCACAGGCATGCTCAACCTGTAGAACATGATGTCGGGGTTGTTGTTCTGAGAGCCAAAGGACCTCTGCGTGACCTTCAGGCAAGGACAGGACTCTACACTGCCATTGATCCGTGTCACCTGATAACAGAAAACAAGAAAAATTGGGATTCTCGTTATTATTACTGTATTTACTATATTCTCTAGATCATAGGGAATGTTAGAAGCCCTCAATACAAGACCAAAAGCGATAAAATCAAATGAAAACAAAGTGTATTATTTTGGTCTGTGATGCTTGCCTCTATGTGCTGGTGGAGGGGAGGCACAGGGACAAACTGAGGCAGCCTCTTGCTCAGCCACATGGTGACGTCACGGTTCATGTTGACTGCAAACGGTTCATATCCCTCCTGCAGACCGCAGATGGTGAAATATTTCAGCAAGCTCACATCTTTGCCAAAGTTCATTCGGCCGATCTGACAGACCCCCAGACTACACACAGGAATAAAACCTAAAAGAGGAAGCAATGGATAAACTCTCTCTACAGTCTGTAATGAAATGTGTAGAAATATGTGTTGGGCACAAACCGACCGTCTCCGATCTCAAAGTCCTTAAAGGCGAGTTCTGAGCCAGAGTCGTCCAGCATCACTTCTCCATTGAGAGTGAACATCATGGTGTGTTCGTTGAGGTCTACCATACAGCCCACAACATCCCCAGTCTGCCAGGCCCGCCCAAAGTGCTCGTTACCCTGGTGCCAGCGCTGAACCTATGAATGGCAAGGCAAGTTTATTTGTATACCGCAGTTCAAACACAAGGCAATTCAAAGTTCTCAACAAAACAAGAGAAAAACAATCACACAAGGCATAAATAATCACAGTCAATGCACAGCTAAACAGAACTGTCTTAACCTAGATTCGAAAATTGTCAGTAAAGAAGCCTGTCTCACATTTTCAGGAATATTGTTCCAGATTTTAGCTGCATAAATGCGAAAAATAATTTCATCATATCACCATAAAACTATAAAAATATGTGTAAAAGTTTTATTTTGTCATTAATTTGACATGTGAAATGAGATGACTTCTTTCTACTAAATAAAATACAATACTCTCCAAAGTTGCTAAAGCTATGAACCATGGTATGTACAATATGAGAGAGACTTAAAAGGTCACAAACAAGTCGTAACAATAATGTACCTTGAAGCCATCAAAGACGAAAGCCTGGTCGTCAGAGCCCAGCTCTAGGTCTGGGAGGCAGCCTGGTCTGGCCCAGCCCACTCTCATTTGTCCCGCAGTGAGCACCTGCAGAAAATAATTGGATGAAAATGGCCTCGGCATCATTGGCCAATACCATTACATTAGAACATTACCTCCAGCTCAAAGTACCACTTCCCAGCATTTACACAGTAGGTTTTCTCGGCTCTGAAAATACGGAACCTCTCAGTCGACATGCAGCTGAAGTCAGACTGGGCTGGAAGTGAAAGATCATGATGTAAAGTTGTATTATTAAATATGGCATAAGAGAGAAATCCATACTGTGGTCCTGGTCCTGAGCTTCCAGGTTGTAGCCGTAGCCCAGTAGAGTCCGCACGGCTTCTCGAAGACTGTCTTTGTTTGATTTCTTGGTTCTTTCATCCAGCAATACGTATGGAACAAGCCGAGGATTTCTGCGATTTTTCACGTCCTGAATCAGACCAGAAGGGTTTAATTATACATCAAATAATGTGTTTAGTTTGGAACTGAGAATACAACATTGATCTGTGTGTTAGCTTCAGTTAATGTACTGACTAAACCTGTCCCCAATGACAGCTCAGAAAGAATGATAATGCGTTTGGCAAGAGACAGCAATCTACAGTAGTGGGGAGATCACTTTGCAAATGTATTTTGTAACACATTGCGTCACATGGTCCAATCAGAGCACTCTACTCTAAATCCTTAAGTTAATGAAGGGTAAAAATGCATCACTGATTTCAAATACAGTACTGTAGTCCTAACTTGTTGAAAAGTTATGAAATACCTTTCCCTAAGACTTTGTTGTCCTCATAGGGAAATTTGTCCTCTGCATTTGAGTATTCTTCAATCCCACTAGGGCAGCGGTCACGAAAGGTGCAGTGCCCAGGGACCCATGAGGACTAACAAAGCCAAAGTCTATGGATGTACCTATGATTTGGCTGGTGGGGGAAACTGGAGCACACAGAGAAAACCCACTTCCCGTGAGCTGGCGCAGGATCAAACCCACAACCTCCTTGCTGTGAAGCTTGAGTGTTTCCCACTCAGCGAACATTGTTGATGTGGCTCTTGCAGTCAACATTCTGTAGCGTTAATAGAACTATGGTTGAGTTTTGGGAAGCTCTGACCTGCTGGATGCCATAGGTCCATCCCTGCCGGATGCGGTCGCGAGCCCAGACATTGTGAGCATTTTCGGCCAGTTTGTCCACCATGGCCTCCTGTGTGGAGGTCAGTTTGATGTGGCTGAGGTCCAGAGGAGCTGGCTTGTACCCACTGGAGAGCTCATATCTGCACAGAACAAACACAGCTTACACACTCCTCAAACCCCCTGAAGAGGTCGGCCAACGCACATGTACTTAATGTTTGTGTGTCTTTATGTTAGAGTTCTTTTGAGAAATACATGTGAATAAATGTAACATAAAACTCTGTAAAATCTCTGAACCGTTCAAATACAAAGATATGTTACACTTAAAGCTCAGAAAAACTTACGTTGAAGACAGTTTCATGTTTCGGACCTTTTCCACAGCGTGCTCATCTGCCAGGCCAACATGGCACCCCAGAGCCAGAAGGGTCCTGGACAAATACAAAACCACTCTTAACCTTTCTGACTTTACAACAGACATATCTAGTATCTCAGACCAACGCCTTACTTCAGGGTCTCTAGGGACATCTGGAGGTTGTAGCTGCACTCTTGCTCCGGAAGCTTAGCAAATTCCACCAAACAAGGATGTTGCCGCTTGTTGTCATCTCGTACCTTAGCCACACAAACAAAAACATGTTCTGCTGAGTATTAGACACATGAAGGAATAGGATATGTATAAACTCACTGCGCCAAAAGTCCACCCCAGTTCAATCTTGTTCATAACCCACAGCTCATGGATGTTTTCTGCCAGCTTCTCACGGATTCTCTCCAGATGAGGCGGAAGCACAATCTGAACGTGTATCCAAAATGTTAGTTCCCTTTCAACACCAAGATTTTCCTTTTATTGACTCAGAGACACGCACCTGGCTGGTATCTACAGGGGTGGGAGTGAAGGCTGCTTGGCTTAACGTCACAGTTGGTCCGAGGAGGTCTTGTGCAGCCGTATGATCAGCGCTGGCTTCTAGTTTGAGCTTTTCTCTTGGCAAAACCGCTTCATAACAAGGAGCGTATCCAGGAGGCGGAAGGAACTTGAACTCCCCATGACGGCCGCCCAAGAGAAACCGAATCCTAAAAAATCAAAATAAAGTCCCGTTCATATTTCATAAAACATTTTGATTTGATAGAGAAATAAACACTAACTTGACTCCGGCAGAGAAGCTTGCCACGGGGAAAAAAAGCCCATCTGAGTTGAAGTTCTCAAACATGCCCTGGACCGGTTGTCCATTGATCCTGAAGGAAATACTGGGCACGCTCAGATCAAGGCAGCAGCTCACCACGTCCTCAGCCTTCAAGAGGTGCTGGTTTGGGGAGCTGACTGTACGAGCAACACAACCTGTGCACAAGACAAGACTTTATAAGACTTTATACACACACAAACTGTTCCTGTTTATGTCTTCAGCAGTGCAGCAGGGACTATAATCAACTAATCATCTTTTATTTGTAGGCCGCCTTTCTTAAACAAGGCAAGACACAGCACCACCACAGCCGTATCAAATTATAAACATTAGAATCTAGATAACAACATATAAAATTATAATCAAAAACACACATCAAGATCACAGGAAATAGAAAAAACATAAATACTAAAATCAAGGTTTAAGGTTTTTAATCAGTAATTAAAAACCTTAAAATCACACATGGGATTAAAATAATAACTAGCCACAGTGCAAAAGAGTAGATATAAAATCATTCAGTTGTATGCACGGCTTATAAATCAATGTAAATCATTTTATTCTAAAGATGGAGTAGCGGATCAACTTTATTTACGTATTTTGTGTTTTGATGTCTTGGACCAAAATTTAAAAAAAAAAGAAAAGGAAAAAGAGGGCTGCATGAGACAGCTTAAAAGTTAAATGAACTGGAACTGTAAATGATTTTGTGTTGATAGGGGGCAGACATTATAAGTTTTTACTTCTTTCTGCTCCTTTTCATTCATGCTAAATGCTGTTGTTGCATTTGTTTTTAAATGAATGAAATAAATAAATAAATGAAAAATGAAATGAATCCAAAATACATTTTCTACCATAATGTATTAAATAAGACTACAATCTGTCCTTTTGGTTATTGAATACTTGAACTTGCTCAAAATATCTTCATAATATAAAAATGAAATACTTGTTAGGCCTGTTTCCATCTTTTTCTTGTATTTAAATTGAAACATCAAGGTATTGTGTATTAACCTCATAATGGCAAAAAGGATAGCGTCATAGCGTTAGCATTAGCATTAGCATTAGCATCGGAGTCGAGACTTATAGCGTTAGCATTAGCATTAGCATTAGAGTCTAGACTTATAGCGTTAGCATTAGCATTAGCATTAGCATTGGAGTCTAGACTTATAGCGTTAGCATTAGCATTAGAGTCTAGACTTATAGCGTTAGCATTAGCATTAGCATTAGCATCGGAGTCGAGACTTATAGCGTTAGCATTAGCATTAGCATTAGAGTCTAGACTTATAGCGTTAGCATTAGCATTAGCATTAGCATTGGAGTCTAGACTTATAGCGTTAGCATTAGCATTAGAGTCTAGACTTATAGCATTAGCATTAGCATTAGAGTCTAGACTTATAGCGTTAGCATTAGCATTAGCATTAGCATTAGAGTCTAGACTTATAGCGTTAGCATTAGCATTAGAGTCTAGACTTATAGCGTTAGCATTAGCATTAGAGTCTAGACTTATAGCGTTAGCATTAGCATTAGCATTAGCATTGGAGTCCAGACTTATAGCGTTAGCATTAGCATTAGCATTAGAGTCCAGACTTATAGCGTTAGCATTAGCATTAGCACCAACCGCCAGTTTAATTGCTGAATCAAACCCACCTGACATTTCTTTTACAGAATAGAGCTGCTGAATCAGTCAGAAGGGCTCTTAAACTTCACAAATGTGTTTGACGCTCCATATAATACATTACTTTGTTTAGTTGAAGACATTCAGAGAGTAAAGGGATAATAATACAGTTTAGGGTTGACAGCCCAGGAAATGTGTAAATACAAAAAGAGGCAAACGTGACAAGACCAAAATACTTGGACATGGGATTTAATCTACTTTTATACACACAACATAATCAAAGGTCTGCTCATCTTCACAATGCATAAATAAAATACCGTAAGCTTCTACTTTTGTTACTTAAATACATTTTAGTCAAATAGTTTTACATTGTTATTGTTGCTGTTTCGGCAGTTTCAACACACTTACTGTACTTACTTCTGTTTTATGGTTTGCACTTCTATAACCAGGCATGGACAAAAGACTTTTAATTTTTTGTTTGGCTGGAAATATTGTTAGGTTTTGTTCTAGTTTTGTTGACGCCCCTCTCTGCTCACACCACTGCATTCATTCAGCTCAGCTCTGTAAGCATTGATATTGGTCACTGTCTCTGATTATATATCTGATACTTCTGTCATTCACTAGTCACTTTATCTGTTGATATTATTACTGATGTTTATTCTGCTCATATTCTCCGCTGCTTAAGAACAATATACACATCTCTAAATACTCCTGAACCAAGTGCAATTATAGCTCCGGAGTTTATTTTATTTTATTCTATATCTTATTTTAATTACATTGTCTATTATCTTAAATAATAGAATATTTGATGTTTGCAATCTGAGTCTTCTTTCCTTCTTTCTCTGCTGTAATGTGCAAAGATGACACTGAAATGTCTCCACTGTGAGACAAGTAAAGGAATATCTTATCTTATCTTATCTTAATATGTTGAATCAGCCCTAATAGTGTATCTGCTTCCATACAAGAAACCAGATTTCACATTATTCTAAATGATTTGAGCGATTGTGATTAATTTTCAAACATGTTCTCTCCTCATAATAACCACACAGAAACAGCCTTCATATAGTCTACCTATAAGAGCCTTACCTGACCAGAGGTGTAGCCCATCAAATCCATAGGAGTACAGGTCATCCCCGATGCCATTAGCCCCCCAGCCCTCGCCTCCACTGGGGCAGGGACCATAGCCGCTGGTGTTGGCCCAGCCCACTCTCAGGTGAGTCGCCTCAGCTGTGATGAAGGCTTTGGCCTGGTCCACAATCAGCTCATAGTACCATTTCTTGTATTGAGCAGAACCCTCACTGACCCCCAGGAAAATGTTGGGACGAATGCTGAAGACAGAAAGCAAGATTTTACAAACTCAAATAGGTGTTTTTCTGCAGTGACACTTGAATAGAGGGGATGTTTGTGTTTAACATCAGTCAGTTGTTTTCAGCCTAGATTCTGTTTGGGTGTGGAGGTCTGTGTCTGAACCTGCTGACGTGGTTGGTGAGTCTGGTCTGTAGGAGCAGGTCTCGTCCCGGGAGCAGGTTGTCACAGATGAGGTGTTGGTTGGATCGCACTGCCACACCATTACACACACAGAGGGAGCAGAGCACATCCAGGACCTGCACAGTCACAGAGAGAAAAGATGCCGTATGACGAACGCAGACAGGTGCAGTATTTCTATTTTAATATCATACATTTACAGTTTATTACAGGCTATGTGTCTAAGGTATTGTAAGGGTGTATGTCCTTATTATGGGAGTACCTTATGGTTGCGTCCATGTTTATCCAGCAGTGATATGATGGATTTGATATGACCCTCTTTGATAATGTTCAGGGCCTCTGGACTCTCCACCAGCACACAGTGAAGCACCTCCAGTATCCCTGAATGATTACATTACGGCCTTTTACGCGAGACACATTTTAAATTCATTACACAATCAATGTGACCTACCAGACGAGGCCTCCAGTCTCTCCAGTCGGCTGATGAGCCAGTCCAGAGAGCTGGAGAACTGGGCACAGTTCTTTCTGTTTCCTCGGATCAGAGCAGCTGCAGAAACAAATACAAAACAAATTCTGTCCGGCGCATTATAAATCATAATAGCTTATTATTTATTTACTTTAAATTAGTGTTACAAATGCATAATGTGGCTGGTAGTTAAAGGTAAAGAAGCAGGGTGAGTACTTGATACTCATGGTTGACCTTTTACCGAAGGTTGAGTCTAACATTTGGGCCGTGCCACTTAAGAAAAAAGGTTTCCATTGTTTACTCGCTGTAGCTGTCAATCAATACTAGCATTTCCTTTGCATCTCTGACCACGCCCTTCCGCTTTCTCGGTGCTCCACGCTCTCCACTCTCGTTATTTATTGATTATTTATTCAGTGAGTTAATCATATGGTTCTGGTCCATGTGTGATATGGTTTCATGTCCTGTAACCCGTGTTCAAGAGTCTGTGTGTGTGTGTGTGTGTGTGTGTGTGTGTGTGTGTGTGTGTGTGTGTGTGTGTGTGTGTGTGTGTGTGTTGTGTGTTCAAATGAGTCCAAATACAGTAAAACAACACATATAGATTTTAGCTGTGGTAAAACATGTTTCTGTAATCTTTCCCTGCTGAAACCTACAAGTATTTTATTTTTCAGATTCGATAAAAACAACTGTTGCAAGGTTGTGTTTTGTCCCATTACAGAGTGAAAAAAAAGAAAAAAATCCAAAAGATCAAATAAATTATACTCTAATAGAACTACATAACTGTGGCATGGTTTAGTTTTCGTTTCTGAGTTTTATTCAAGATAGACTTTCAATATGCCACGTTATCAAAAGGGACAACGTACCCAGCAGCTCATAGAGGGAGTTGAGAATGGAGCTCCAGGCCTCTCCAGCTGCTTGTCCAACAACTTCAGCGAAATGTGCCGCGCTGCTGTAGACATGAAGGTGGTCTATGCACTCCAGCACCAGGCTGATCATCCCCTGGAGGAGCATCAGTAGCAATTACTGCCTCAACACGGGACAAAAACTGCATCAAGGCTCTTTGGAATGCACCATACCTCTTCTTGGAACAGGTTCTGCCGATTCTTTAGTGCTCTCAGGCGATTCTGCTTGACTTCATGCTCCAGCTGCTCATCAGGGGGTTGGAAATAACCAATCAGGTCCTGCAAGCTGAGGTTGACCGAGTCTATGGGGAGGTCTGAGGAGGAGCTCTTTCCTTTTCTCCTTAATGTATCTAGATCCCTGTGAGACAGAGAGAACAGGGAAAGACATTAGGCAGGTTGTGGCGAATTCAACTGCTTTAATAAATACATTATGAATTCAAATACAGTTTCAACCCAACATAGGAGTACCTTTATCAATATCAAGTGTATAAATGTGTACCGGATGAAGAGGTTGAAGAGGAAGGCGGAACTGCGGATGACCCGAGCAGCGCGACTTTCCTCATGCTGGGACCGAGACAGCGTCAGCCCGTCGTCCATGTGGCCCTCATGGTGCATTATGGCCTATAAGTGAAGAAAGCATAGACCTAAATTACAACAGTAGTTATCTCGGGAGACTTTACAAAACACATAGAGCCATTGGTCCATAAGGGGCAGAGACCAATGTTGATAAATGTCCTTTGTATTTCTATTTGTGTTGCCATATTGTCACAAATTCACTGAGTCTCACCTTTCTTTGCACTCCTCCCATTCGCGCACACTTGGCGTCCACAGTCTGGTAGGTGAGCCACAAACTCGTGTCCACGTGCTGAATATAGCACACCGAGTCCCCATATTTAATGTCTGGAGTGCCCATTCCATCCACCTCCTTTCTCACTCCTGGATCGAGTTTTTCCTATAAACACAACACAGCAAATTTAGAATAACCCATTTTTAAACCCATTCAAGTACAGTGTGTGGTGTGTGGGGATTACGGTGGGTGTGGTTGTACCTTGGAGGACCTGAAGCAGAAGGCAGTAGACTTGATGTCGGCCCGGTCTTTGTCCATGAGCAGCAGAACCCGGTCGTGGCTCAAACTCAGGTACTTCCCTGTGGTCACATGACGCAATCGGAACGGCTGACCCCATCGGATGTGGCTCCCGCTCCACCTGAGGATCACAGGGTTTGATCGTGATGGCCTCCACAGATCAGCTGAACTTATACGGGGATATACTTACATAATCTACCATGTTTGACAAGAAAAGCATTGGATTTCTTGACATTTATTAACATTTCTCGACGTTGGTCTCTGCCCCTTATGGACCAATGGCTCTATGTGTTTAGTATGATTGCATTTCTTGTGTTTGAACGGTTTGATTCTCTGTGTCCTCTGAGAATTTAGGGCTATACGAGAATAACTTGAATTGAATGGAATTGAAAGCGGAAGAAATGGATGAATGGAATTGAATTTATTTCCCACACGTGTTGGAGATGAGAGAGCCTCAAAAATCACATGTGTTTTATCTGTGACAGTTGTTCTGCCTGAAGCTTCATGTACAGGCTTCACTTCACCCAGCTGGATTCAACCCTCCACACAGCCTTACATTGGATAGTTCAGATTTGCTTCCTTTTAATGCTAAAGTTAGACATTTTATCTTGTGTTGAGTGCTCCTCATTCCTACTGTTCTGTCACTGGGGATGCAACACTGACATTAAACGTATAGGTGGATTTTCTACTTCCGGGTGGATCATTAAGACTATTGGTTCTTCCTAAGTGTCAATCATTCTGGTGATACGTGCTCGTCAAATAAAACCAGAGAGTTATGTTCAAAATGTGGAGAGGGTAAGTAAGTAAGTAAGTAATCTTTATTTATATACCGCCTTTTCACTGCAGATCTGAGTGTCAAAGCGGTTTACAATTGTTAATTTTTGGGCATTTGTCTCTCACTCCACACAGAGATGGGAGGGGCCAGTACAGGAGGCACATGCCAGAACTATTGTACATATTTTTAGTGGTAGGGGAAACCGGAGTACCCGGAGGAAACCTACGCAGACACGGGGAGAACATGCAAACTCCACTCAGAAAGGCCCTGGTCTGACCGGGATTCGAACCCAGGACCTTCTTGCTGAGAGGCGAGAGTGCTATCCACTCAGCCACCGTGCGGTTCTTTCTTAAAATTTGGGAAAATCATCCTTTTCTTATATTAGTAGTAGTAGTAGTAGAAGTAGTTTTATTTGAGCAGTTTAACAATGTATTTTTTTACAGGTACATAAAATTCAAGAAACAAAGCTCAAAAGGAGAAGGCAGAAGCAAAAAGCTCTTTCTGTGTCTTATCATTTACTTACATCACTCTGAGTGTCTCCAGTCTCCACAGTGAGCGAGCGTGGCTGGACACGGCTCCTCCTTCATAATGCACAGACCTGAAGATCATACACAGATACACAGAATACAGGTGGTGTCGAGGTTTGGCCACAGAACTATCTTTTGGGTCTTTCTTACCGTCTGTGTTCGTTCCCATGTTCTCCAGACGGGACAGTCAGACACTCGTCCATGTGGCCGTGAAGGAGGCGCATCACATCTCCTCCGATCAGAAACCCTGCCATGACCAGCACAATAATAAAAGCCAGGCCTGCAGACAGTATGAAGGATGTGCCGGTGTTACCTTGAGCCACCTCGCTGCCGGAGCAGATGGGAGCCGCACTCCACAGGGTCTGCTGGAAGGCTGCGTCCACGTGGAGACTGTCTGTGCCGTACGAAAGGTGCTGTGGAAGACACTCACACTTGTTCAAAGGAGGACATTGGATAACAAGATCATAGATTTTCGAGAGTAAAAATAAAATGGGGATTATAATAGATCGACCGTTTGGAGCTGTGACATAATAATAATTAACGGACTTTGTGAACTCCGCCTGTTTATTTATACCTGCTGTTTGGTCTCATCATTAGACACAGGGACAGCAGCACCAAGCAGTAAGATTAGCAAGATAACTAAATTATTTAAAATGAACAACTTTCTGATTACATACTTTACACATAGAAATAATACATATATTAGTATCTATATAATAATAATGCATCGGTTTTATACAGCGCTTTTTTGGACACTCAAAGACGCTTCACATGTCATTATACTTTCACTTCATACAGAGTGGTGATAAACTACTACTGTAGCCACAGCTGCCCTGGGGCACACTGACAGGAGAGGCAACCAGTATGTGCCATCGGCCCCTCTAGGTGTCTTGCCTAAGGACACAACGACAGTTTGGCACTTTACAGCCGCAGCTGCCCCACTGTAGCTGGTGTTCCCAGAGGTTAAGTGTCTTGCCCAAGGACACAACAACAGCAGACATCACTGGGAGTCGGTGGAGAAAGCTTTGTGGAGGGCTCAAACCCACAACCTTCAGGCTCAAAGGCCAATGCTCGACCAACTGAGGTTCAGAACCGCTATAGTACATAATACAATGCACCAAATCTAGCCTTTTGTGTTTGTGCTCGAGCAGTGACTCACGAGATATCTCTCAGACGAGACGCTGACCAGGATCAGGTCATCCCCGACTCGGACCTTCTCTCCCTCTGAGCGCTGCTTTGAGGCTGGATGGATGGTCCACCAGCAGGCCTCTCCTGGACACACCAGAGTGAGTACAGTCTCTTCTCATAAAGACTTTATTATTAGAACAAAGAGCGTCTCACCGGTCGTGTCCTCCTGCAGCCCCACGTCAAAGGCCAGCTTGTCTGTGGATGAGCGCGATGTGGACAGACAGCAAAGGTACTGCACACACACAAACACACACACACACGACTACTTATACACAGTGTAAGGAACCCACAATTCTATTCTATCCAATGTATTCCTGCATCGCCCTGAATCACAACAGCAGTCGTGGAGGACTTCACCTTTAAACCACTGAATTTGCACAGATCAGAGAATCAAACAGTTCAAACACAAGAAATAAAACAGAAAACACATTGGTATTGGTCCATAAAGGATTTATTTACTAAAAATAACCTATATGATGAAGGAAAGTTTTTGTTGCTTGAACGTAGTTTGTCATAAGATTATTTGACTAGTTTTAAGCTCCGGTCCTGACCAAGCCGAGCATCAACATCTGGAGATGGGTTCCCGGGCGCTGTTACTATGGCGACCACTGCTCCTGACGTCAGCCTTAGTGGCATCAGGATGGGTCAAATGCAGAGGATTGAATTGCCCTACGGGGATTAATAAAGTGCACCTTTACCTTTACTTTAGATACTTCATGATCTTATTAGAGAAAAAAGTCTGAGCTGTGAGTTTTCAAGCTTGTTTAAAGTATTTTTTATTTTTTCCAGACAACTTTTCTCAATGTTTAGATAAAAAAAGTCTGTTATGCTGTATTTTAAGAAAACATGTCTCAAAAAGTGTTTAATGAATAAGTTAAAAATACTTGTAATGTATGTTGTGGCGCTCAACATGTGGCTCCAGTCTACATGCAGCACTTTTAACTTTATTTTTGTGAACAACTTTGGCCTGTTCTGGAAGCGTCACGTGGCCTATCGTCCAGATGGTCTGCACCCGAACAGATACGGCACCAGTTTGTTGACGGACTTCCTACGCCATGTTGTTCAGTGCTCCCCGAGGGGGGCGTGACTGTTTACATCTGAGGCTTTTCGGCCCCCACTACCCCCCTCCTCCTCCTCCTTACCAGCACCGGGTGAGTACTGTGGTGCAAACACTGACCCCTGTCCGTCTGGCAGTGTAACGACAGTCCTGCCACTGAACTGTGCTGACTCAGTTATGCATCTGGAACTTAACAAAGTACAACAGAGTTCACTTTTTAAACCAATAGAGACTGTGTGTGTTCCTCGCACCAGCTCAGAAATGTGTTTTAACTTGAATAAACACAAATTTAAAAGAAGGACAGCAGTTAGACGGTCCAACTCTGGAAATCTAATTCCAGTTTTTTGTAATCAATCAACTAAACCCACTGACACTGATATTAATTTTAACCTTGCTCTACTTAATGTCAGATCACTATGCAACAAATCATTTTTAATTAATAATTTTATCTGTTCGTATGATCTTGATTTTATGTTTATGACTGAAACATGGCTTGACCATAATACAGGAGATGCAGTTTTAATAGAAGCCTCACCACCAAATTTCAAATTTGAATATGAAACACGAGAAAATAAAAGGGGGGGGGGCATAGCAGCAGTTTTTAAAGATCGTATTGTCTCCCATAGAGTGTCTCTTGGGAAATTTTCATCATTTGAGTATGTTTCTTTTAAAATAGAACAAAAGAAATCTTCTTCCATTCTTATTATTGTTGTGTACAAGCCGCCACAGTCATGCCATAGTTTCACTGATCATTTCACTGAGTTGCTTTCAGTTGTGTGCACAGATTTTGATGGTTTAGTCATTATAGACGATTTTAATATTCATGTGGATAATGTTAATGACAGATACGCAAAAGAGCTGAGTTCCATACTTAAATCCTTTGGCCTCACTCAGCATGTGAGTGGCCCCACCCATAGCAGAGGACACACCCTGGACCTGCTTATCACGAAAGGGGTGAATATTTCAAAAGTTAATGTAGTTGATGTTGCTCTGTCGGATCATTTCTGTGTATTTTTTAACATGTATTTTGCTACCAGACCACCCGCTAAATATGAAATTGTTAGAAGTAGACACTTAAATGAAAACACGGGTGAACTATTTATGGGAATGATCCATTTTGAGAACACATCATGTTCTACTGTAGATGAACTGTTTAACTCTGTCACCTCTAGTGTGTTGAATGTTCTGGACGCCATTGCCCCTGTGAAGGTAAAAATGGTCACAAATAATCAAAAAGCCCCATGGATAAAAGCAGGCCCGGTCAGGGCACAGAAGCAAGAGTGCCGGAGAGCAGAGAGAAAGTGGAGAAAGTCCAACCTCCAGGGTGATTATAAACTCTTAAAAGAGAAGTTGTGTGAGTTTAACAGAGTACTACGTAGAACAAGAGAATTATACTTTTCTGAAACTATTGAAGGCTGCAGCAACAATCTGCGTGTTCTATTTTCAACAATCAATAGATTAACCCCCCTGTTGAGTTGCCATTAGAACACTACTCCAAATCCAGGTGTAATGAGTTTGCACAGTTCTTCAGAGACAAGGTTCAGGGTATCAGAAATACCATCACCTCCACAACACAAGTAACAATGCAACATCCAGTGAGGCTTTGTGAGCTAGCTCAATTTGCACCTGTCAATGATGAAACTGTTAAAAAGATAATCACAGGTCTTAGTTCCTCTACCTGCAGTCTGGATGTACTACCTCCTAGATTCCTGAAGTCTGTTATGTGTAGTCTATTACCCTCATTGACACAAATAGTAAACATGTCTTTTTTATCTGGAACATTTCCAATGGCCCTGAAAAAGGCAGTCATCAGGCCCCTCCTAAAAAAGAGCAGTTTGGATGCTGCGGTACTTGAAAATTACCGTCCCATCTCAAATCTGCCATTCATGGGAAAAATTCTTGAAAAAGTTGCCTACCAACAACTTACTGAATTTTTAATATCTAATGACTCATTTGACATGTTTCAGTCTGGCTTTAGACCACACCACAGTACTGAGACCGCTCTAGTCAAGGTAACAAATGATATTCGGCTTAACACTGATGCAGGAAAAGTCTCTGTTTTAGTCATGTTAGATCTGAGTGCCGCTTTCGACACCGTTGACCATGAGATTCTCATGCAGAGACTGGAGGACTGGGTTGGTGTTGCTGGTACCGCCCTAAGCTGGTTTAGGTCCTATCTAGAAGAAAGGAAGTATTGTGTGGAGATTGGAGACTATGTCTCAGATAATATGGCCCTGACCTGCGGAGTGCCACAGGGGTCGATTCTGGGACCTCTTCTGTTCAATATTTACATGCTGCCATTAGGTCAGTTAATTCAAAGTATGAAAGTGTCCTACCACAATTACGCTGATGACACTCAGATCTATGTCTCACTGACTGCAGGAGAACATGGACCAGTGGACTCACTCCTTCACTGTATCCAGCGGATCAGTGAGTGGATGCAATGCAATTTTCTCCAGCTAAATGCGGACAAAACCGAAATGATTGTCTTTGGTCCCGAGAAACAAAGAGAGACCGTCATTTGTCACCTTCAGTCTCTCTCCCTAAGGCCTTTAAATAAGGTCAGAAATCTGGGAGTAATAATGGACTCTGACTTAAACTTCAATAGCCACATTGGATCGGTAACATCAGCAGCTTTTTATCATCTGAAAAATATTGCCAAAATTAAAAATATTGTGTCCAGGGCAGACTTGGAGATTCTTATCCATTCTTTTGTTTCCAGTAGGCTGGATTACTGCAATGGCCTGCTCACAGGTATCTCCAAACATGCAGTAAAACAGCTGCAGTATATTCAAAATGCTGCAGCCCGAGTCCTGACTAGAACCAGGAAGTACGACCACATTAGTCCGGTCCTCAGGTCTCTGCACTGGCTTCCCGTGGCCCAGAGGATAGACTTTAAAGCAGCTCTCCTGGTGTACAAGTCTCTCCATGGCCTTGCACCAAAGTACATCCATGATATGCTAGTCCCATATGAACCAGCCCGGACTCTGAGGAGCGCAGGGACGGGACTCTTGTTAGTGCCCAGAGTCAGGACTAGACAGGGGGAGGCTGCTTTTCAGATCTATGCAGCTAAAGTCTGGAACAGTCTTCCTGAGGATGTGAGACTGGCTGCCTCTCTGTCAATGTTCAAATCCATGTTAAAGACTTTTCTTTTTTCCTGTGCATACAACTAGAGAATTTTATCTTTTTAACACACCTTGTTATTTATTGTTGTAACTTTTTGTGTTTTTTACTATTTTATTGTTTTTAATTACTTGTGTGATTCTTATGTTTTTAAATTACTTATGTGATTTTAATGCTTTTTAATTACATATGTGTTTTTAATTGTATTTTAATGGTGATGATTTGTGCATTGTGTGGTGTGGACTGTGAGGCGCTTTGTGTTGCCCTGTGCAGGAAAAGCGCCCTATAAATAAAGATTGATTGATTGATTGATTGATGTTTTTAAACTAGAATCAAGTCATTTGGGGCCAGTATTATCTTCTTGTTTTCAGAAATCTTGTCAAGACATTTTGTTGTTCTATAAACAGATCATTTTTCTTATTTTAAGCAGTATTTTACTGTGTTGATAAATGTCCATACATGTTGAGTATCCTGGATCATCACCACTGTCCTTTTATTTAGACCTCACCAGACTCAAACCGACCCTGACCCACGAATACATGCACATACAAGTACATGTATGATGCGTTCACTGACCATGGAGCTGTAGGAGTGTCGCAGCAGCACGGCGTGTCCGTACAGAAGAGTGCGATGGCCGCCGCCCTGCGCAGTCTGAAAGCACAAAGAGACACAAATTAAGGTGAAAACAATATTAAGGACAAGTTTGGAGAAAGTCAGAATTCAACGCGACCAAAAAAGACAAAAGCAGCTGAAGATGGAAACACAGTAATAATACAGTGGTGTGAAAAGTACTGATGCAACTGGATCTTGTTTTGTTTTTAAGACCACAACAAAGTGAACTGTGTGTATAAGTATAACGTAATAAGATTAAAAAGACTGTGTGTTGTGTTCTCTGTTCTGTGATGACCTTTTGAATGCGCTGGAAAACGGCAGCAGGTCCTAAGTCGCTTTGAAACAATAGTTGTTTTGTGCTCTACAATTTTTATTTTTATTGCTTTTTTCTGCCTGAGATGTTGCGGCAGTTCAGTGTTCATGGTTTTACACTGGTCCAGACCAGAGCAGAGACGATTCATGGTTTTACACTGGTCCAGACCAGAGCAGAGAGGATTCATGGTTTTACACTGGTCCAGACCAGAGCAGAGAGGATTCATGGTTTTACACTGGTCCAGACCAGAGCAGAGAGGATTCATGGTTTTACACTGGTCCAGACCAGAGCAGAGAGGATTCATGGTTTTACACTGGTCCAGACCAGAGCAGAGAGGATTCATGGTTTTACACTGGTCCAGACCAGAGCAGAGAGGATTCATGGTTTTACACTGGTCCAGACCAGAGCAGAGAGGATTCATGGTTTTACACTGGTCCAGACCAGAGCAGAGAGGATTCATGGTTTTACACTGGTCCAGACCAGAGCAGAGAGGATTCATGGCCTGAACCAAGTGGATCAGGTGAAAGTCCACTGGAGGAATGCTGATGAATTCTACTGTGGTTCTACTTTGGACCAGAGCAGAGAAAATGGTCCGAACCATGCTCCACCCAGAGGCTACTCCACCTCTGCTGCTGTGACCCGTCCTGCTCCACCCAGAGGCTACTCCACCTCTGCTGCTGTGACCTGTCCTGCTCCACCCAGAGGCTACTCCACCTCTGCTGCTGTGACCTGTCCCGCTCCACCCAGAGGCTACTCCACCTCTGCTGCTGTGACCTGAAGGACTGTTGCTGTTTATTACCATTGTTAGCTTTTTGGAATTATCAAAAAAAACCCTGAAAAAGGTTCAAGAACTACAGCACTACATGTGGCAGTATCATGCTGTGTGGCTGCTTTTCTTCAGCAGGGATTATGTAAAAAGGGATAGAATAAAAACACAGGTAAATTTTGCTGGGGCGGAGATTTCTCTTCTACACCAGGACCATGACTGTAAACTTAGACAAAACTAAGAATCACAGTCATGTGTGAGAATGGTCAATAGTCAAAGTCCAGACCTGAATCCAATTGGGTCCAAATCCAACACAAAAAAAACTGCTTCACAACGTCTTTCCATCTCATCTGATAAATGGGCAAAACTTTCAGTCTCTAGATGTGCAACGCTTGAAGAGGCCCCCTGTGCTTTCACTTCGCAGTTGTCTGTCACTTTGCTGTGGTCTTTCAGAGATAAATCTAAAGTAAAATCTTGATGTTTGTGGCCTCAAACACGACAAAATGCAAAGTCGTATCAGTTCTTTGGCAAACCACCGTAACATCCTTTTATTTATCAAGCACAACTGCACACGTAGAACCAACAGTGAAGCGCTGTAGCACACACAGAAAACACCACACTAGACATTAGCCATCTCTCTGAAACAAATGTGTTTAGCAGATTATTAAGAGACACAGGACTAGAGGATATTTTTGTATAAGAAGGTCATATTTTGATAGAATAGGGTTCCCCAAAATACTGCGTTTTGAACCGATATTTCATCACATGGCTTTTTACACAGCGATCATTTCTACATTATGTATTTGTTCAAGTGTAGCTGTCGCCTAAGCATCGAGGAAGACAGCAGTAATGGTATCATAAGTGCAAATAGTAGCAGTGATTGAGCACATTTTAGCAACACACAGCGTGCATGAGGACAACAGTGAGCGGCGTTCCCTGGAGACTGTGGCTTACGAGTGTCATCCACTGATTTATCACAGCAACACACACTAAGAGTTCATGAGTTAGTATTAACATTAGAGCCCGGGAGCTACGCCTATGAGCGCTTTGCAACCCGACAGGACAGACACCAAACAGGCACACACAGAGGCCGGGACCTACCCACACTTCCACATCTACATGCTGTGTGCAAAGAGAAAATAAGAGTGGTTTCAGAAAAAATATATTCATGTTATTGAAAAACTGCATCCAGAGCTGGGTGATCCTTAAGTGGAGGGTCTACTGCGACGACGGCATGGGTTATTCTCTGTTGGGAAATGCTGGGAGCAGGTCTAAACAGGCGTATGTAGAGCTACTGTATATGTCCAGCATGAAACAGTGACTCTGGTTCTAGCCACTTTTTATTGTACATTATTATATCCTGCACAGACTATATTTTATAACCTTTAACATGTTGCACACTTCTGTCCTCTGTGCCAAATAAGACATGTACATTTCTCCAGTGTGAGATCCATAAAGTCTCTGTTATCTTGTCTTAGTTGGAGGACAGGTGCCAATCATCCATCCATCCATCCATTTTCTTCCCTTTAATCCATTTCTGGGTCAGGGGGGTGGCAGTCAGAGATGCCACCCAAGTCTCATAGCACCAGCCCCTCACTGACCCTCTGCAGGTGGTGAGTCCACAGGAGGACGGCTGCTCTCTGAGTGTGAGCATAGCCTTGATCTTTCAGTGGGGGCTTTGGGCAAAGTGGGGTTAAGTGTCTTGCCCAAGGACCCCACGACAGCAGTCATCAGTGGGAGTCGGTGGAGAAGGTGCAGAGGTGGGAATTGAACCCACGACCTTCAGGCCTTAAGGCCAATGCTCTACCAACTGAGCTACTGTCGCCAATCATGTCAATGGGTATCACATTTGGGAGTAAAAAGACGTTCACAAAAATGTCCAAATGTTTTTTCCAGGTTATTTTTTCAAGGCTTAAATTTTGCCTAAAGATACAAATATGTGTGTGTTGTATATAGTGTGTCTATTGTGTGTGTGTGTGTGTGTGTTTGTGGGTAAGTGTGTTACATTTGACCTGTATCGCAAAGACTAACTCAGCAATATTCTATTAATTCTATGTATTAATTCTAGGCACGCTGCGTCACTTTTCCCAAGGCTCCAGTGTCCTGCGCGATAAATGGGTTGTGCAAATTCTCTAAATAAATACATAGAAAAAAGTAGTGACAAGAAAAAAACATATTCTTTTTATATATGTCTGAAGGTTTTTTTTCTATCGGCATCATTCATCGTTCAACATGCTTTGTGTGTGTTTTTTTTTTTTGCACATTGTCACCACTTCCAGACACAGAACATAATTAGATCATCGTTGACAAAAAATATGTGTAATTTCTGACAGGATATACAGAGAAATGGACGGTTACCATAGTTACCAGGAGAGATTTTTCCCCACAATTTTAAAAGAACAAAGCTGAAAATATAAAAAAATGTCATAAATACATAACTCTCCCCTTTGTACCTGTAGTATCAGCCCCTATACTAAATGTTCTTGTGTGTCTTTCTCTTTTTATCTGTATTCTGCTGTTTCGTTGCAGCGTCTCGGCAGCGGTTTGCCCTGAATAACCACATGCGCCGAGCGTCAGAGAAGAGAGAGTCTGGATCGCACTCACCGCGTCGGCCTTGTCTTCTGTGTTGGCGAGCATCTCCTGCAGCGCACGCACCGACAGAGACTGCTCCAACACAAAGGTGCAGATGGACAGGTCTGGAGGCACATTCTGAGACAAAGAAACACACAGAGACAATCACACAAGGCCTCAGCAGCTGACTCAGCATCGCACAAATGAGATCCAACAAGTATCAGGCCCAGACCTCAACACATGAGACCATCGGTGCATTTGTACTATTATGTTATATTTGTTGTTCAGAAGAAAGCAGACATGTACCTCCTCACTCTCGGTCTAATTATCTATGGCAGGGGTGTCCAAAGTTTTTAGTAAGAGCGCCACTTTAGTTCACCAGGACTTGACAACGCGGAGCTGACAACGCGGATTGCAAAAGTCTTTTGACGGGGATTGGTACTATTTTAATACGTAAAAGGAGTTATGACAGGACTATGTATCAACACCGTGTCTGGAGTGAAAGAATAATGACACGTGAAGCGCCTTTGAGTGTCCAAAAGGTGCTGTGTAAAACCAATACATTATTATTATTATTATTATTATTATTTGTAATCTCAATGGTAATTTAGATTAGCAAGGCAGACGGCCAAATAACAGAACGCAGCGGGCCGCAATTGGCCCTCGGGCCTGAGGTTGGACATGCCTGGTCTATGGATCATGACTTGTGTTGACATGTGTTCACCGACAACTATCCACAGCACACATACATGGCGCTAGGGAAGGCACTGTCAGTCTCTAGAGCAGAACAGTGGCAAACCTTAAGTCAATGTCTTTTTGAATTCTATTTTTGTTGGCATTTGTATGTGTGTATATGATTATAATTCTACAACATTTATGGACATTTATCAACATTCATGGACAAGTTTTATATATCCTATACAATCCTATACAATAATAAATGGAATTGAATTGAAATATGTATAATTGTTTTTTGTCTGTCGGTTGTACATGTATCTTATTGACAGTGATGGGAATAACGGCGTTACTAGTAACAAATATGGGTCTTAATCGCGCTCAACCACGGCTTGTATCACCGTGAGGTCAGCCACAGAGGCGCGTATGTCAGCGCAGAAGTCGGCTGCATACAATTCCATCGATAAGCTCATATTTGTTTCAAAAACACAATTTATGAGCCATCCTCTCAACTGTAGACATGTAGATTGTAAAGAAATATGATTTACATCAGCCAATAATTGCTGAGAGGTTTTCTCATCCTCCCTTCTCTCATGACAACACGTTCATTGTGCGTCTTGAGTAACGCGCAGTAACGGGATGTCGGAAATGATAACGGCGTTATAGTTACTGTCAAAGTAATTAGTTAGATTACTCGTTACTGAAAAAAGTTGCACTTGATTTATATGATGTATATGTTCATCTGATTGGACTGAAGTCAGTGCTTCACCAGCCTCACCGCTCGTCACCGGTGTTTCCACATTCACAGTGGCGGGCTTTACAGCACAGTGAGAGATGAAGAGTGAACAGGACTTCAGCAGCAAAACAGCCTTTTCTAGATGGAAATATTGGCACTGTTAAAGGTAAAAATGCGCACGTCGGGTGCACATTATGTTCCAGAACAAAACGAAAAAGTAACGCAATAGTTACTTTTACTGGTAACTAGTTACTTTTATAGTGGAGTAACTCCGTTAGTAACTCAGTTACTTTTTGGGAGAAGTAACTAGTAACTATAACTAATTACTTTTTCAAAGTAACGTGCCCAACACTGCTTATTGATGAAGAAAAATATTTTATAGTTTGAACTTAATCCATGTGTCTATATTTCTCCTGTGGCTGTCTTGTGTTGGGTTTGCATTCTGAAGTTGCGGTTTGTGCAGAGAGGGCTGTGTCTGGAGAACCTTTGAGTTGGAGATAGACTCGAGGAAGCAAAGTCTGTTCCCGAAGCCTTCAGCCGCGAGGCAAAGCTTCTGCTGCTCTTTGTGCAGAGTGGCAGAGCACTGCAGGACCACCTCATCGTCCTGTGAACAGACAGAACCCACTGTGAGGACAGGAGGCCACACACACACACACACACACACACACACACACACACACACACAGTGATCTATAAGCAGGCGCATGGGCACAAACAGCATGAGATTAATGCGGGTGACAGTATTGAACCGTACCTGCACATATCTGACACAAAGGTCCCCACACAGACCCATGTAAGGTCCCAGGCAGAACAGAACGGCCCACCCACAACTCTGTGTACAGCGAGGCCATGTAAGGAAGAGTGACCCAGAGCCAGGAGCACATCCACACAGCGTTCACACACACCACAGGCCTCCTCACTGCACCCACACACCGGCCACATTCTGTCAATACTCAGCAGCAACATGTTGGAAAAGCACTCTGTCCACGTAATACATGTTTGCAAGTGTTCACCGTGAACCGCAGCAAGAGAATATCATAGACATTGTATGAAACAGGTTCTTCATTACCTCATGAGCTCAGCCATATGTTTAAGTGTGTCTCTAAGTGCAGTGAGCCATAATTTGGATGCTCCCTCCCTGAACAGACCGTGAGGCTTAGAGCTGCCCCCAGCAATGCCCTGCCCTAAGTATCAATCCAGGACAGAGCATCATCTGCTAGTGCTAGCTTAAATCCCCCTGATTCCACTGGCTATTGTCTCTTACGACACACTCACTCACATTTGATCACGTTTGACATGTTCCAAAACCCTCAAAACTGCAGAAAACAAATCAGCAGCAACCCTCAGATGCTACAGAGATGTGGTAGAATCTCTCATGTGTATAATGGATCCCTTGAAGATTCACGACAGTAATATAAGAGGAGCAGAATTCTTGAATGTCCGCCACAGAACAGATTTGTCTTGAGACACAGACATCACAATGGTATGGTTCAAACTCAGAGGACATGTCTGTGCTGCAGTAAGGACGTTTTTATATGGGACACTGGAGAAAGTTTGGGAAGTTTTCAGCGAGGCCACGGGCCCCAGAGGGAGAGACGCAGGCCGCAGCAGAACTGTCAGAGACTGGAGCTACACCCTGCTCCAGAAAGTCCGCCTCAGTCAGCAGTGTGATGAATGAGAGAGCTCCCCACGTCTATGTAGGCCACAACACACCCACTACACAAGGGGGAATTAACCCCTGAGTCACACTGGCTCCTCAGCAGCTCCAGGAGGCAGCTCCAGGAGGCAGCACTCGTCCTACAGAAAACACTTCCACTTCTGAGGTTATGGACACCTCTCTGGACAAGCACAGCACAGACAGGCCCCAGACAGCAGCCCTACAATGATGAACAGCAAACATTCAAGAGCATAACCTCGGGCAACAGTCTCCGGCATAACAACGTCTAAGCTTCATCTTTTGAACCTGTGCTGAGCCTTTGAACCTCTGAAGGTCATCCTCAAAGAGACTTCAGCTTCAGAAGCAGAAGCACCTCCCTCATCTGACTCTATCACATGAACATCTATGATAGTGTGGTGGGTTTGTCTTTAATGTAAGATAAACATGTCTCTATAACTATTAAAGGCTATTTATACAATCAGAATGGAAAAACAGATGATTATAAAGACAGAATATCAACAAAATGTGGCTTGATGTGTGAAGCAAGAGACCACAGAGAGACCACTGAGAGACCACAGAGAGACCACTGAGAGACCACTGAGAGACCACAGAGAGACCACAGAGAGACCACAGAGAGACCACAGAGAGACCACTGAGAGACCACAGAGAGACCAGAGAGAGAACACGGAGAGACCACTGAGAGACCACTGAGAGACCAGAGAGAGACCAGAGAGAGACCACTGAGAGACCACTGAGAGACCACAGAGAGACCACAGAGAGACCACTGAGAGACCACAGAGAGACCACTGAGAGACCACTGAGAGACCACAGAGAGACCAGAGAGAGACCACAGAGAGACCACTGAGAGACCACTGAGAGACCAAGAGAGACCAGAGAGAGACCACTGAGAGACCACTGAGAGACCACAGAGAGACCCGAGACAGAGAGACCACTGAGAGACCACAGAGAGACCACTGAGAGACCACAGAGAGACCAGACAGAGAGACCACAGAGAGACCACAGAGAGACCACAGAGAGACCACAGAGAGACCAGAGAGAGACCACAGAGAGACCACAGAGAGACCAGAGAGAGACCAGAGAGAGACCAGAGAGAGACCAGAGAGAGACCACAGAGAGACCACAGAGAGACCAGAGAGAGACCAGAGAGAGACCAGAGAGAGACCAGAGAGAGACCAACACAGAGAGACCAGAGAGAGACCACTGAGAGACCAGAGACCACAGAGAGACCACAGAGAGACCACAGAGAGACCCGAGAGAGACCAGAGAGAGACCACAGAGAGACCACTGAGAGACCACAGAGAGACCACAGAGAGACCACGAGAGACCCCACGAGAGACCACAGAGAGACCCACACTGAGAGACCACAGAGAGACCACAGAGAGACCACAGAGAGACCACAGAGAGACCACAGAGAGACCAGAGAGAGACCAGAGAGAGACCAGAGAGAGACCACAGAGAGACCACAGAGAGACCACAGAGAGACCACAGAGAGACCACAGAGAGATGAGACCACAGAGAGACCACTGAGAGAGAGACCACAGAGAGAGAGACCACAGAGAGACCACTGAGAGACCACAGAGAGACCAGAGAGACCACAGAGAGACCACTAGAGACCACAGAGAGACCAGAGAGACCACAGAGAGACCAGAGAGACCACTGAGAGACCACAGAGAGACCACAGAGACCACAGAGAGACCACTGAGAGACCACAGAGAGACCACAGAGAGACCACAGAGAGACCACGAGAGACCAGAGAGACAGAGAGACCACAGAGAGACCCAGACCACTGAGAGACCACAGAGAGACCACAGAGAGACCACAGAGAGACGAGGAGAGAGACCACAGAGAGACCACAGAGAGACCAGAGAGAGACACAGAGAGACCAGAGAGACCACAGAGAGACCACAGAGAGACCACAGAGAGACCTGAGAGACCACAGAGAGACCACAGAGAGACCACTGAGAGACCACAGAGAGACCACAGAGAGACCCAGAGAGAGACAGAGAGAGACCACAGAGAGACCACAGAGAGACTAGAGAGAGACCAGAGAGAGACCAGAGAGAGACCAGAGAGAGACCAGAGAGAGACCAGAGAGAGACCACAGAGAGACCACAGAGAGACCACAGAGAGACCACAGAGAGACCACAGAGAGACCACAGAGAGACCACAGAGAGACCACAGAGAGACCACAGAGAGACCACAGAGAGACCACTGAGAGACCACAGAGAGACCACAGAGAGACCACAGAGAGACCAGAGAGAGACCACAGAGAGACCACAGAGAGACCACAGAGAGACCACAGAGAGACCACTGAGAGACCACAGAGAGACCAGAGAGACCAGAGAGAGACCACAGAGAGACCACTGAGAGACCACAGAGAGACCACAGAGAGACCACTGAGAGACCACAGAGAGACCACTGAGAGACCACAGAGAGACCACAGAGAGACCACAGAGAGACCAGAGAGAGACCACAGAGAGACCACTGAGAGACCACAGAGAGACCACTGAGAGACCACAGAGAGACCAGAGAGACCAGAGAGAGACTACAGAGAGACCACTGAGAGACCACAGAGAGACCACAGAGAGACCACTGAGAGACCACAGAGAGACCACTGAGAGACCACAGAGAGACCAGAAAGACCAGAGAGAGACCACAGAGAGACCACTGAGAGACCACAGAGAGACCACAGAGAGACCACAGAGAGACCACGGAGCGATAATAATAATAATAATAATAATGCATCGGTTTTATATAGCGCTTTTCTGGACACTCAAAGACGCTTCACATGTGTCATTATTCATTCACTCCAAACACGGTGGTGATAAACTACTGCTGTAGCCACAGCTGCCCTGGGGCACACTGACAGAAGCGAGGCAACCAGTATGCGCCATCGGCCCCTCCGACCACCACCAACCATTCATACACACACCAGACTCATTCTAGGCAATGGGGGTGAAGTGTCTTGCCTAAGGACACAACGGCAGTTTGGCACTTTACAGCCGCAGCCGCCCCACTGTGGCTGATGTTCCCAGAGGTTAAGTGTCTTGCCAAGGACACAACGACAGCAGACAGTGGGAGTCGATGGTGAAAGTCTTGAGCGGGGCTTGAACCCACGACCTTCTGGCTCAAAGGCCAAAGCTCTACCAACTGAGCTACTGCCGCCCGATCACAGAGAGACCACAGAGAGACCACAGAGAGACCACAGAGAGACCACAGAGAGACCACTGAGAGACCACAGAGAGACCACAGAGAGACCAGAGAGAGACCAGAGAGAGACCACAGAGAGACCACAGAGAGACCACAGAGAGACCACAGAGAGACCACTGAGAGACCACAGAGAGACCACAGAGAGACCACTGAGAGACCACAGAGAGACCACAGAGAGACCACTGAGAGACCACAGAGAGACCACAGAGAGACCATTGAGAGACCACTGAGAGACTACAGAGAGACCACAGAGAGACCACTGAGAGACCACAGAGAGACCACTGAGAGACCACTGAGAGACCACAGAGAGACCAGAGAGAGACCACAGAGAGACCACAGAGAGACCACTGAGAGACCACTGAGAGACCACAGAGAGACCACAGAGAGACCACTGAGAGACCACAGAGAGACCACTGAGAGACCACAGAGAAACCAGAGAGACCAGAGAGAGACCAGAGAGAGACTACAGAGAGACCACTGAGAGACCACAGAGAGACCACAGAGAGACCACAGAGAGACCACAGAGAGACCACTGAGAGACCACAGAGAGACCACAGAGCGATCACTCCAAACCGTCAGAAAAGGTGCGACGTAAAGATGAATATTGTCTACTTTTGTCTTGACTTTTCTATCGTCTGATGCTGTAGGATTTTTTTTGGTTGAAGAGAACATTTTTGTATTTTTTTGGCTGTAGCTGAGGCATTTTTTTCTTGTTGTGAATTGAGTTGTCAGACCTTGAAATAATGCAAAAAAATACAATTATAAAAATACTAAAAAAGATGAATATTGACTTGCTGAGACCAATGACGACAGCTCGACTACATCAGACCAGTAAGAGTTTAGTTCTCCTGGTCCTCTGCTTTGGTCACTCACAGTTTTCAGCCAGTCTGGACCATGAGAAACACACACACACACACACACACACACACACACACACACACACACACACACACACACACACACACACACACACACACACTGCTGAGGCTGCGGGTTAGTCCTGCTGCAGACATGTGTGTGGAGGTGCTCTGTTATGCACACAGTAAAGACAAACCCTGAGCCTGTATCGATCACCATGTTAAAGTGCACTTATCCAGAACACTGCAGGGAGGAGAAGAGGAAGAGAGTGGAGGAGAGGAAGAGAGGAGGAGAGGAAGAGAGGAGGACCAGAGGTGGAGAGGAGGAGAGTGGACCAAAGGAGGAGAGGAAGAGAGGAGGAGAGGAAGAGAGGAGGAGAGGAAGAGAGTGGAGGAGAGGAAGAGAGGAGAGAGGAAGAGAGGAGGAGAGGACGGGGGAGGACCAGAGGAGGAGAGGAAGAGGGTAGACCAGTGGAGGAGAGGAAGAGAGGACGAGAGGAAGGGAGGACGAGAGGACGAGGGAGGACCAGAGGAGGAGAGGAAGAGAGTGTGGACCAGTGGAGGAGAGGAGGAGAGGAAGAGAGTGGACCAGAGGAGGAGAGGAAGAGAGTGGACCAGTGGAGGAGAGGAGGAGAGGACGAGAGTGGACCAGTGGAGGAGAAGAGGAGAGGAAGGGAGTGGACCAGTGGAGGAGAGGAGGAGAGGAAGAGAGTGGACCAGAGGAGGAGAGGTAGAGAGTGGACCAGAGGAGAGGATGAGAGTGGACCAGTGGAGGAGAGGAGGAGAGGAAGAGAGTGGACCAGAGGAGAGGATGAGAGTGGACCAGTGGAGGAGAGGAAGAGAGTGGACCAGAGGAGGAGAGGAAGAGGGTAGACCAGAGGAGGGGCGGAAGAGGGTGGACCAGAGGAGGAGAGGAAGAGAGTGGACCAGTGGAGGAGAGGAGGAGAGGAAGAGAGTGGACCAGAGGAGGAGAGGAAGAGAGTGGACCAGAGGAGGAGAGGAAGAGAGTGCACCAGTGGAGGAGAGGAAGAGAGTGGACCAGAGGAGGAGAGGAAGAGAGTGGACCAGAGGAGGAGAGGAAGAGGGTGGGCCAGAGGAGGAGTGGAAGAGAGTGGACCAGTGGAGGAGAGGAGGGGAGGAAGAGAGTGGACCAGAGGAGGAGAGGAAGAGGGTGGGCCAGAGGAGGAGAGGAAGAGGGAGGACCAGAGGAGGAGAGGAAGAGAGTGGGCCAGAGGAGGAGAGGAAGAGGGAGGACCAGAGGAGGAGAGGAAGAGAGTGGACCAGAGGAGGAGAGGAAGAGGGTGGGCCAGAGGAGGAGTGGAAGAGAGTGGACCAGTGGAGGAGAGGAGGGGAGGAAGAGAGTGGACCAGAGGAGAGGATGAGAGTGGACCAGTGGAGGAGAGGAAGAGAGTGGACCAGAGGAGGAGAGGAAGAGGGTGGGCCAGAGGAGGAGAGGAAGAGGGTGGGCCAGAGGAGGAGAGGAAGAGGGAGGACCAGAGGAGGAGAGGAAGAGAGAGGACCAGAGGAGGAGAGGAAGAGGGTGGACGACAGATCAGAGGATCATTCAGAGACCTCTCACACACCAGCGTTTACATTTTGGAGCCATGTCGTTTATGGTGTCTGATTAAACCCACAGAAAACAGACGTCTCTCTATAATAAAACCTGGAACCACCGGCTTGTCTTTGTGCTGTTATAAGTTTAAACCTGTCCTATGTGATCATCCAAAGCCAAGCAATAACACACACAGACACACACACACACAGACAGGCAGAGAGACACGCACACACAGACAGACAGACACACACACACACACAGACAGATAGACACACATACACACACACACATACACACACACACACAGACAGACACACACAGAAAGACAGACAGACACACACACACACACACACTCACAGACAGAGAGACAGACAAACACATACACACACACACACACAGACAGAGAGACAGACAAACACAGACACACACACACACACACACACAGACAGACACACACAGACAGACAAGTGGCAGAGCAGGGCACCAAAGGGCAAAGGCCTCTCTGATGTTTTGACATGTTTATGAAATCCGTATTGTTATTATATAATGTTGTCCATCATGTCCCACTGGTGATGAATACTGTATGAGAGGAGGCCTTTTATGGTACATTTACAAAAAAACATCTTTGCCTCAGATCACTCACACTGCAAGAATTCCTTCAAGTCCGGCTCTAAAACTGGAGACAGCCACAAAAGAAAGCCTGAACTTCTTCGTTTACCACCACAGTTTTACACGTCAGAATCATGCAGAATCATGTGACATCACACATGGAGGGAGCAGCTCTGTGTGGCCTGGACTCTGGTTCCCGGGTGGTCACATGTTCCTGCAGCATCGCTCTGCAGCACCGACCCCCCCCCCCCCCCCCCCCCACCACCCCCCTGATGGGAGTCAGTCTGTGCCCCCCTCACCTGTCACACACTGCACACATGACAAGGAACATGCTGCTTCTTCAGGGCTGGTATAGAGGCTTATCAGGGCACAACTCCTCACGTCTCCGCGCACTTACATAACACTTTATTGCATCGAGCTTTGAGCATTTCCTCTTTGGGAGAAAAATGGATGACAGGATTTCTTATGCGCCGCTGCTCTTTTTGGGAGCTCACATTTGAGTCAGTCTCAGATGCGCATTGCTGCTCTATCCCCTGATTCTTACTCTATCCTTACAACATGTTTCACCCGCGGGGAGAGATGTCATGAATCCTCTCTTCTGTCACAGCGTGTGCCTCATGTTAGGACCACATTCCAGACACTTTGAAGTCGTAATTGAGCTGTACGAGCACTAATGCAACAGTGCATCAATCTGTCTCTACCCTGACTGATGATGGGAGCTTCAGCATGGGTGATCCAGCACTGCACTGCGCCCCATCCATCCAGCACAAAACGCCTCTGCGGCCGAATAATGACAGCATCACCCCCGGACTCCAGCGCCCACCCCTCTGCCGCCTCTCTGCCGCCTCCCTGCCGCTTGTCTGTGGTCAGGGCTTTCAGTGCGCTGCGGATCACTGACCACAGAGAGTGTCCGGTTATGCGGTACATCCCCAGCCCCGAGAACGCACGCACGCACACACACACGGACACGCCGCAGCAGTGCAGTGGGACGCACGGCCGGAGACTTACGGTCCTGAGGAACTGGATCTCGTCCTCCGCCTCTCCGCCCTCCATGCTGCTGAGGCTGAGCTCCGCGTAAAGATGCCCGTGTCGCAGCGCAGCACAGAGCAAAGCGCGCTCCTGTGGCTGAGGCTGGACCCAAAAGATGAGGAGGGAAACTCGCCTCTGATTGGACGAGGCACGCACGCGGAGGGCGGAGCTGCAGGCGGCACAGGTACCCGCGCGCGTGAGCCTCAGCATCCCGTGTCTGAAGTTGTCATTGGGTCTTTGGAAGTGTCCCGAGTGTCTGAGTATGTGGTAAACCTGAGCAGGGGTCGACCCACGTCACTTACAAGTGCCATTAAATCAATGTCAATCTTTCCCGAACAAAATAATACAAAAATAACAGTTCTTTGGATTAAGGACGAAATGTCAAGAAAACCATTAAGATTAAGTGATCCTTTATTCGTCCCACAGTGGGGAAATTTCAGTGTTGCATCACAAGTTACAGAACAGTAGAAAAGAGCCCACAGCACGACCTAAGATAAGTGAAACTATATTAAAATAAAGTTAGTTACCTGCTAACGGAAGTACAGATGATGGGAGCAAACTTTCTTTTGTTTTCTATTTAAAATATATTACAAACTTAGGCTTTCTAAGTGTGCATTTATAGCAGTCAAATGTATTTAACTTGTGGGAGGGTCAGTAATCCTTGGCTACAGGGGGCAGGACCCTGGTATAAATTATAATTCATATTTAAATCCCTTTAATTGCAGGCTTTATGGTAAACTACTACAACAGCTGTATATTCGGGCGTCAGATATCGCTAAGCACCAAAGCATGAATGAAACCAGAGGAGACTACTCTTAAAATTATTTTATTCAACGTAAAATCAATCAACAATTAAAACATTTGTTCACACAGTTTAAAATACATTTAAATGTAAATAAAAGCAATAAAAAGTTCCGTGGTTCAGAGGTAAACACGGATCTTAGTGTTGAGTTTCAAACAGGCAGAGGGAACCCTGGCGCCAGGTTCTGGTCCGGTTCTGGTCCCGCTCTGGTCCTGTTTGACGGTTCAATTCCCTGCAGAGTAAATCAGCAGCTCACGGCTCCTGACGCCGAGGCTCCGAATGAACTCCTCAAAAACATGATTCTCAGGACTGTGTTTTTACTTAAATTACGTTAAAATGTTCTCGGTTGAGGACAACACAGACGTCACTGAGCAATAAATAGCACCGACTGGTTTATTTATATCAGTCCAGTGAAGATAAAAGCTCAGATTGTTTTCCATCCCAGTGATGCTGGGACAAAGTGCTGCATCTGTCAGAGACTGAGGTTAAAGCCTAAAGCTCAGGGTCATAGGCCAGAACGGGAGAGAGCCACTTCTCCACCTCACAGACCTCCATGCTCTTCCTCTGGGCGTAGTCATCCACCTGAGAACCGCAGAAGACATCTCAGTCAGTCTCACAACAAGGCCAACTGCAGCAGTAGCAGCATCTTTAGCAGCAGTAGTACTAGTAGTAGAAGCAGCAGCAGTAGCAGCAGCAGCAGCAGCAGTAGTAGTAGAAGCAGCAGCAGCAGTAGCAGCAGTAGTAGTAGAAGCAGCAACAGTAGCAGCAGCAGTAGCAGCAGTAGTAGTAGAAGCAGCAGCAGTAGCAGCAGCAGCAGTAGCAGTAGCTTTAGCAGCAGTAGTAGTAGAAGCAGCAGCAGTAGTAGCAGCAGCAGCAGCAGTAGCATTAGAAGCAGCAGCAGTAGCAGCAGCAGCAGCAGCAGTAGTAGCAGTAGCAGCAGCAGCAGCAGCAGCAGCAGCAGCAGCAGCAGCAGTAGTAGCAGCAGCAGTAGTAGCAGCAGTAGTAGCATTAGAAGCAGCAGCAGTAGCAGCAGCAGCAGCAGTAGTAGCAGTAGCAGCAGCAGCAGCAGCAGCAGCAGCAGCAGCAGTAGTAGCAGCAGCAGCAGCAGCAGCAGCAGCAGCAGCAGCAGCAGCAGTAGTAGCAGCAGCAGCAGTAGTAGCAGCAGCAGCAGCAGTAGTAGCAGCAGCAGCAGCAGTAGTAGCAGCAGCAGCAGCAGTAGCAGCAGCAGCAGCAGCAGCAGCAGCAGTAGTAGCAGCAGCAGCAGCAGCAGCAGCAGCAGCATTAGCAGCAGCAGCAGCAGCAGTATTCCAATAACCCTGATCTACTCTGTTACCTGCTCCTTGGTGATCTTTCCCACAGAGAAGTACGTGGCCTGAGGGTGCGACAGGTAGAGTCCGGACACGGCTGCAGCAGGAGTCATGGCCAAAGACTCGGTCAGACTGATGCCTGTGAACACATCTCTATCATCAGACTTCACAGTGGAAGAAAACTTAAATTCACACTAGACGTCCATATCTCAGGCATTTGCTCGGATTGAATCCCATTTAAAATACTTTAGTAGCTTCATCTCATTTGTACATTGAAAATAACTGAATTTGGTTTCGTTTAAACCGCTGTTTAGAGAAAATAGGTTTAACATATAATTTCAATAGAACACAAAAATATACACAGATCTTTTGAATAACTGAGGTTGGGTTTGATCTTGAAGACTGCAGAGTTCTCACTTGGAAAATGGTTTGTGAACGAATTTTAAAACAACTCCCCAGGGTCTAGGGAAAACCTCATCTCCTTAATTGCAGCACAAATTACAAAACTGATGAGAAGAACACAACATCCTCCAGCACAACTTTAAAGACGTTAAACTGTAACATGTGGTAATGTTTTTTTACATTTCATTAAATGCCTTTTGTTATTCTAGAAACAGGTCCTGACTTTCTGCAGGAGGTTTGATTCCATCTAATCTTTGTGTTTGAAAGAAGATATATTTACTTAGTTGCATATTTACTCTATGCAACTAATGACAATTGAAAGCAAGACATAATGGGGTACCAGTGTTTTGCTGGATACTGGCCAGGCTCCACATGGTCCTCTTCTCGGTGTGGTCTGGTTGACTGGGGTAACCGGCCGCTGGTCTGATGCCCTGGTACTGGACCTTGAGCAGGTCTGAGGTCTGAAGGGCTTCTTCTGTGCTGTATCCCCACAGCTCCTTCCTGACTCTGGCATGGAGCTGCTCCGCAAAGGCCTACACACAAAGCATTCATGTTAGAGGTTTCCATTCTCTCATGGATGATATGAAGAGGCCTACCTCAGCCAGACGGTCGGCCAGAGCCTTGACCATGATGCTGTTGTAGTCGTCTCCTTTGTCTAAGAACTGCTGACTCAGCTCCTCTGCCCCAAAAACAGCTACAGCGAACAGTCCCAGGTAGTCCTTCACCCCAGAGTCCACTGGGGCAACAAAGTCTGAGAGGCAGAAGTATGGCTCTGGGCTGGAGGAGTCCTTCTCCGCCTGAAAAACAGTCTCAGTCAAAGAGAAGCCTCTGTGTGGTGCAGGATGACGGTCAGGGTCAGTACCTGCTGACGCAGCCCGTAGAACACTGCTGTTGGCTCCGTGTCTCCACAAACATCTTCTCTGTACAAACAGATGTCATCTCCTCGACTCTGAGCTCGCCAGAATCCCACCAACCCTCGTCCCTTCAGCGTGGAGCTGTCAATCATCTGCTGAAGCATCTTCTGAGCATCATTGAAAAGGTGCCGAGCCTCTGAGCCTGCGCAGAAACAAACTGAACCTCTTGGAGCTGCTCGGTCCCTAACGCCTCTGCTCCACACTAACCAACAGTCTTATCGTTGAAGATCTTGGGGAACCCTCTGTTTGGGTACTTTCCTCTGAGCTGCCAAACATCAAAGAACGGTTTCCAATCGATGTATTCCAGGAGACTCTTCAGGTCGTAGTCATCAAAGACACGAGTGCCAAGAAACTGGGGCTGCACTGTACACAAGGACGTCCAATCAGGATCCACATGAGGCTTCTGTATCTGAGAGACCCGGGCTTTACCTGGTTCTGGAGTGGACTGCCAGTCGATATGGAGACCTTTTTCTCTCGCTTTAATCAGAGACAGATATCTGCGATCCTGATGCAGCGGAGGATATCATTAGGACACAACACTCCTCACAAAGCTCTCCCAAACTAACACCTGTAATAACCACTCACTGCGGTCTGCACTGGACTCATACAAACAATACATTAGAAACACTTGTTTAGTCACACTCAACTAAATATGAAGAACATGACAAATGAGACCAGCAGCTCTGCTCCAAGATGAACTGCTGCCAAACTGTTGCCAAGTTACACTTCCTCAATGTGGCTTTGCCCAAAGAGCCACTTTGTCAGGTTCAGGGCTTTAAAAACTTTATTTCATATTAGTGTCTAAGTAATAAGTCCATAAACTGTTCTGACAACAGCCCTAGTCACAAACAAGTCCCTTGTTTTTCTGCATCTCCTCATGTCGGCTGTTGACATAAACATGTTCCAAATTCTTTCCTGCGCCACAGAAGATACTTTTAAATAATAAAATACATACACTTCTCGAATTGCTGCAAACGCAGCAGAGTTTAAAGAACTGGAAAAAGAAGCGGCTTAAAGTCCGGAAATAACGATACGTATTTTCACTTCAGTCAAGTCACATAAACATGTTTTTTCAGAGTTTATCACAAACAGTTTTGAAACAGTACCTTCAGAGAGTCGTAGTGATCCTGTCTGACGTCCTCATACTCCTCTTTCAGCTCCTCAAAATATTCATCCCTCTGAGACTCATCCTTGAGCTGCGAGCACTAGAACACATTTCACCTGTCAGTCTGAGGAACCAGAGGGACCAGCGGAACCAGAGGGACCAGAGGGACCAGAGGAACCAGAGGAACCTGAAGAACCAGAGCGACCAGAGGGACCAGAGGGACCAGCGGGACCAGAGGGACCAGAGGGACCAGAGGAACCAGAGGAACCTGAAGAACCAGAGCGACCAGAGGGACCAGAGGGACCAGCGGGACCAGAGGGACCAGCGGGACCAGAGGAACCAGAGGGACCAGAGGGACCAGAGGAACCTGAAGAACCAGAGGAACCTGAAGAACCAGAGGAACCTGAAGAACCAGAGGGACCAGAGGAACCTGAAGAACCAGAGGAACCTGAAGAACCAGAGGGACCAGAGGAACCTGAGGGACCAGAGGGACCAGAGTAACCAGAGGAACCTGAAGAACCAGAGGAACCTGAAGAACCAGAGGGACCAGAGGGACCAGAGGAACCAGAGGAACCTGAAGAACCAGAGGAACCTGAAGAACCAGAGGGACCAGAGGGACCAGCGGGACCAGAGGAACCAGAGGGACCAGAGGAACCAGAGGGACCAGAGGAACCTGAAGAACCAGAGGGACCAGAGGGACCAGAGGGACCAGCGGGACCAGAGGAACCAGAGGAACCTGAAGAACCAGAGGGACCAGAGGAACCAGAGGAACCAGAGGAACCAGAGGAACCAGAGGAACCAGAGGAACCAGAGGAACCTGAAGAACCAGAGGGACCAGAGGGACCAGAGGAACCAGAGGAACCAGAGGAACCTGAAGAACCAGAGGAACCAGAAGAACCAGAGGAACCAGAGGAACCTGAAGAACCAGAGGGACCAGAGGGACCAGCGGGACCAGAGGAACCAGAGGAACCAGAGGAACCAGAGGGACCAGAGGAACCAGAGGAACCTGAAGAACCAGAGGGACCAGAGGAACCTGAAGAACCAGAGGAACCTGAAGAACCAGAGGAACCTGAAGAACCAGAGGGACCAGAGGAACCTGAAGAACCAGAGGGACCAGAGGAACCAGAGGAACCTGAAGAACCAGAGGGACCAGAGGAACCTGAGGGACCAGAGGGACCAGAGGAACCTGAAGAACCAGAGGGACCAGAGGAACCTGAAGAACCAGAGGGACCAGAGGAATCAGAACAGCAGCTCACCACCAGCACCGCTCGAGAAGCATCCAGCACATGGACCACGGGGCAGCTGTAGCGAGGAGCGATCTTCACAGCCGTGTGGGTCCTGTATAAATTCCACCAAAATGTGATCAAAACCATGTGGGCTTTTGGGCTAACTGTTTAGGTCAGAGGTGTTTAATGTCACATTTATTCAATCACAAAACATCATCTATATATACATATATATAGTTTAGCTTTGGCGGAATCTAGTGTAAAGACTCCGTTCTTTTTGGTGGGAAAAATATATTTTCACAAAAAGCCACAAGCCTAAAAGAAAACGTTACTTGGACGTGGTGGCTCCTCCTATCAACAGCGGCGTGCTCATGCCCAGACGCTGCATTTCTTTGGCCACGTGAATCATCTCGTCCAGGGACGGCGTGATGAGCCCCGACAGCCCGATGATGTCTGAGGACAGAAAACACAGGTGAGGCCTCTTCAAAGGTCCTCATGGTCCTGAGGTCCATGGTCCTGAGGTCCATGGTACCTGCTCTGTGAGCCACAGCCTGTCGGAGGATCTGGTCACATGGAACCATCACACCCAGGTCCACCACTCTGAAACCACAGACCACAAACTCAAACATACAGGACTCTGCCGCGGGACGAGGACCATGGACATTACCTGAAGTTATTACAGCCCAGGACAACGCCAACAATGTTTTTGCCGATGTCGTGGACATCTCCCTTCACTGTGGCCAGGACGATGGTGCCCTGATATGGATCCTGCAAAATTCAAACATGAATCCTTATATCATTGTATTTTTAAACTGTGTGTTTTCTTTCAGTCAGAATGCATCATTCACACAAAGGCAGTGCCGTGCAGCCAATCCAGAAGATGAATACATTAACTGAATTGATATAAAAGAGGTTCAAATGTTACAACACATTAAAACCAGGTGTTAAATTAAGAATAAATCGGTTTTAACATTTAACATTACAAATGTACAAATCCAATGACCTTTTCTCATAAAAATGTTAAAACCGATTTATTCTTGATGTGCGTCCCGGGACACACACGTTGGGAATGTAATATACAATAAAAACCTCACATACAGTCTGTTTAACATCATGACTTACAGACTCTGTCGTTACTCCTGACGCCTTCATCATCTCCTGCCTCTCCTCCTCCATGAATGGAATCAGATATCCCACCGCCTTCTTCATCACACGAGCAGATTTAATCACCTAAACATTTCAAAGAGTTTCAAACATGTCTTTTTCAAACAGTTCTTTCCATTCTCACTCCAGGACCAACCTGGGGCAGAAACATCTTGCCGGCTCCAAACAGGTCACCCACCACCTTCATCCCATTCATCAGGGGCCCTTCGATGACGTGGAGGGGCCTCGTGTAGCTCTCCAGCGACCGACACTCCTCCACATCCTCCACCACATACTTCTCCACTCCCTAAGCACAAACAGTTCTCATCCTAACAGTATTCATCTGATCTAGCCTTTTCAAAGCATTACAGACTTCAGATTCAGTCTATTATTTATGCTCCGCAGAAGACTCAAGCTAATGGGAAATGACGAGTGATTATCCACAAAATAACGCTGCTCTGTTTTGTTTCTCATGTTTTGTGCTTTTACTTTGATGAGAGCGTATTCCAGCCGCTCCTCCACCGTCCCCTCTCTCCATTCTTCGCTCTGAACCGTCTTCTTGGCTCCTTTCACGTTGTTCTGTTGAAGACGGTGAGATTAGAGTCTGTTTTATGGATTCAGACTTTCATTTAGACGGTTCTAGATGTTTCCGATACCTGTGCGTAGGTCAGCAGCTTCTCTGTGGCTTCAGGGTCTTTGTTCCAGATCAGATTCTCACAGAGCTCTAACAACTGTTTGTCGATGTTGTCGTAAACCGGCAAGTTCCCCGCGTTAACGATGCCCATGTCCAGACCGTGCTGCAGAGATACATGTGTTAAGAAGAAAAAGGGGCGCAGTCTTCAAAACATACGACAAATATCAAGTTCAAGTCCCACACACACACGTACACACAGAGACAGACACGTTCACGTACAGACAAGTTCACGTACACACAGAGACAGACACGTACACACAGAGACAGACACGTACACACAGACAGACACGTACACACACAGACAGACACGTACACACAGACAGACACGTACACACACAGACAGACACGTACACACAGACAGACACGTACACACAGACAGACACGTACACACACAGACAGACAGACACGTTCACGTACAGACAAGTTCACGTACACAGACAGACACGTACACACAGAGACAGACACGTACACACAGACAGACACGTACACACACAGACAGACACGTACACACAGACAGACACGTACACACAGACAGACACGTACACACAGACAGACACGTACACACAGACAGACACGTACACACAGACAGACACGTACACACAGACAGACACGTACACACACAGACAGACACGTACACACAGACAGACACGTACACACAGACAGACACGTACACACAGACAGACAGACACACAGACACTACACAGACAGACAGACACGTACACACAGACAGACACGTACACACAGACAGACACGTACACACACAGACAGACACGTACACAGACAGACAGACACTCACACACAGACAGACACGTAACACACACCGACACGTAACACACAGACAGACACGTACACACAGACAGACACGTACACACACAAAGACACGTACACACACAGACAGACACGTACACACAGACAGACACGTACACACAGACCGACACGTACACACACAGACAGACATACACTTCAGTACAGACAGTTCACGTACACAGACAGACAGACACGTACACACAGAGACAGACACGTACACACAGACAGACACGTACACACACAGACAGACACGTAACACACAGACAGACACGTACACACAGACAGACACGTACACACAGACAGACACGTACACACAGACAGACACGTACACACAGACAGACACGTACACACACAGACAGACACGTACACAGACAGACAGACACGTACACACAGACAGACACGTACACACAGACAGACACGTACACACAGACACGTACACAGACAGACAGACACGTACACACAGACAGACACGTACACACAGACAGACACGTACACACACAGACAGACACGTACACAGACAGACAGACACATACACACACAGACAGACACGTACACACACAGCCCGACACGTACACACACAGACAGACACGTACACACAGACAGACACGTACACACACAGACAGACACGTACACACACAGACAGACACGTACACACAGACAGACACGTACACACAGACAGACACGTACACACACAGACAGACATACACGTTCACGTACAGACAAGTTCACGTACACAGACAGACAGACACGTACACACAGAGACAGACACGTACACACAGACAGACACGTACACACAGACAGACACGTACACACAGACAGACACGTACACACAGACAGACACGTACACACAGACAGACACGTACACACACAGACAGACACGTACACACACAGACAGACACGTACACACACAGACAGACACGTACACACACAGACAGACACGTACACACACACACAGACACGTACACAGACAGACAGACACATACACGTACACACAGACAGACACGTACACACACAGCCCGACACGTACACACACAGACAGACACGTACACAGACAGACACGTACACACACAGACAGACACGTACACACACAGACAGACACGTACACACACAGACAGACACGTACACACACAGCCCGACACGTACACACACAGACAGACACATACACGTACACACATACACGTACACACAGACATAAAGAGACACGTACACACAGACAGACACGTACACACACAGACACGCACACACAGACACGTACACACACAGACACACGTACACACACAGACACACAGACAGACACGTACACACAGAGACAGACAAATACAGACACACAGGTACACAAACACACGCACACACACACACAGAGACAGACAGACACAGACACACACGTACACACACACACCCAGACAGATACAGACACGCACACACACAAACACACACCTTGATGGCGTGATAGAGAAAGGCCCCGTGCATGGCTTCTCTAATGACCTCCATCCCACGAAAGGAGAAGGACAGGTTGGACAGTCCTCCACTGACTCGAGCTCTCGGTAATGTCTCCTACAACAACACAACACTTTCAGATCTGTAAATATGGACAGACCAGTGCCCATCATTCAAACGGACTCACTTTGATGAGCTGTGCGGCCCTGATGAAGTTGATGGCGTAGTGGTTGTGCTCCTCCATCCCGGTGCCGATGGTCAGGATGTTGGGGTCGAAGATGATGTCGTTGGGGTCGTAGCCCACTCTGTTGACTAACAGCCAGTAGGCTCGAGAGCAGATCTCCACTTTGCGCTCTGTGTCTGTGGCCTAAAAAACCATCACAGATTATGCATGTGTTACACCACAAGAAATAGCTCTTTAATTTCTCCAGAATGTGTTTCTCTGTGTTTTTATGTGTATCTTGGGTGTATTGTAACTTATCTATCTAAAACAACAGCAAAAACACTCAAAACAGACAGTAGCTGATAGTCTTTCAGTCTAATGCATTTAAAAAAAAAACCTTGACTGTTAAATATCTGGGGCCAAACGTGCTCCCTGCTGATTGATACATTTCAATACAATACCAATACATTAACTTTGTCTATGTATTTTAAACAAAACAATTGTTCAATATAAAAGAACTGTTTTCACACACTCATTCTAAGTGCTACACATGCATCATTATAGCTCTATCTTTCACAATAGAACTATGACTACAGTGGTTTCTCGCTGTTTCGCAGATTCTTTTAGGTCCCATGTTGTGTGTTTGTTTACAGCGAGCTTCTCTAACGCTGTGTGTGTACTCACAACAACATCACACATAAGATCTTATAACCCTGAGTTTAACATGGCACTTACCTTTATCTAAGATCAGAAGAAAACTTGTGTGTCTTGTGTGCACTGCTGTGATTAGTTCAGAGGACTACACTGCCACCGCCCTCGGTCCTGCTCAGCCACTGTCCTCTGCAGATGTGTTTTACTGTGTATGCACGGCTTTTCACAGCTGCAGCAGCGCTCAGGTTTTAAACATGAACTCAAGCGATTTTTTAAAACAAACCAGGTGTGTGAGCATCAATGAGTTGGAGAACATCTGCTTTGGTATAATGTGAATTTTATAATGTATAATGTGTTTTAATTGTGTTAAAAGCCCTCCTAGGGTTAGCAACATTGCAAACTAGCAAACTGTTGATTGTGTACACTTGTCCCTATCAAATAAATCAATACATAAATAAATAAATCTCCACAGTTGCATTTCAGCAGTGATGAGTTCAGGTGCGTACAAAAGTCTATGAGGTGTGGTCTGACAGCCTTAATATTAAGTGTCGGACCATAACCCAAAAGAAATGTCCTAGATTCTTTGTTCGAAGACTGAAAGAAAACTATTCCCTTTTTAATTCGTGGTTGAAAAGCAGAAATGAGAAGGGAAAGGGAGTGAAAAAGAGACCAGTAGAGCTGACCTGGCCCTGTTCATCGAAGGCCATGACCACGACGGCGGCCCCATAGCGCTTCACGGTGGCAGCTCTCTGGAGGAAGTCCTGCTCCCCCTCCTTCAGACTGATGCTGTTTACGATGCACTTCCCCTGACAGCACTTCAGTCCAGCCTCAATCACTGCAAAATTGGACGAATCTATGCACAGAGGGACCTGACAGAGACGGAGACATGATGGATTTATGCAGGAGCTAAAGAAGAGGACGCTTCCATGAGCCTCACCCTCGCGATGTCTGGCTCTGAAGCTATGAAGTTACAGAACCGCGCCATAGCACCAGGGCCTTCCAGCATCCCTTCATCCATATTTATATCCAGGACCTGAGCCCCCATCTCCACTTGAGCCTTTGCAATACTGAGAGCCTCCTAAAGACAAGGGGAGGGTTTAGAAAGAAGCAGGAGTAAACGCATACATTTTTTTGTCCTAGTTTTTCACCTCGTAGTTCCCGGCCATTATCAGCTTGGCAAACTTGCGAGATCCAGCGACATTGCAGCGTTCCCCGATGTTCACAAAGTTGGTGTGTGGACCGATCCGGAAAGGTTCTAAGCCTGTCAAAAACATTACGCTAGAGTAACTCAGAAATGTTTTATTAGGAAAGATGGAGACGAGGTCCATGTCTCTGAAGCAAGAGAGGAAATGTGGGAAAACATTTCGTCACACTAATCAACAGCTGTTTAAGTACTAATTAGTGTTAAAATCAGAGTTAATTAGGTCTTAATTTGTATCTATTAAACACTTATTTAATCAATTATTACCTTTTGTACATGACCTTATTCAACATCTAACTAACTGACACTTTCCTATGTGGGGTTAGGCATAGACTAATTCAGACTTAATTAGCTGTTAATTAGTGATCCAAATATATCTAATCCAAATATTTTTTAAGAAATGCTGACATGATGCATCGGCCTTTGAGCCTGAAGGTCGTGGGTTCGAGCCCACCGTAAGACCTACTTCACGACTCCCACTGAGGACTGCCGCATTGTGTCCTTGGGCAAGACACTTAACCCCACTTTGCCTGAAGTTCCCACTGAAAGATCTCAGCTCCTGTGGACTCACCACCTGCAGGAGGATCAGTGAGGGGCTGGTGCTCTGTGAACTGGGTGCAGCTCTGACTGCCACCCCCCTGACCCAGAAATGGATCAAGGGGAAGAAAATGGATGAACGGACATGATAGAGATTCAGATTCATGTATTCGCCATTTGCAGTAAAATCACATTGGAATACATTTGCAGAAGTCCCCAGTGTGCACAAGACAAGCACATAAATAGAACAAGGTTAGAAGTACTATAACAAGTAAATAAAACAAGTGCATGAATCAATTGAAACTGTAAGAATGGATAAACTACCGTACTTTCTGGACTAAAAGCCGCTCCACCTAAATTTGAAAATGAAAAGCATTTTGTCCATAGGTTTTGTAATGTAGCAGTTGGAAATGTGGCGTCTGCTTCAATCCAATCCAATCCGCTTTATTTATATAGCACATTTCATAAACACGCAGTTTCCAAAGTGCTGTACGACATGCAAAATGGCAACAAATAAATACATACATTTATATTAATAAAAAATAATAATAATAATAAAATGAATAAATAAAAATAAAAAACACAGAGGACCACAAGACTCACGCGGTGTTAAAAGCCAGAGAATAAAAGTGGGTCTTAAGACGAGACTTAAAACATTCCAACGAGGGAGCTGTTTTGACGTGGGGGGGGGCAGAGCATTCCAGAGCTCTGGTCCAGCCACAGAGAAGGCCCTGTCCCCCCAGGTTTTAAGCCTCCTCTTAGGTGCCACGAGCTGGAGCCGGCCCTACAGACCTCAGCGCGCGGGGCGGATGGAAAATTTGGATGAGGTCCGAGATGTAAGGAGGGTTCACCCAACCCCCTTGTCAAAACTTGTGACAGGTTTTTCATTTGATAATTGGTATTTGTAACTTGTGTTGTGCAGGTTTTGAAATAAATAAATAAATAATTAAGCAAATAATGTATAAATAAAGCCGCAGGGATCAAATAACGAGAAAAACGTAGCGGCTCATAGTCCAGATATTACGGTAAAACAGTTTCAATATAGTTCCGTCAAACTAAATATAAAGTCGAAAATTGGATCAACAACAACGAATACAACTTTTTGCTCCCCCCAAATCCACAAATTGCTTCATTTTATTTATTGCCCAAGAGTCATAAAGATCTGCAGAACCCTCCGGGCAGACCCATCATTAACGGAATTGACACTATTACCGAACCTGCTTCCAAGTATATAGACTTTTTCATAAAACCTTTAACCTGCTCTCTAAAAGCCTACCTGCAGGACACTACTGATCTTCTTAAAAAACTCAATGAGATTACACTCCCTCCCAATTCCTTATTGGTCACTATGGACATGGAAGCTCTCTACACCAACAATGAAGGCCTTGCATCCTTAGAACATTTTTTACAAAAAAGATCGGATCTGGACTCCCCACCCACAAAATTCATTGTGGACCTTGCACATTGGACCATAAAGAATAATATTTCCCCGTTTCAGGATGAACTGTTCAAACAAACAAAGGGCACAGCAATGGGAGCCGCTTTTGCACCAAACTATGCGGGACTTTTCCTCGGTCTTTGGGAAGATCGGTATGTGTGGGGAAACGAAAATCCTTTCAGACAAAACATCCTATTCTATGGGAGGTATATTGACGACTTGTTTGTTTTTTCAGGTTCGCTTCAACAACTTAGTGACTTCCATGTGTTTTTAAATGGCACTAACCCTAACATCAAACTGAGCCTGGATTTTAGTGGAACAAATATCAGTTTCCTTGATGTAAACACCTCAATTGACTCACATGGTCACTTTCACACTTCAATCTTCAGGAAAGAGACTGAAATACCATTCTAAGAGCAGACAGTTTTCATCCCAATCACTTGATTTCGAATATTCCTTATGGTCAGTTCCAAAGACTCAGGAGGATCTGCGATACGGACAATGAGTTTGACCTCCAAGCCAATGTGCTATGGAAAAGCTTTCAACAACGTGGCTACGGTACAAAGACTCTGAATCAAGCACGTAACAAAGCTAATAAAGAACACAACTTTTGAACAAGAAGCAAACTATAAACACAAGTGACAATAAACTGTTTGTGTCTTTAAAGTACACCAATCTTACAAAAGATATCAAAGACATTATTACAAACAATTGGGACATTCTTTGGAGCGATCAGTCACTCTCCTCTGTGTTTCCGGATCCACCATCTTTTGCCATCAAAAGGGCCCCGACGCTCCAAGACAAACTGGTAAAAAATTACCTTCCTGCTCCGAGACTCACATTTTTCCCGAAACCGGTGGGTACCTTCCAGTGTGGATCATGCAACCATTGTGGCAACATAAACAAAACAAAATGTTTTAATGATTCCTCCAGTCAGTGTTCTTTTAAGTGTTTACATTTTGCCAACTGCAACACCACCCATGTAGTCTACAAATTGAACTGTTCCTGTGGTTGTTTTTATATTGGAATGACAAAGCGCCGCCTGAAAGACCGCCTGTCAGAACACAAGTATGCTATCAGAACTAAAAATCCAAACTACCCCATGGCTAGACATTTTTCTTCAGTTGGACACAATAGGGCACTGTCCGGTTTCCGAAATGTGCTAAAAATAGCTCAGATGACTGCGCATGCGCGCATGTTTCGGACAAACATTGTGTACGACGCGTTGAGTTCTACTGTGTTCTCCTCATACGCGTGTGTATTTATTTGGGCTAAATCATTGAATCATGGTGACAACAAAACACTGCAGTTATGGTGCTTGTCGGAGCGATTTCAGATACTCTGAAAAGGACTATATGAAAGTAACATTCAACCCGTTCGTTAAACCACAACATCGGACCAGACCAGGACCAGACCAGGACCAGATCAGACCAGGTGGGTGCTTGTGGTCGGCAGAATTTCTCTCATGAAAAGGTTAAAAAGGGCACATGTTTTTTCAAAACACTTCGCTGGACCAACTGTGGAGCATCCAGATCCAGTCCTAGCTACGTTTAGCTGGGACTGGATCTGGACCGCTGTATCTGGTCCGTCTGAGCTCTTCTGAATGTAGTTAGCACAAACTTTCTCTTTACACCATTTACCCCCATCAATCCATATTAGTATTGTTTGTCCTAATCCAGAAAGTATACAATTCTCACACCTGAAGAAAGATGAGAGGTATTTTTTTCAACTTTGTGTCTGCTTATTATACGGCTTTGTACCAATTGAACACACAAAATAAACGTCATTCACTACTCATGCCGAAAGGTTTATTTAATGAGTGCAAAGAAAATAGTTCCCAAAGGTTTTCCCGTGGCAGGCGAGTTACAGTGAGGATAGTTAACCTAAAAGCGATCGCTTTAGTCGCATTAAAAAAGTATTTTTGTCATGAAAACCTGAACAGTTAATTCTGAAAACCTCCGTGCACTTGTGTTATGAATGTGTATAATGTATTCTCCCATTAACATTTAAATGTGTTGATTGATTGTCATTTGCGTTTACTGAGTGTGGCTAGCTCTGATAGTTTCTCTCAGAGACAGTGGCGTAGCCCGTTGTGATCATGGATTTATTATAATATCAGCTGACTGTAGCTAACTAATGATCAAACTAATTACAAAGTGGATAGTGCAAAAACAACTTGATAAATGGAAGTTAATCACAGCAAAACAAACAAAGAAGGCGCTAACATTGCAATTTAAATGACTAGATAATGTTAGCATAATCCTCACCATTATCTTTTTATCAATTCAAACCGTCTACCAGTTACTGGAAGACCACGACATTCAAGCCAACATTATAATTGGTCTACACTATGATCCCTGATGGTTTGATGGTGGAATTTTGCCCCTGGTTTATCATTTTCGTCTAAAGTGACAAGTGGTATTTGATTCATTTCGGCAGTGTTTGTCCGAAACATGTGGGCGGGAGTTGACAGGCGGCGGGGGCGTGTCTTAGTGACGTCATTTAGATAGTTCGCTATCTGAGTCACTTACAAGCCATGGTTATTGAGGTCACCCCTGCGAGTTTGAGAGGTGGGGACAGAGTGAAAAGATAAGATAAGATAAGCTTTATTTATCTCACAGAGGAGAAATTTACATGTCACATTTGGCATGGATAGAGACACTCAGATTGTGCAAAAGGAGGAAATGTGCAAACATGTTACATGCAGGATATATATGTACAATAAAAGTGACAATAATTATGTACAACAAAAGTGACAAGTGTCAATTGGAAAAATTGACTCGCACAAAGAGAAACGTTCTGGATTGATAAACTCAAAGCCACTATTTTTCTGGGGTTAAATGAGGATGTTGACTTCTCAGTGTTTTTATAATTTGCATTATATTTTGTCAAATTGACAAGGTATTTTTTGAGGGGCCCCTCTGGTAATGTGTCTGTTTACACATCTTTGTGTGTAACATTGGTCTTTGTAGCTTACCTTGTAGTGTCTGCAATAGTTTTAATATCCTCCCTTCATTCCTTCATTCTTTTTAAATGAAGGGAGGATATATATACTTTATCACGTGACGAGTCCTGTGGACGTCACTGGTCCTATCATACGCTTTCCTTCAATGTCTCATCCAATAGAGGTTGTTCTTGTGTGTCAGGTGACTAGTTCAGTGGATGTCATTTGTCTATTTTAACACCCGTTCATTAAATATGTTTTTTACATTGCCCTGAAGAAGGCCCTGCGCGTTGGTCCCTTCTGCATTAAAGGACTTTTATCAGAGTGCCTCGGATTTCACCCTGTCTTTATTTTCCATGCAAAAGGGTATTTTTTGTTTTTCTAAATATTAAGTATTGTTGATGACGATAAGAAAAATGTGACGGAGGCGGGTCTGAGGCAGTCGGTACCTGTGAGCTGCAGGTACTCCTGGAAGAGCAGAGGAGGAGGGTCTCTGGGTACGATGTGTCGCACTGCTTCACTGATGGCTCTGCGAGACACGACAACAGTTGGACACATGGTTTGCACAGTGGCTGCACATGGTTTGCACAGTGGCTGCACATGGTTTATGGTCCCAGATTCTGCAGAGTCACCTGATGTGAGCTGGGGTGGTCCCACAGCAGCCGCCCACAATATTCACCAGTCCATCCATCGCAAACTCCTGCGCAGAGAGACCAGTGTTTAAACAGCACAGAAAGACTAAAGTAACACATTTATACACAACAGTTTGCAGGCTTTATACGTTTTATATGGAATAGTAGTGAGATAAATCAAATATTAAAGATGTATGAAATAAAAACAAGTCATATTCATATATTTCATCAGTAAAATACCAATTATAAAAAACATACAATAGAAAGATTAAGACAATAAAATAAAAACAGGAAAACACAACTCCCATTGAAATTGCTGCGTTTCATTGGGGTGGCCTGCAGGGGGCGCTTATCTGGGAAAGCCTTGATCCACCTCCGCCTCATTCCAGTGATTTTTCCAAAGTGTCCTCCTTTATATGAGACCACAGTTGGAACATGAACAAACTCTGGTCGTTCTCTCTATTTGTGCGGTTGCTACAAACGTACACCGCACAAAAAGATGGCATTTTGACAGCGCTTCTTCTTCTACTATATCTCCGTGTATAAACCACTTCTTCTTCTACTATATCTCCGTGTATAAACACGGCAGACTGCACCGCCAGAATACGTCACGTCCTGTCCTGCGTTTGTTATTCGCACCACTGCCCTGACGTCGTATGAAACCCAAGAATAGGAGGATTTTCTACCTCCGGGTGGATCAAGACTATTGGTCCTCCCAGTTGTCAATCATTCTGGTGATACATGCTCGTCAAGTAAGACCAGAGAGTTTTGCTCCTAAAATTTGGGAAATCCTCCTATTTATCTTTAAAGTTCGTCATAAGACAGGACTATAAACATTTGAACGAGGGAGTGGTTTTGATGTGGGGGGCGTAGAGTGTTCCTGAGCCATGTACCAATCACAGAGAAGGATTTTAGGTCTCGTCTTAGGTACCATGAGCTGGACCTGGACCTCAGACCTCAGCACAAGCCATTCTGGACTTAAGCCTAGTGTATACTTGCGCGGCGTGGCTTACGTTAGCGGTTGCGGTGGACCTACGTAAGCACAATTGATGTTATACTGGTGCGTTCCCCTTACGGAGTTTGAGGAGAATGTTGTAATCCCACAACAAACCACATGAGGGCGATCACACAGGAGCGGTCCCATTTACGCTGCTACTTTGTCCTCTTCAGAACAACAATAACAAACAAAGCTGTTTGAGCTCATTACACGTGTTTCTACTGTAGGTTTATGTGATAGTTTTATGGATTCATTATTTTATAAGTCATTTCAACTGTGATGCTGTGAATAAAGACACAGTTCTTGTTGAAAACATAGTTATTATTAAATAGTTTTCAGCACAAACAGCAAAACAATAATAGTGGTAAATATCTGAGACAAACATGAACGATTTACGAGTGTATATATGTTAGATATAAGTTATATATATGTTAGATATAAGTTATATATATGTTAGATATAAGTTATATATATGTTAGATATAAGTTATATATATGTTAGATATAAGTTATATATATGTTAGATATAAGTTATATATATGTTAGATATAAGTTATATATATGTTAGATAGTCCACTGTCTCCTGTATATCAGGCTCTGAGCCCAAACTGCTTTTCCTTCGAAGCACAAAGCTCTCTGCTCCATAGTGCCTCGTCCATGCTCCTGCTGCAGCCTGCTTCCTGTGCTTCCTTCCAATACACACACACGGACCAATCACAGCGGAGCTTCCTTGCGGCGACCTTTACGTAGTTAGAAAATTTCGATGCTGCGCGGCAGGCGACGTAAGGGCCTTGCGGTGACCAACGCATTGTGCAAGTGACGTCACGTCACCTCCGTAAGCTCCGCGCCGCGCGAGTATAAACTAGGCTTTACTGTGAATGTTACAAGAGTGACAGACGTGATGTTTAAAAAGATAAAAAGGCCTAACCTTCATTAACAGACGAAGCTGATAAAAGCCTGATTTACTGTTTGTTTACCTTCAGACTGGACGCAGTGACCTCAGGAGTCTCATCATAGTCTCCAAACGTGTTGGGAAGACCTGACAACATCATATTAGATCATTCAAACGTCAAACACTTAGCATCTGATTCATGTGTGTAAAGTCACCAGCGTTAGGATAACACAGCACAAAGGCAGACGTGCTCTTCCCGATGGCCTCGATGAACGGCCTCATCTCGGTCGCACCCAGGGCACAGTTCAGACCCAGACTAGGCAAAGCAAGGCAAGGTTATTTGTATGGAACAATTCACACACGAGACAAGAAAGCATTAAATAAGCATAAATAATCACAGTAGATTAAAAAGAAAGATAAAAATATAAAATCCCTCAGTTGTATGCACAGCTAAACAGGACTGTTTTTAACCTGGATTTAAACATTGTCAGAGAGGAGGCCTGTCTCACATCTTCAGGAAGATTGTTCCAGATTTTAGCAGCATGAATCTGAAATGCAGCCTCCACATGTTTAGTCCTGACTCTGGGACCAGCAGGAGTCCAGTCCCTGTGCTCCTCAGAGTCCCAGCAGGAGGCCAGTCCCTGTGCTCCTCAGAGTCCCAGCAGGAGGTCAGTCCCTGTGCTCCTCAGAGTCCCAGCAGGAGTCCAGTCCCTGTGCTCGTCAGAGTCCCAGCAGGAGTCCAGTCCCTGTGCTCGTCAGAGTCCCAGCAGGAGTCCAGTCCCTGTGCTCCTCAGAGTCCCAGCAGGAGTCCAGTCCCTGTGCTCCTCAGAGTCGCAGCAGGAGTCCAGTCCCTGTGCTCCTCAGAGTCGCAGCAGGAGTCCAGTCCCTGTGCTCCTCAGAGTCCCAGCAGGAGGTCAGTCCCTGTGCTCCTCAGAGTCCCAGCAGGAGTCCAGTCCCTGTGCTCCTCAGAGTCCGGGCTGGTTCATATGGGACTAACATGTCACTAATATATTTTTGGTGTGAGGCCATGGAGAGACTTGTAACAATCAGTTTTTAAAGTCTATTCTCTCAGCCACAGGAAGCAGAGACCAGAGAGAGGATAAAACAGAGGAGAATACAGAGATACTTTACTTAATAGATAGATTTGGTTTATTCAGTTGGCGCACGGTTTAAATTTTGTTTGGTTTATGTTAGATTAGGTATAATTTCTTCATTTTATAATTCAATTCAATGCATTCTTGTATCACCCTAAATCACAACAGTAGTTTCTGAGAGGACTTAACAAAACCGTTGAAATCGCAGACACAGATCAGAGAATCAGTTCAAACTCAAAGAATATTGGTCCATTGGGAGTTTGACCAATGTCCATAAGTGTCGTAGAATATTGAGAATGTCCTGGATCATCATCACTGTCCTTTTTGTTAGACCCACCAACGTCTATCAGACCCTCCTGCCTTTCATAACAAGTGACCAATAAGTAAATGTACAATGTTGGTTAGCAAAAATCAAAACAAGCCAATTCAATTCACGTAACGGTAAGAATAAAGAGATGCATGATGGGAATGGGGAGAAGCAAAATCTTCTAAAACTCCCAACTCTAGTACAATTATGTTTTAAAATAAAACCTTTACATTCTTTTTCCTTACAATGTTGTCATGATTGATTCATTTTCTATGTAAACGGCTCAAGAGTAAGAGTAGTAAAAGCAATTCAAAAAACCTAAGTTAATTCTTCATACACAGCAATAACTTTATTTTTCTATTTTCTTTAACCTGTTTAATGTACTCCACAGACAGAAATACTGACACGTTTACCAGTTCTAGATCGTATCCCACTCACCACAGAGGTCTGGAGTGTGCCACGCTGACCACAAAGGCCTCCGTGGTCTGGCCCGACAAAGTCCTGCCGCTCCGGTCCACGATAGTTCCTGAGATCTAAAAAATACACACCACATGGAATTAAAACAAATCTCAAATCACTTCACAAACTCCACAGACACTTACAAAGATCGGCTTCCTCTCGTACGTCTCCTCAAACAGCAGGTCAATGGCGAATAAAGCAGCCTGAGAACACAACGTTGTATATGAGTGCAGTGTGGGGAAGACACAAGGAAGAAAATTAAAGGAGCAGTCTGTAAACATGTGGCCAAAAGTGGTACTGCAGCCTCTCCCACTCTCCCTGACTCAGGGTACCAGATATGCAGACGAATCCAGCTGGGACCATAACAGCTGAATAGACAAGAGTTTTGTCAACAACAAATCAATAACCAACACCTTTTTCACAAAGATAGAAATCCTGGTTTTATTCCTTGTTTTGTCGTTAATGATTTGAGAATCATAACGAGACCTTTTTTAGTTCTGCGCCACATGGTCCTTTACCAGTGAGATTAGCTCCACGCGGTGAGTTCTGGCGCCCGGATCACAGACTTTCTGATTGGTGAAACAATGGAGGGCAGGACATCGAAATGAAAACAATAACAAGATTTAGAGACTGGAAAAGTAATTTAGAAATTCAAATATCTTTGAACTAGGGATGTAAAAAAACTATGAATTTTCATGACAGACCACGAGCCTCATTAACCGGTTGAAACCGTGTGCGTGCGTGTGTGCGTGCGTGCGTGGTCCCGGAGTTTACCAGTACATTGGCGCACACGGCTAGATACGGACCCGCTCGTCACATTGTGCTAATAGCGCTTAAAATAGCCTTATGAAGAGACCTCCCCTCTTTCTCTTTTTTAACCGACAGCTTTGACCGTAAACGCTGTGACGTCAACCACCGGTTAAACGGTCACCGATTTACATCCCTACTCTGAACTACTGTTATCAGTTAAAGAAGTATTTGAAAAGAGAATGATTTTGACTTTTGACAGATGAGGGACCTTTAATGATGACCTGACATGAAAATCTTACATATTGCTACTTTAAGATAAGATAGACATTTGATCTCACACGGGAGAAATGTACATGTCACATTTGGCACAGATAGAATCACTCAGATTGTGCAAAAGACAGAAGTGTAGACAACCTTCGCATTGGCCGTGTCGAAGATCGTTTCCACCAACAGGATGTCCACTCCGCCGTCCAGCAGCCCTCGAACCTGCTCAGAGTAGGCCTCCACCAACTCATCAAACGCTGAGAACAACACAGTAAACAAACCCATGTTAAAAGCATTTCACTCTTGACAAAAATGAAAACAAAATATCCTGTTTATCCCTGTTATTCTTACTGATGTTTCTGAAGTCTGGTTTTTCCACTGAGGGAGACACGGACAGAGTTTTGTTGGTGGGACCCAAAGCCCCAGCCACGTACCGCTTAGAGCCTGAGCAAACCGGAAAATATATGAGTAAACAAAACCAGGGAAAAGATCAAACTCAAAATATACAGAACTGCGAGGGATGAGACTTACCTCTGAGTCTGAAGACGTCGTCTGCAGCCTTCCTGGCCAGTTCAGCAGAGGCTTTGTTGAGACGATAAGCCTGAATACAGCAAAAGGCAACTTCATATTAACAAGGCAGTGAACATTAACAATAACTTATGCATGTGAACAAAATAGTCTTAATGATATGGTTAGAAATGGTCAGAATCGGTCAGAATCATAAACTAAAAGTCCTTAAAGAAACAAAGCGTCCTTAAACAGTGTGTATGATGCTAATATATTTACAGGCGCGTACCAGGTGTTCCAGTCGGTAATCGGCCTGAGCCACAGACGTGCTGCTGAATGTGTTGGTCTCAATGATGTCTGCTCCGGCCTCCAGGTACTCCTGTGACGGCAGCACAGGGGATTATGGACCTCAGACCACCTCAGACCTCAGATAGACCTCCTCAGACAGACCTCGGACAGACCTCAGAGAGACCTCAGACAGACCTCCTCAGACCTCATCACAGGAGGACCACTTGCACTTACTGTCAGTCTAATGTTTTTGGAGTCATTATGGAACTCTGAAAAGCCTCTTGAATGTCACTTTATCTACTTGTCCTACCCTAAATGTATAAGCTTTCCACAAAACATCCCTGAGGAGACCCTCACAGAAAGAACATCTGAAAGACTAATTGATTTTCTCTGAGATCTGTTAAAATGCGTTTGAAGCAAAATCAACAACAATAGCGGAGATACTCATTATTACTTTCATGTCTATATTCTGTTTACTTCTCTGTGTTTCAATATCCAGTAGAGCAAAAAAAAAGAAAATCCCTAATCTTTCCAGAAATGTCAGTCTATTAAAGATAATTAAATGTGTGGGCTTCAGTACCTTGTGTATTTGGTAGATGATTTGTGGTTGTGTGATGCTCAGCAGGTCATTGTTCCCCTTCAGAGAGACAGAGTGGTCTCTGAACTCATCCCCTCTGAAGTGCTCCTCCTCCAGCCTGTGCTGCTGGATCATGGTGCCCATGGCTCCGTCCAGAACCAGGATCCTCCGCTGCAGCGCGGCGCGTAACTCATGCTCCAGAGGACACGGAGACATGGCTGCTTCAGACACAGGTTTAGACTTCATTTAGACACCTCTTTATGCATTTATTAGACATGAAACTAGAGTGGAAACGAGGCTGATGCTGCAGGACCGCTCAGACCACACTCCATTCTCACTCTTCAGATTCAATCTGAGTGTCTTGCCTCAGGGCACAATGACAGTTTAGCAGTCAGCCTGAGCCGTCCCACCAATCCTCAGCAGGCCTCAGCAGGCCCGAGTTAAACTGTCACTGTGACGACATTTCATAAACATGCCCAAAGTGGATGTGTGTGTTGTGGTCAGCTGACCCGCCAGAACCCCCTTGACCCTACAATAGTCCGAGAACGTAGAGGGACCTGGCTGGTCACAGGGCAGCTGTGGCTTCATCAGTCAATACACATTTTTTGTATAGACAATTTCAAATCCACATTTGCTTTACTCATACAATTCACACATAGTAGAAACTACAAATGCAGCCACAGATGCCCTGAGGCAGACTGACTAAACCATGGTAATCTGTGCCACTAGACCCTCAAGTCACACAAGTCCTTTCCTAAAGGAGACGGTGGTCACCCAGAAGTCTCCTCTTCATGTACTGACCAGGACCATAGGGAGTAAATATACCACAGCACAAGTTTTCAATGCCACAGTATTGATCTAAAACAGATTCATAGAAAGTACTTAGTTGACTTTATGTTTAAAGTGAGAAGACCACCTCCTCAGTTAGAAAACAAAAATATGGAATACTTAATCTGGAATCATGATGTTTTTACCATAATTAGAGTGACGTGGAAATAAAATCTGGGCGGGACGTAAAGCTGCTGATGGTAAACACAGCATTCCTCAATCAGTCAAGAAGCATTAGAGAAAAAACCGTGGGGAAAGTAATGACAATGGAATGCTTCACCAATAATAATAATAACCAATAATAATAATAACCAATAATATTTACCAATAGACACGTCTCCTTTAATGTCTCTCTCACGTGTACACTGACATAACCTCATCCCCAGAAGACCTCACAGCAGTCTCTCTGGTCTCGGGTCTCTGGTTTCTGTCAGACATAAATGGACCTGTAGACCTGGTTTGGGAGGAGGCCATGAGACCAGCTTCAGTCCACACTCAGCGGACAGACCGGGTCCAAAGCACACGTGTGTAGGTCCAAAAGCCCCGCGGGGGAAACCAGACTAAAGGACTCTTACCCGCGTTTGCAGAGAGCTCCTGGAGGACATTAGTCGGAGCCATGTTCTGGGCTTTCCTGCAGAGAAGAGCCGTGACTCGTTTCAACAGCACGTAAATGTTGTTGTAATAAACTTATGCAACTAAACTGAGCACACCCGGCGTTCAGCAATCACTTCCGGTTGTAGTCCTTCAAAATAAAAGCTGTCCTTTTCGAAGGGTTTGATATATAAAACATAATTATCTGTGAATACTAGTTTTGTCGCTGTACTGAAACGCCACCTAGCGACAGAAAAGGTACCATATATTCAACGTTTACATAATTTCTTCACAAATAGCATTAAAATTCTTAAGACGCCTTTTATTTTTATTTGTATGCGATCTTTGAAATATGTGACCTGAGATCTAACGTACATAAAATAAACTACTACAACAATTCTCACAGGAGTATTTTAAGTCATGTGTCTTACCTGTTTAGCTGTGCATACAACTGAGGGATTTTATATTTGTATCTTTCTTTTTAATGTTCTGTGATTATTTATGATTTTAATGCTTTCTTGTTTTGTTCAGCACTTTGAATTGCCTTGTGTATGAATTGTGCTATATAAATAAACTTGCCTTGCCTTGCCTTGCCTATATAGTTCATGTGGTCAGGCCAGACGTGCTGCGCAAGTGAATCAATCATTAAGGATCATTACCACACAAGGCACGAGCCAAGAGTTCAATAGTTCTATTATCATCAGCAAACAGCAGTCTGCAACAGTGATCAAAGCCCACTGAGACAGACAAGACACGAGTGAGAAGGTCAAATGGAAGAACAACATGCATATAACTGACATAAATGTTTATTTAAAAGCAACATTTTATACAAATACATTATTACACATTAGTACAGTCAGTTGTCCGTGCTGCCCTTCAGACTGGAGCGCACACTCTTCTTCTCCGACTGACCCATGGCTCGGTACAGCTTCTTGCGCAGCTCTCGTTGGCGTTTTGCTTTGACCTCCTCCTGTTGAGTCTTCTGCTCAAGGAACTCTTTATGCTTGGCGTGTTTCACAGTCTTGGCCTTCTTAGTTTTGTAGTTGTGAACTGTGCCCAGGGCCTGGAGAAGAGCCATCACCTGCAGAAAAGCACCACGTGAATCTGGGTTCATAGAGTGCTGCTTATATGTCTTCAACAATATTGTCTGTGGTTTATACAATTAAAATCTACTACAGTGACATGTTTCTACCATTAATCTATGCTAGGTAAGCAGAACATAAACAATATATTTAAATAGGGGCAAAAAAAGTATGGGAATTTGAAAGCCACACATTTAGGGCCTCAGTCACCCCCTGCTGAAGGCTGCAGCTCGATTTCATCCAGAAACTAATGTAGATAGATTGATGGTGTCCAGTAGCAACAAAAACACATCTATCCACACAAACCAAGCAAAAACATGTAGTGTCTTTATGTCTGTTTGTATGTCTATATCTAGGTTTGTATGTGTATGTGTTAGAAATTTTTTTTTTCCGCAACTAAAAAAAGAAGAAAAGAAACTAATGTGGTGACCATAGACTGTAAATATTAACGGACGTAGTCACGCCTATCTCCGCCGTAGCTAATGTCCGCGGTCTATGCAAAGTTTCAAAATGGCCGCGGGGGCTGGAAAATGTGAAAAAGCAGCACGAGCCCCATTCATTTAACGAGTGACTTCAAAAGTCCACAGCGACTAAACTAGACTGGTCCAAAACCCTCCCCTCAGCATTGACACACATGTGGAACGGAGCTTTGGGCCAAGAGCCAACTTTTGGACCATTCTGTAAAGGTGTTTGAGAGGTAAGAAGATGCTATATGTTAGCATTGAATAATTCTTCTTCCGGGTCCACCCCCACAGGCCCGGGGTGGTATTGCAGCATATCAGCGCACGTCATTTTGGCCACTTTTGAGCCGGGACCCGCCCCCACTGTTAGTGACCTGACTGACATCCTATACCACTGCATGGAAAACGGCTGAAGGAAAACTTATCTAAAATATTATAAGTATGAATGAAACTGTGAGTGCAGTGGAGTTGCGTCTTGCCTTCCGCTCGTGTGGCTCCCGGATCGCGCCCGGCCTCTGCAGGTCTCTAGGTGTCTTTCCTTTGGCCTGCTGTTGCTTGGGTTTGCTCTTGAAGGGGAGGGCTTTCTGGAGCTCTTTCGGGATGTGCAGTTTGTTGAAGCGTCTGGGAGCCCGCGTGACAGGCTGGAAGCACAAAACACACTTTCAAGGTTAAATATTGACTCATAATGTTTAGTTATTACAATCTTGTGCCCGGGATATCATGCATTGGGTTTAGTTCATTTTGCTACATGGCTTTTCCTTTCAGAGCACAAGTTTTAAATTGTATGTGAAGCAGAGGTAAAACTTCTCCAAGTCACTCCATAAACATACTAAAGGTATATAAGAGGATTTTCTACGTCCGGGTGGATCATCAACTATTGTCAATCATTCTGGTGATATGTGCTCGTCCAAAAAGACCAGAGAGTTTTGTTCAAAAAGTGGAGAGGGCGGTTCTTTTCTAAAATGTGGGAAAATCCTCCTGTATGCTTTTAAAGATGTGCATTACAGTAAAGCATTTGGGGGTGTATCAAGACTTTTTAAACGTTACAATAGTGTGATGCGTCATACCTTGTACAGAGAGTCCGTGTTGGGTTTGTTGCGGACGCCGAGGTCATGTTTGATCTGGCCCAGGGTCCTCATGCCTGACCAGCCGTCCTTCTGTCCCACAGGCAGCAGCATATTAGTGACGGCGTTGTAGAGCTGAGGGACCGTCACGGGATACCAGGAGCGCAGAAACACTATGTCTGCACATCACAGGACACTCAGCATCCATCCAGACATGAACCAGCTTCAGCTTTTCTCACAGGTTTTAAATAACTCACCACTCATTAGAAGGCGGTCCTCAAAGGTGGCTCTGAACGCTCCTGGGGGAGTGGACAGGGCCTTTTTGATCTGACCTCTGACCCCTGACACACTTCTAAGAGAGGCTCCTTCAAACTTGGCCACTTCAAGCACAGTGTTAAACATGTCCTGCACAAAAACACACTTCATTACAACCTCATTACACAAAGAGAGAAATAGTGTAAACGTATCATTACCTTAACAAAGCAGGTGTTTTTGAAGATCTTGTATGGGTAACCCAGTAGTTTGAGCTTCTTTACTACAGTAACAGACTTGTCCACATCTAAAATGACCCCAGTGGCTGCAATACGGAAATTTGCCTGAAAACAGAAAACTTCATTGGAACTCACGCTTTTTTAGACTCATTCCAGAGAATAAGAACTTACTTTTATCCCAGCCACAGACTGTAAAGCCAGGAAGCCTGTGCCTTGTGGAGTGATTGGTCCTGGAAGAGCGTGCACAAACTTAGTAAGCAGCACGTACACACACACACACGCACACGCACGCCCACACACACATACACACACACACACACACACACGCACACGCACACGCACGCCCACACAGTTTATACAGTACACATGACATCATTTCATATTTTGGCTGAAGACAGAATCCATGGCTGTTTTTGCTTCTTCAGATGCTGCGTCTCACCCCAGATGGAGGCCCCACAGTGCATGTGCTGTGGGGTGTACTTGAGCAGGCGGTTTCGGCCGTTGTGGTCCTCGATGTGGTACAGGGGGATGGTCTGGAAGCGCCGCCAGCCTAAGGACAGGATCAGGGGGTCCCTGGTCTTCAGGATGCGCTGATACCAACGGTGCTTCTTCAGGCGCATCTGCAGGTCAACACTAATTATTCATCTTTCTGTTTGAGAATAGAATTTACTGCAACTACAAAGAGTGAGAACTGGTGAGTGTAATGTTATAATATCACATCTGGAGCGCAAAAAAATATACAGGACATAGTCGCTACATGAAGCAGCATTAGAAATATGGAGAAATTGAATCTGAAACCTTTACTACCACCATGTGCTACTATTGTCTAGTAATGTCTACTACACTCACTGCTGATGTTGTGTTGTACAATAGAGCTGACCCTAATCAACAACTCGAGACCAGAAGACTGACCTGCAGATACCCCACGTTGCCTTCACCGGAGCTCAATCCGCCAAGAACGATGGGATAGTGAGGGTCAAAGTTGGTCACAAACTCACAGGGCAGAGAGATCTCCAGCCGCACGTACATGCCCGGCCTGAAGCCTTCGTACTGCACTCTGCTCTCATCATCCATCGCCTCAAACTCGGCCCGGTTCAGCTGCGAACAATAAAACATGTTTTTGTTTTTTGTTTTATTTTATTATTACATTTTAATACAATTACAAGAATGAAAACATAAAAGAAATAAAACAAAATTATATTCGAAATCTAATATATACGGTTTACAAATACAGTAGGTGTTAAGGTGGGAGGGGTTGGGGGGGGGAAGAGTAAAAAAAAAAAAAAAATATTCGGGTTGCGTTTTTTATTGTTTCAGTTCTGCCTTGGTTTGCGGAGTTTCTGTATATGTATGTGAATGTGTATGCAATGCAGGGGTGCATAGGTGCTATGTCGAATGTGGTCAAATGAGTCTATATATTTTACTAATAAAAAAATAAAAAAAAATAAAAGGGTTTATATATATACACATCATCATCGCTATCACTATTATCATCGTCATTGCCACAATCAAAATAAAACATGGTTAATGATTGGGACTTCTCTCTGGAGGCTTCATATAAAAAGGCTGTAAAAGGAAACCTCGGCCTGTTTCTGCATCTCCTCCTTCAGGTTGTCGAAGTACGTGGCTTCTCCGTCATCGTACTCCGTGTCAAAGCGCTCCTTAAGTCGCCGCTTCTTCTCCAGGCGTTTCTTCCTCTGCTCCTCGTCCGTCTGCATCGGCGGCTGCTCCTCCTCGTTTTCTTCATCATCTTCTTCTTCTTCATTACTGTCACCCTTTGAAACCAGATTCACAAAATAACCCAGTGTAATGCCGCACATACGCCTCAAAAGAAAAACCAAAAGCGGTACCTGTTTCTGGTCGTCTGCGCTCTTGTTTTTATGAACTTCCCCCGTTTCCAAATCTTCAAAGTCACCGAACAACTCATCTGAAAGAACATCTGAATAAGTTCGAGCCCATAACCTCAGCCTGTAAGTAAGTGATAGTTCCCTGTACAGAGGACATATACATTTACTACAGAGTCCTTCGAGATAACTACTGTCGTGATTTGGGGCAATACAAAAAATTGAATTTGGACGTTCGAAGTTGGATTTATTAAAGACAATGTGCAGTTGCATTAAAAAAGTGGTTGCAACAGATTTAGCACCACCGACTTTCCACCTGTAGACAATAAAATCATCCGTGTGCCCCAGGGCAGCTGTGGCTACAGTAGTAGTTTATCACCACCGTGTATGAAGTGAATGAATAATGACATGAGAAGCATCTTAAAAAACCGATGCATTAATATTAATCATATAACTTGCATAATAATATACAGATTCAGATCAGATTCAGATTCATTTATTTGCCATTTGCAGTAAAACCACATTGGAAAAACTGTGCAAGACTACCCCAATGTGCATGGGGCATCTTTACGGCGCCATGAGAGTTCAAATTAAACTAGTAGTAATCTTTAGTAGTAATCTTTAGTAATCTTTATTTATATACCGCCTTTTCACTGCACATCGGAGTCTCAAAGCGGTTTACAATTGTGATTTTTTGGGAGTTGGGTCGCCAGTACAGGAGGCACATGTCAGACCTACTGCACATATTTTTAGTGGTAGGGGAAACCGGAGCACCCGGAGGAAACCTACGCAGACACGGGGAGAACATGCAAACTCCACTCAGAAAGGCCCTGGTCCAACCGGGATTCGAACCCAGGACCTTCTTGCTGAAAGGCGAGAGTGCTATCCACTCAGCCACCGTGCCGCCCAACTAACAACTAGATAGATTAAACAACAACTCACTAAAAAAAACATTTAAATAAAAGTGCATACACTTCAAAATAAAAGTGCAAGTTACTCTGGTCTGTGAAAGGCGATATATAATTAAAGATGACTTACTGACTTACTAAAATACATATAGACACATGACATACCGTCCTCTTTGAGTCGAGTGGCCGCGTCCTCGCTCTGCTCCCATTTTCCTGTTACAAAGCAGTCCCTGATGGAGTCCACCGCCTGAGAACACAAAACCTCACGTCAACAGACTTTCACACTGGGATGCATCCTTCCAGTCACTTCCTCAGATTGTTCCCACCTCCGGTAAATCCCAGTTTTGACCGTCGTTGGAATGGAAGCGGGAGCAGTCCAGCGCATCGGCCTGGTCTCTCTTATTCTTCTGAGGCCGACTCACTCGAAACAACCCTCCGAGCTCCTCGTCCTCCTCCTCGGCCTCGGTCCCAGCAGCTTCTGTCACTGTGGTCGCACAAGGAACAGGTGAAACATCTGAGAACAATGAACGACGTTGTTTTGCAAAGATGGGACGGTCTGTACCTGAGCCATACACAAGTTTGCGCAGGTTCGGAGCAGCAGCTTGTTGCCGTAGAAACGCTTCTGATGCTTTCTGCTTCAAGCCTTCTTTCCAGCGTAGGGCTCCTGAGATCATGCACGATTATCATATATGGACAGGATTCAGGAGATATTATTTACATTGAGATTTCATTTCAGTTTAGTGAAAATGCCTCGAGAAATTAAAACCAGGAAAATGAGCTCTTGTTGTACAATAGTCACTAATGCACTAGGACTGAAAACACACTTTTTTATTGTACATAATTATATCCTGTACAGACAATCTTTTTAACTATAACATGTTGCACACTTCTGTCTTTTGCAGAACCTAAGTGATTCTATCTGTGCCCAATGTTACAGTGTGAGATCAATGAAGTCTAATGTTATTCTGTGGAGATCGTTAAGAGAAAGTGAACCACTATAAGTAAAATAGAGATTATTCCCAAAAGAATGAATGTTGTATATATATATTTGTATGAAAAACATCACATGGTCTCACCCTCTTCCTCTTCTGCCTCCTCCTCCTCACTGTCCTCTCCTTCCTCGTCTCCGTCCTCTTCCTCCTCATCCGAGTCTTCCTCAGAATCTTCCTCTCCGGAGTCGTCCTCATCCGAGTCCTCCTCACTCTTCTCTAGTTCGTCCCCACTGTCGGCGAACGCTGGTAGCTCCGATGAGTCCTGCTCTGCTTTCTGTTTCTTCTGAGGGGGTCCACTATCCTCCCTGGCCTGTTTCAGAAACCTGCTCAGGTCTTCCTCATCCTTCTCTTCCTCATCCTTCACTTCCTCGTCATCCTCCTCCTCCTCCTCTTCCTCCTCACTGGAGCCGATGGAATGGTCCTGGTTGTCGCTGAAGAGCACTTTCCTCCTGTTGCGACCGGTCTGTTGATCCCACACCGTCTGCTCCTGGAGCCTACATCACACAACACTCAACTCTCAACTTATCTCTGAGAATCGGGACGAGCTTAAACTCACCGCTCTTGATCTTCTAAGTCCTCTGAGTTCAGCGTGGCCGAACCACTGAAGAGAGACATCTTGCTGGCGGCCATCTTGGCGTCTAACGTGGCGTGCGTGTCGAGAAGAGACTGCACAAGTTCTGCTGTAGGACGCACCTCCTCCTGCGGCAACGAAAAGATCAACTCACAACTTTGAGAGCAGGTACCACGCCAACAACACGGATTGTTCTGGAATATTAATGAGTCTATATCCACATGCTCAGTGTTCGTCCGATACATTTGGCCTTACAGCTTCGAGACACCCACCTGCTGCTGCTTGACGTGACTTGCCGGCAAATCTACATAAACAGCGTCCTTGTCATAGACCACGCCCCCCACTCCGGCCATGGGGGCGTACAGCAGCCGCTCCTTCTCATTCAATGCCCTCTTCTTCTGAGCGTCTGGAAGAGCACACGGGTCTGGGAGAAAGTTCACGTCCGCCACCTGGTAATCCCCCACTCCTGCCAATCAAAACACAAGCCCCCGTGAGTCACATGACACAGGACTTTACGGTAATGTCAAGTCACATCCAAAGAGCGTCACCAGCGATATGAACGTGGCTCTTGTTCTTCAGATATGTCCCTCGCAGGTAGCCGTAGAGAGATATGTTTCGGTCACACTTGGGTTCAGTCCTGATCTTCTCGGGATCCGTTAGGTCCTCCATCCTGTCAACGCAGCAGAGTTATTTCGACATAATCATGAAAAACAGGGCTGCACAAACTCCATACAATACGAACAAGGTTTATTATGAAACAAGTGAATGCAGGTTTGATGCTGGGGACAGTGATCATAATTTACACTGGAATTAATTTAGAGACAATAATTGGGCCAAATGAGAGATCTAGAGCTGGAAAGGCTGTAAAAAATAAAAAAATGCTAAAATATAAAGTTAAAACAAACATTTTCTGTATATTAGTGAAGAAGATGACAAAGTCTGGGATCGGGTCTTAAACTCACGGGTGACCATCAGGATCGATAAACAGCAACATAACATCATTGCTCAATACTTCAAAAATTCATAAACTCGGTACTTCACTCGGTACTTCAAAAAACTCAGAACTCGGAATACTTCAAAACTTATAAAACATGTTCAGATCTTTCATAAAACTTGTCAACAATCTTCAGTAAAATACCAAACTTCATCAGTCGATGGTTCCAGATATTGCTTTGAAAACAGTCTCTCCCACTTCTCCGTGTTTATTCTTCAGGCTGCATTTGTGTCGAGCCATGAACTCTTCTGTGACGTGTCTTTCAATCACACGTTTCAGCTTCAGTGTCCAGATTCAGAAATCCAATTCAGTCCAAATTATGTCCATGCAAAAGAGGACGATGGTGTTGTCCATGTCTCAGCAGCTCACAGTCTGACTGGAATCAGGGGCTGTGCAGATTGTCCATGTGCTGGTCCAGATGCATGGTTTGTCATGAGGTTTCTCAGTTTTGGCTTAAAAAAAACAACACATTTTCGTGTAGATGTTACAGACAATGCCCGCATTCTCCACCATCTGAAGAAGATGGCAAAGTCTGGGATCGTGTCTTAAATTCAGACAGAAGACATGTTTTATTGTCGATGGTAGAGACAGCACGAACAACACAAACAAGGGATGTTAAAGACAGCAACTGGTGATATACTTAGGAGAAACAGAGACCTCCAATCAGCAGCTGCCACGGTGCCAGCAGAGAGAGTCAAAACATGAAGTGGAAAAGTACTGGCTTCTGCACATTGGTAGAATTATTACTTTAACTTTAACAAAAGTTGCTTCAAAGTGTTATGAAATCTCACATTAGTCCAACTACTGAACCTTCCCTTCCTCCTTTATTGTCTAAAGTGTAATATATCTAGTAATTTTATTCGCTGGATGAAGAAATAGGGGGCGACAGTAGCTCAGTTGGTAGAGCATTGGCCTTAAGGCCAGAAGGTCGTGGGTTCAATTCCCACCTCTGCACCTTCTCCACCGACTCCCACTGATGACTGCTGTCGTTGTGTCCTTGGGCAAGACACTTAACCCCACTTTGCCCAAAGCCCCCACTGATAGATCAAGGCTATGCTCACACTCAGAGAGCACCACCTGCAGAGGGTCAGTGAGGGGCTGGTGCTATGAGACTTGGGTGGCATCTCTGACTGCCACCCCCCTGACCCAGAAATGGATTAAAGGGTAGAAAATGGATGGATGGATGAATGAAGAAATATATCGAGTAAAAATTGTAGGTACAGGTGTAGATATTTTTTGAATGTGTAAAAGTGTCGGCCTCGTGTGTCACATACCGATCCACCAGGACATAGGGATGAGACGTCTGCCACACCAGAGGACGGAACTTCATGACGGAGATAAATCTTCCGAGGTTCTTCACTTCCTGAGTCTGGTACTCCCCGAACACCATCCCCGACAGGTAAAACAACTTGGCCCCCTGCACAGAGAAACACAAGGAGTCACATCGCCACAATACAACAGCTCCCAGATCTGGTCCACGTCAAACTGCTCGCACAAAACGTCTTTACAAACACAGAGAATCATAAATATCTCTATCACAAACAAGTCAAATGTCCGGGGAGGCCTCTAAAGAGATATGAGAGGAGGCGGAGACTGCAGGGGGGGCCAGGAGGGTCGACTATCCACTACAGTTGTATTGAGACAGTGGTTACATTTGGGAGAGTGAAGGAGCAGAGGTTACCTGGTAGACCTCGGTCCAAAAGCGGTGCTTGAGGTTCTTTTTGGTTTTGCGCAGTGTCTTGTTGTTCTTGAAGGCGTCCAGGTGAGTGAGCACTCCCATGATGCGAGGAAAGCCGTGCACCTGGCAGATGTTTAGGAACTCAAAAGTCTCCATCTCGAATCCAAAGCTGGCATCAATAAGCATCAGAACCTGCAATAAAAAAAAAAAAAAATTAAAGTGTCAACATTCATTTCATTTCATTATTGTATTGGCCTAAATCACAACAGTAATTATCTCGGAGGAATTTACAAAACCGATGAATTTGCCAATATAGGTAAGAGAGTCAAACAAGAAATAAGTAAAGTAAGTGAGTAAGTAAGCGCTTCACATTTAAAACACATTAAACACATACATTTCAGATTTAAAAACAAAGAAACAGAAGAAGGCCTATGAGGTGAGAAAGCCTGTCAAAACAAATAGCCCTTAGGTTGGGACTTAAAATCATCAACAGTCTCTAAGATGCGCAGAGTCTGAGGAAGCCCACTCTAAAAGGTGAGGAGCAACTGCCTGGATCTGTCTCCTCTGGCTTTAAAAACAAATGAACAGAAAACACATTGGTATTGGTCCATAAAGGACATAAGTGTTGGTAAATGTCCATAAATGTTGAGTGTCCTGGATCATCACCACTGACCTTTTAGTTAGACCTCACAGACTCTCCGGCATCTGCAAGGGAAAAACTCTAAACCCAGTGTGAAACGGGTCTAACATCATAACCACACTCTCCTCTGTCTATGATGCTTTTAACTTTGTATTTTAACAGTGTTTTTAAAATGTACTTATTTGCTTGTAGGCGAGGCGACCTTAAAGAGCGACTAAACACCAAATCAACTTTTTTTAACTCATAAACTGCATAAGTATGTTTATTGTAGTGCTGTCTACATATCCTGGTAATTTTTTTGACATTTTAGTTCAAATTAGATAAAATATCACTTTTGAGCCAAAAAACGTCTGTGTGGCGCCCTCTCAACCTTTTTGGTGGTACTACATTTGAATTTGGTTCTGGCCTCTCCATTGACTCTGAAGTTCTCTATGACATCAGTTGTTTTGTGTGACGTCAGTCTGTCAGAGCCAGTGATGTGAACCCATTCAACTCTCACACACGCCCCAGCTGCAGTTTGGAGTATTCTGGCGCCATCTAGTGGATTAAAATTAAATTACATGAGTCATTCTGAGATTATTGAGTGTGATTAGGTTCAGGTGTGTAGCTTTACAATTATCTTAGTGTGTAAACAAGGGTGGAATGAGACTTTCTGGTCTGTAAACTATTGCTTTAAGCAGCAATGACAACTGTCTGTTTTTTTTTGTGTGTGACAAGTGAGCTGTCAATCACAGCCCAGACCACGCCCAACTCTAAGCCCCCTTTCTTGTCCCTTGGTCCTCCAGGCAACGCCCTTTTTAGAGAACATTTTCAAATCTTCATGTGGGCGGAGTAAGGCTGGGCACAGGTGTTTAGTTGCTCTTTAAGTGTCAAGAAAGGCGCCTAAGAAATAAAATTTATTATTATTATTATTGCTAAAACTTGGTCTAAAAATCTCACCAGGTCTGCAACTTTGGCCAGATCAATCATGGTGTTGATGTCGTTGGTGCACTCCATGAAGGTGAGCCGCCGCTTCTTCCCTGAACGAAGACACACGACAGTATCAGCTCCAGTCAACACAAAACAGAAGAGTTAATAACAACACTCACCTGAGACAATAGTCACAGGCCCACAGATGTCTCCCAGCTTCTGTCTCGTAAAGTTCTTTATCAGACATCGGATCAGAGTGCTTTTGCCCACTTTGGGGGGGCCCATCACTACTATGACCACGGGAGGAGGCTCCAGAGGTGTGCGATCTACTAAAGGTATGTGGTGCTTTTTGGCCTTTATGTCCTGGGCCCTAGTGGGAATAAAATAAAATCAATTACTTATTTTGATTAGAAAAGGAGAGGATTGAGGATGTGAATGGACAATCTGACCTGTGGAAAGTTTTGGCCATACGCACAGCGGACTGGACAGCGAAGGCCTTGGGGTTTCGCCTGCGGTCATCTTCTTCCGTGGAGGGACCATGCTTCCTCAGCTTCTTCTTCTCCGCTTGGGGTCCGCTGTGTTTTTGTTGATGCTTCCGCTGTTTCTTCACTTTCGCGTCCATTTTGGCCAAAGAGCTAAAAAACAGATGATCCAGATTTACACTAAAACGGTCTGTGGTGTGACTTCCTGTTGCTGTATAGAGCTGGAGTGTCTGCTGTAAACACTCTCTGTAATTAGATAAAATAACCTATATCTGTGGATATTCAGACAGTCAAGAGAAAGCAGGCTTGTTTGCACAGTTAATTTAATGGCTGCGTCTTTAATTAATGGCAGAGTTACAGGTGTTTGATGTAAACAGTTTGGATCATTAAGTTGCGAATGGCATAGATATAAGAAATTATGAACAGAAGTAGACTGAGTGACAGATACATTGTACCAAGATATCAAACCCGACATGGATCAGATACGTTGTACATGTCTCAAAATGAAAGAGCTTAGGGGATTTCGTATCCGATGAGCTTTTTCCAATGTATTGTTTCAAGTTACAGTTAATCAAATTATTCCCACAATGGAAAAATGTCAGCTTTGTCATGCATAGTGCAAGTTAGGCTGTTATTGAGAAAATAACTCGCTCCTTTAAGCGTGTTTTAATTATAATTTTCACATAAAGACACAAGCATGTAGGAGAACGATGCCTCTGCCTTCCCGAATGTATTATTCTTTTAATCCGTAACAAATTGATGTTAACAGCCCAGAATAACGGAACCAGAGAAAACACAAAACGTCTGCCACTGGTTTGTAAACTTTCATTTATCACAAGGAGAATATTACCTCAGGTTTTTCTCTTGTAAAGGGTTGTTTTCACTGCTCACGTGGGTCCTCCGTGAGCCGGAAGTACTATGAGTGTGGAACAACTGTGTGTGAGGGAAACAAATCCAACGGTCAATGGTTCCGCTGTTAGTCAATACACCGAGTTTACTTTTGTATGTGTTTGTTTTGTTAGACGTAGACAAGGGGCAAAGGTTAATGTCCAAATTAGTATTCTAATGAGGCTTCTATGGCAAAAAGTAAAAGTATTAGAATATCCGCCTGCCGGTCGCTTTGCCGCCACTAGATGGCAGTCTTGGGCGTGTATCTTCCATAGTAATCAATTGTGTCAAGCGTCTTTGTGATATTTTTCTTACAACATGCACTGATGCAGACCAGGTCTCCAAAAAGCCAAATAGGTAAGACACGGATTTCACGTAGAAGACCTAAAGACACACACGTTTGGGACCTTTCAGCCACAGCCGCCCCACTGTGGCCCCCGGTGTTCCCAGAGGTTTTCCATCACAGTAGGATCTGCCCTGCACAGCTTTCGATATCTGACGGGATCTGCCTTTTACATGCATTGGTTGTATGTTTGTGAGAGTGACCGTGGCATGGAAATTAGCAACAAAAAAGCTGTTTTATTTTGTTTATTTTTTTTTACAGATGCGGCTGTTCAGTAATACACACTGTTCCAAGCAAATAAAAAATACACAAACATAAATTTAAGTTTAATATTAATATTCTTAACCAGTCTGGGCGTCTCTGCTGCCACCGCGACCTGTTAACGGATGAAGCGGAAGAAAATGGAAGATTCAATGATTTTTTTTTTCCAGTGATGTCTTGGTGATGAGACATTCACAACATTATCCTCTAAAACATTTATATCATAAGTTTTCTGAAATTTGGATTCCATTGTTTTCTTTGCTGAAAGTTTTAGATTTTCCTTTTGTGCCAGACTGATTTCTCATTTTCCTTTATTCTCTTGGCTGCCACTGATATGCTGAATGTGGATATTTCTGAACACCTGTCTGTCTGTTTTTGTTTTTAGAATTCATTCTAATTTTTACAATTGCTTATGAATGTATTCAATTTTATTTATTTATTTTTTCGTTTTTGTATTGGCATTTCTCTTTATAGTGTACATTACACTACTGTTTATTATGTGCCCAAAATTATAAATAAAGTTGGAACAAAAATAAAATAAAACATTTATATCAAATAAATGCAGTTATATACAAACATACAAGAGATAATAAAAATACAATCAATGACAGATCATGGAATGCAGAAGAGTGCTACAACGATCTATTGGTACAAGACTTTGGAATTAAAATATGTCCTGTAAGAGTCTGTTAAAATACTAATTATTCATTGTTTTATGTGAGTGTTAACAACTGGACCACATCGTCAAACCATAATGTACAGCAGGGGTCTCCAACCTGTAGCTCGGGAGCCACCAGTAGCTCGCCAGCCCCTTACAGGTAGCTCGCCAAAGAAATTAGACTTTAACAAATACACTTAAACGAATACTTTTTGACCCATTACATATCTATTATAAGTATAAACATAGGGTTATACAGTAATATGGTGTATTTTATATGTGTTCTCCAAGTTTAGTCGTAATTATTAGATCCATTTTATTATGACTGCAAAAATGAGTAGCTCTCTGCCTGTTTGTTTGTATAAAAGTAGCTCTCTGATTAAAAAAGGTTGGAGACCCCTGATGTACAGCAACCAACTGACAGACTGCAGATTGCCAGGATATAGAAGGAGCATGAGCACAAAGTTACAGTGGCGCCGATGAAAGAGCGTCCAGAGAAAGCCCGGGTGATGACTGGGAGGCCTGGTGTCTGATGGTGTCAGCTGGCAGCAGTTCACAGAAGCAGTGCACAACAGCGTAGTGTCTGATCCACACTTTTATTTAGAGACGGCTTCAACAGAGAAACTTCACAAATGACCCCTGACCTCAGAGTCGGGGCCCGGTCCTTTAATTACAGCTGTTAGTATTTATTAGAACACACTGAGTATGGACTAGTCTGTTGTTGTGGGTTCATGTCCCAGAGACGTCACATCCAGGGTTGAGCCTGTGCTAATGCAGAAGCTCTTGTTGAGTGTGAGTCTGAAGAGCTCTTGAGAACCTCTGAACCTCTCCTCCCGACGTCATTCTCACCTGCTTCATAACCATTGAGAGTAACGTTGTCATTAACGTATTATTATTCTTCACCCCCTCTCTGCTGTGCTGCCCCGTTCATGCAGATATGACAGGCACAAGAAACAAACAAGACAGTTATCGTAAATATACCTCACAGAGCAACAGGAAGACCATAAAAAGCCACAAAACAGGCAAATAATGAAATAGTAATCGAGTTTTCTATCAATTATAATCGTAAGTAATTTAGATATGAAAAGGCAGGTGTGAGCGATGTGGCCAACAAAGAGTGAGAGGAATGGTCCAGAATTCCAGCCAGCTATGTTGAGACAAACGTATGGATTTTTGCATAGAGAATTGTCCTTTTTAAGTTCTTTAAGTTATTATTCTTCTTCACCCCCTCTCTCTGAAGTTGCTGATATTTCCTGAAGATGAAGGCTGCTGTGCTGTGCGGCATGAAAGGTATAAGAAAAACAAGACAGATATCGTAAAAATCACAAAGCAACAGAACGACCATTTACTTTTTTCCTGACAGTTCAACATGTGAAATAATTGCTCTTTTTTATTTGGTAGAACATTCCAAAAGATTTGATTGGCTGACCATGGCTGACTTTTCTGTGTGTACAAGCCGTTAAGCTAAAAGTCAAATACAGATTCAAAAATACAGTATATAAAAAACACTGGTTCTCTCAAATGAAGTGAAATGGATGCTTGAGGTTTTGTGATAGACTGTTGAATCTGATTGTTGATGTCATCGTGAAGAAACATCTCAAAACATCAGCAAAGAAAGGTTGGTCTAACGGACGATGACCTCCAGCATATACGGCCAAAGTAGTTTCTGTGTCCAGGACAATGTTTTGGAGTGTTAGTTGTAAAGCCCTGATATCAAATCTATTGAACATATGGGGCAGATCTGAAAAGGCAGGTGTGAGCGATGTAGCCCACAAAAAGAGAGAGGAATGGTCCAGAATTCCAGCCAGCTATGTATGGATTTTTGCATTTAGAGAATTGTCCTTTTTAAGTTCTGGTCAAATTATACCTGACTCACGAGAAAAGTAGTTCAAATGTGATCAAATATCAAGTTTGAAGTTTAGTTTCGTGGCGTCTGCGTTCCCAGCTCTTGGCTTATACGAGGAGGCACTCACTAATCAATTGAAAACCACATTGTAATCAAATTGATGATGTTTGTGTTCACCAGAGGAACATAGAAAGGATAAAGGGACATACAGAAGCTTGTGCTATGTGACTTGGGTGGGATCTCTGACCGCCACCCCCCTGACCCAGAAATGGATTAAGGGGCAGAAAATGGATGGATAGATGGAGAAGCTTGTTTATAAAGTTGGGCATGGATGCTTTTGTCAGACTGGGTGAGAGTGTGTTGGACCTGTGTCATTGGGCAGAGCTCTGCAGATGAATGAGGCTATAACCACTCGCAGGTTTCCACACCATTGCCTCAGAGTAACCCACACACTCTATCATCCAACTCCAGAAATGAACTCACTAGTTCTACTCTAGTGTGAGCGTGAATGATTTGTGGAGGTTCAAGGGGCCAATGGCTTAAGATAAGTTGCCTTGCCTCTGTCAGTCTATTCCAGGGCAGCTGTGGCCACGGAAGAACCTCACCATCACTGTGTATGAGTGAATGAACCTCCCTCACGGGCGGCACGGTGGCTGAGTGGATAGCACTCTCGCCTCTCAGCAAGAAAGTCCTGGGTTCGAATCCCAGTCGAACCAGGGCCTTTCTGAGTGGAGTTTGCATGTTCTCCCCGTGTCTGCGTAGGTTTCCTCCGGGTACTCCGGTTTCCCCTACCACTAAAAATATGTCCAATAGTTCTAGCATGCGCCTCCTGTACTGGTGACCCCGCTCCCATCTCTGTGTGGAGTGAGAGACAAATGCCCAAAAATTAACAAATGTAAACCGCTTTGAGACTCAGATCTGCAGTGAAAAGGCGGTATATAAATAAATATTACTTACTACTTACTTACTACTCTTTATGGCACAGAAAGTATTGATGCAGGAGGTGGAGCACTCTCTCACACGGGGTTGTGTTGATGCCTCTGTGGCTGTTGTGGATGAACCTGCATCACTACATCCTGTGACTTTTCCTTCTCGTGGAAACACTCTTGGCTCATATCTGTGCAGTGGTGCTGCAGGTGTTCAGTCAAAGGGACATGGAGCATTGTCACCCTCTGCCATGACACTGGCAGCTGACACTCAGACTCTGACTCTTAGTTTTTAGTGTGTCAGCTCAAGTTATCTCAAGAATTTGTGCTCGGAGCCTTCACTTCCACTGTCCCAGGACTGTAGCCCCTCTCGCTCTCGTACATCATCTGTCCGTCCGTTCACCTGCCAGGGAAGAGCAGCTTCCACACGTAAGCTGCCAAGGCCACACTGCTGCGGTACGAGGGCCCCTGTCAGAACCTGGAGGGCCCCTGACGGAGCCTGGAGGGCCGCACTGACTCGCTCTGGTTTGGACAAAGTGAGCCGTCGCATCAGTCTCCATTATGGCCCAGTGTTGGCGCTGCTGTCGTGTTCCTGCGGTACGCCAATGGAGAGCCTGTCTCATACATCATCAAGGACAAAAGCCAGGCTGTGGGGAGAGGGCCCCGGGGGGAGGGCCCTTCCTGCCTCCTCCCCTTCCCCCTCCTCAGCATCTCCTGGACACAGGTCAGACTGTACTGCTCCATTTGATCACGTACATAAGTGAATCCTATTATTATTGTCATGTGGTCACTTAATAATCTTAATAATCATAATTAAATAGTTGGAGCGCTGAACTCTATAGCGTTGATGGTGGAAAAGCACCTTCATTATAAAAGGGAAATAATCAGTTAGAACCACAGAACGTTCTCTATTGAAGTATTTAGGTATTCTGAGATTTTGGGCGGCACGGTGGCTGAGTGGATAGCACTCTCGCCTCTCAGCAAGAAGGTCCTGGGTTCGAATCCCGGCCGGACCAGGGCCTTTCTGAGTGGAGTTTGCATGTTCTCCCTGTGTCTGCGTAGGTTTCCTCCGGGTACTCCGGTTTCCCCTACCACTAAAAATATGTACAATAGGTCTGGCATGCGCCTCCTGTTCGGCGACCCCGCTCCCATCTCTGTGTGGAGTGAGAGACAAATGCCCAAAAATAACAATTGTAAACCGCTCTGTGACTCTGGTCTGTGAAGGGCGGTATATAAATAAAGATTACTTACTTATTACTTACTACTGAGATTAGTTTCGTATTAGAAAGAAAGAGGATCGCCAAAGGACATTCCCACAGAGCTGCTCAGTGGACTGACACGTGTCACGACGAGGACGTCTGACTGACTCTGTCTGAGATCAACTTTTCCCTTTATGGTTTGACTCAAACAGCTGACTCAATTTCACAACTTTGCTTTATACAGCTTTATAAACTTTATACAGCGCCCACTGAACACCACCAACACCAGACTCATGTGTGTGAAGTGTCTTGCCCAAGGACACAGCGTAAGCCACTGTGGCACTTTGTGTGTTTCAGGATCAATGTCAAGGTTCTCACTGGTTTTTAAAAGTCTTAATGGTCTTCTTATCTTTCAGAACTGCTTTTACCATGTGAACCCTCCCAGCCCCAGCGCTCCTCCAGCAGCAGACTCCTGGTTTTTCCCAAAGTCAGGCTCAAGACAAACCTTTTTAGATTAGCTTTTGATTAATCATTTAATTTGCTATATTCTGTCTCTGGGTTCTGTGTCGTCCCCCGTGGCTGCACACGGCTCTCTGCCCCTGGTGCAGACGGCTCCTTGGATGGCGCTTCTTCAGTTCTGTTTTCATCAATTAAAACATTGAAATAATATAAATGTACAATAAAAAACATTGTATATGAAATGTTTAGTATATGTGTATTTGGTGTAAGAATATTTTGGATCAGTCCAGTGACATCCTGGAGTCGTACAGATCAGCGGGAGATATATTTATGCTCCGTTAGGCTCAGTTTGTTGGTTTGATAATCAGATTTCAGGGGGGTAGTTATTATTGTTGTTACCTCAAAGCACAAAGGTCCTGGGTCAGTTTGTGTTCTCTCTGTGTGTACTTTGGGTTTTACGTTTTAGCTGCTGCAGTCTGTGATTTTCATTTATTTATTATGAAATGTAAATGTTCCATGTTACTGCAGGAGGTAAGTTATACATCCATTGTAGTAGTAGTAGTAGTAGTAGTAGTAGAAGTAGTAGTAGTAGTAGTAGTAGTTGTAGTAGTAGTAGTAGTAGTAGTAGTGGTAGTTGTAGTAGTTGTATCACATTGACCCCTGTCACATTGACCCCTATCACATTGACCCCTATCACATTGACTCCTATCACATTGACCCCTATCACATATCACATTGACCCCATAACATTGACCCCTATCACATTGACCCCCATAACATTGACCCCTATCACATTGACCCCTGTCACATTGACCCCTGTCACATTGACCCCTATCACATCGACCCCCATAACATTGACTCCTATCACATTGACCCCTATGACATTGACCCCTATAACATTGACACCTATCACATTGACCCCTATAACATTGACCCTTATCACATCGACCCCTGTCACATTGACCCCTGTCACATTGACCCCTATCACATTGACCCCTGTCACATTGACCCCCATAACATTGACCCCTATCACATTGACCCCTGTCACATTGACCCCTGTCACATTGACCCCTATCACATCGACCCCCATAACATTGACTCCTATCACATTGACCCCTATGACATTGACCCCTATAACATTGACACCTATCACATTGACCCCTATAACATTGACCCCTATCACATCGACCCCTGTCACATTGACCCCTGTCACATTGACCCCTATCACATTGACCCCTGTCACATTGACCCCTGTCACATTGACCCCTATCACATTGACCCCTATAACATTGACCCCTGTCACATTGACTCCTATCACATTGACCCCTATCACATCGACCCCTGTCACATTGACCCCTGTCACATTGACCCCTATCACATTGACCCCTATTACATTGACCCCTATCACATTGACCCCTATCACATTGACCCCTATAACATTGACCCCTATCACATTGACACCTATCACATTGACCCCTATAACATTGACCCCTATCACATTGACCCCTATCACATTGACCCCTATAACATTGACCCCTATCACATTGACCCTATCACATTGACCCCTGTCACATTGACCCCTATCACATTGACCCTATCACATTGACCCCTGTCACATTGACCCCTATCACATTGACCCCTGTCACATTGACCCCTGTCACATTGACCCCTGTCACATTGACCCCTATCACATTAGCAGAACTACTGTACACTATCATGTACTCTCAGTAAAAGCACTTTCTTACGTCTCGACCTGTTGTCCTCCTGTCACTGTCCAGGGGGCTCTCAGATGAGTATGGATTTTCAGGGGCCCACACTTGTGACGGTAATAGCCTCCGCAGCAGAGTCCTAAAAGGAGACAAATGGTCCAGTTCCAGTCCATTGTCTCTGGCTGGTCTTGGATTCAAGATACCAAAAGTGATGGAGGACCATGGGGGCCACAGTTTGCCCTGATGACTTCCCGAGCACTGGCCCTTGACAAACACTTAGAGGTGAAAGTGTTCGCTCTAGGTGCAGTTCAAACACACACAAACTGAACTTCTGCAGTGGAACATATCTGAGAGGTCGACTCTGGACATTCACCAGCTCTGTCCTATTCTTTGTTCATTCAGACAAACATTAACAACGCCGTATGCAAATATGTCTCCAGCAGAATATGAATTTTGATCTTTGGCTCATGTGGGCATTCTTGGCAGGCCGGTCGTGTAGACAGGCTCTTGTTGTGGGAAAGATGAGACCCCACGGGGACAAAGACCACAGTGAGACTTCTCCATAAACAGCAGCGGCAGATCCCCTTCACACTAACTCCAGTCTGGTCCAGCTCTGGTCTTCATCTCCACCTTATTAGTGAGTCTGGTAGTCTGGACAAAGGGCCTCAGAGCAGTCGGTATGTGTCGTTATGCAAATCCTGGGCACAATCAGCACTTCAGTCAGAGTTTGGCTGCGTCTCTGAGGAAGCTATGATAACTGTGCCTTGACTTTTCTGCAATGTGAATCATGCACATTTTAAACAGTCAGAATAATGAGGCCTTTATATTTTTCTATAAACACAGCACACACAGACTTATCCTGCATTCATCTCTGCATGACGTGGAGAACAGTGCCATTCAGAGAGTCACGGGTCAGCTCCATGCAAAGGACACAAAACAACAGAGAGAGGTCAGAGGTGCAAATAAATGATTATGTTCCTTATCAATTATAGCATTAAAAAAAGCCTTGTTTTTTTCTCAAAATAAAACGTTTTACGCAATTATTAAGTTAAAACCATAGACTGTATATAGTTAAAACATGTAGATTTATTTCAGCTTTGAGTCTCAAAACTTTGCAGACGACAATCATTTTATGGCTAAGTTGTTAGTAATTTTCATCGTAATTTTGTTACTTTATTATGACAACAGCAGAGTTTAATAACTCAATAATCACAGATTTCCAAAATGAGGCCCGAGGGCAATAAATGGTCCTCAAACTGTGTGTTCTTGGCCTTTGACTTTCTGCTGCATTTTGTCCCCGTTATAACTTTTATTACTGGACATTTCACCATCAATAACAATCATGTCTAGTTTAATTTGATAAACAGTTAACAATAGCAGTAAAGAAAAGAAAAAACAAAGTGTAAATGCATGTGAAAAGCAGAAGCTAAGCAGGGCAGGGCCTGGTTAGTTCTGTGATGGGAGACCTCTGGGCGGCTGCGGCTGTAAAGTACCAAACTGTCATTGTGTCCTGAGGCAAGACACTTCTCCCACATTGCGTAGAGTGTGACTGGATGTTCGTGGTGGTCGGAGCAGCCGTTGGCACAGACTGGTTGCCTCGCGTCTGTAAGTCAGCTCTAGGGCAGCTGTGGCTACAGTAGTTTGTGAACAAATAATGACATAAAAACGCCATATAAAATGTATTATTCCTCTATTAGAAGTTTTGGACATCCCGAAGTTCTTGCTTGAAATTGAGTCTTTCAGCGAGAGGTTTTTAGATTCATTTTGCATTTGTTCCTGTACAAATTAGAAATATTAATTATACGTGTATTTTTCCGTTTGTAAATGTATTTAATAGTAAGTGACACTGGAGCGCCTGGCGGAAACTTACGCAGACGCAGAGAAGATGCCAACAAACATTTACAACCAGGAAAGCCCTAAGCACAGACCTCAATCAAAAATGAATGAATAACAGTTTCAGTTCCACTGTTACACAGGGTTTTTTTTTTAACTTGATCTCGAGCCATTAAAGAGCTTGTACTTTTTTCTCAACTCTTTGAAGACAGTATATTGGTGACCCCCTGATGCACTCATCCCCAGATCTGTGACAGAGGCGGCAGAGGCGCTGCAGAGTTCAGTGTCCGTCCGAACGGTCCGGTCTCTTCGGTTCTCGCGAGGGGCTTCTGGGTAATGTAGTCTCCATCGCTAACAGCCTCGTGAGGTTTGGCACAGATTAGTGAGTAAACATGCTTCGTAAAGTGATTTCTTGTTACTAATAAAACACAGACGGCCCTGTTTGAAGCAGTGACTCTTGGCCATGGCCTGTCACCTGTTGCTTCCATCCTTCTGAGCTCTTGTGTCGTTGCTCATCTGAACTTGTCTTCCCATGATCCTTTGCGCCGCTCCGACAGCAGTGCGCAGACGCTGGTCTCCAGCGGATGGACACTCCAGAGGAAAATGATTAGCCGTGGGCAGGTTTCTCCATGAAATATGACTTCTTTTACCAACTACTCGCTGGAAGATACTGAAGTGTGTTTGTTTTGAGAGTGTAGACAGGATGCCGCGGGACAGGACCCCCCTGATCCAGAAGATCGCCAAACAGGCTTTTGTGTGCTTCAAACACTGTCTGACCCAGGCTGTCCCAGACCAGCCGCTCCCAGACCAGCACCTCATCTCCCTCGTCACGGCGCTCCGAGCCACGGATCTCAAGTTAGTCCCACGGAAGAGCAGCCGTCCTGAGGAAGGGGCCCAGAGCCCCCCCGTCACATACATGCACATCTGTGAGACCCCCGAGTTCAGCATGGGCGTGTTCCTGCTCCGAGCGGGCTCCTCGATCCCTCTGCACGACCACCCGGGAATGAACGGCATGATCAAGGTACACACCGTGGCTTTTCCCCGTTATTATTATAGATCCATGGCTTTTCCACTGAACAAACTAAAGTTTTCATTTTGTCCAATTAAATCCATGATACCAGAGACACGCACTGTAGTAACACTGTAATAACACTTTAGTGAGCTAGTATTAAGTGTAATAACACTTTAGTGAGCTGGTAATAAGTGTAATAACACTTTAGTGAGCCTGGTAATAAGTGTAATAACACTTTAGTGAGCTGGTAATAAGTGTAATAACACTTTAGTGAGCTGGTAATAAGTGTAATAACACTTTAGTGAGCTGATAATAAGTGTAATAACACTTTAGTGAGCTAGTATTAAGTGTAATAACACTTTAGTGAGCTAGTATTAAGTGTAATAACACTTTAGTGAGCCTGGTAATAAGTGTAATAACACTTTAGTGAGCTGGTTATAAGTGTAATAACACTTTAGTGAGCTGGTAATAAGTGTAATAACACTTTAGTGAGCTGGTAATAAGTGTAATAACACTTTAGTGAGCTGGTAATAAGTGTAATAACACTTTAGTGAGCTGATAATAAGTGTAATAACACTTTAGTGAGCTGGTTATAAGTGTAATAACACTTTAGTGAGCTGGTTATAAGTGTAATAACACTTTAGTGAGCTGGTAATAAGTGTAATAACACTTTAGTGAGCTGATAATAAGTGTAATAACACTTATTAGCCGTAGCCGGTGTTACAGAGAGTCCATGGACAGATTTATAGCTGATGAGGAGCCTGCAGACTTTGACCTCTGACACTGATGAGGCGCTAACTACATCAGGAAACACGTTTATTATCTCATCATCATATGACCCTGGTTTTAGAAGCAGCTGTAATGCAAATGAAAAACAGTATGTTCTTATGTTGTGCACAGTTCCAGCTGAGGTTGTTCAGAAGTTTGATTTGATACATTTTGTTTGCGATAAAGCTTTTAAAACAACAGCAGCAGCTCAGCCACGGCTCTGCCCTGCATCTCCTGTGGAGCTGCTTTTTGCTCCTTCTCATCAATGTTCTTGTGCAGGAAAAGTCATATATTCATGATGAATGACCTGTGAGTCTCCTGTGAAAACATGGGCACTTTTTATACTTGGCTCTGGCATTAACAGCTCCACTGCTCACACTTTTGTTGGCCCTAAGCAAACCTGTGCCTGTATTCCTTTTAGGAACATGCGCTCTGACCTCACACTGCATTTACTGAAAATAAAACAAAAAAACAATTGGAAATAATTTAGGACCAATAGAGATTTAGCCCGGTCGTACCACACCATAGTACAAATTACATTTCGTACTAAGGTCTGGAGGTCCATTGACTCTGTTTACAGGTGGGAGACTAGTGTCTCCCAATATGGATAAAACATGGACATGGATTTTCACGTGGATGGCGTGACCATAGAACGATAGAACCTGGAAGTGCGGAGGAACGAGACTTTCTTTTGGATGGCTGTCTCGCTGTGTAAGCAGTAACCGGTGACGAAGACGAGGAAGTTTCAGGTTGTCCTCCGCCACTTGTTGTGCTAACTCAGCTGTCTATGCTAACGGAGACCTGTAGATTTCTCAAGAAGGTGGGGGCCAGTGGTCCGCTGTGATTGGTCACAATCTGAGACCCGAAACACATTCTCTTCCTTGTTTCATCAAAACTCGATCTAAAATATAATGTGACGCCAGCACAAACCTGAGCTACTTTTTCGTCAAAAGGACGTATATCCCAATGCCCTACATGGACATGGATAACATTTTCGTAATGAATACGAAAATAAAGTCAGTTAGTGCAGCTTTAAGACATTTTTTGCTCTTCATATGAAATGGCCCACTCAATAGTTCAAACTTTACTCAGGCTGGATTTGTATTTTAAAAAACAAAAAGTTAATAATTGTATACCGCTTTGCTGCAATCACAGCTACAACTAAAAAACAACTCAAGATTTGTCAGATAAGATAGAGAGGTTCAAGTCTTTCTACAGACTTTCACTTGGATTCAGGTCTAGAATTTGACTGGGAGATATATATTTTTGTTTTAACCCATTCGTGGCATGAATTAAAACAAAACATCCACCTCAACCTCCAACCATTCAAGACTGACCTGTAATCTGCTCCACCCACCTTTCTATCAACTCTGACTCTCTTCTGTGTCAGCTGATGGAGAATAGCAGCTCCACAACATGATGCTGCCACCACTACATTTGTCACTGGGACAGTTTTAAGCACAGAAAGTACACGTGCAGAAGAAACCACTGTGACTTAATACCCTTTAAACTTCTCCCCATCATCCCTGACCTCTGTGGGGTGGTCCTTGACCTGGTGCTGTTTAGTGACCACTGGTACTGGTGGAGACATAGGTACTGGTGGTGGCATGAGGGGATGGGCTGCAGCAGGTAGTCTGACTGAATTTCCACAGGCTGCATTTGTACTGAGACTAGATTATACACAAGAAGGCTCTATAGTTAATTATTAGAACAAGGTGTGAGCATTCAGCAGCCCTGAGCACGTTTTCAGTTTGTTTGTTTTTTATTACAAAATCATTTTAATTTCACTGTTGTGGTTACTTTGTTGTGGTTGTAGAGGCGAAGATGTTGCATAGATCGCCTCTTGGCTGCTGAGGTTTTAAGGGTTTCCCAAACTCGTGTCTCCACAAACCACAGTCCAAATAGTGTATTAGAGGTTTCTTTATCGGCCCCTATGACAGTAATCCACATAAACATAATACATTCCAGTGATTGACACAGTAAGAAACATTTTACCTCCAAACCTATCAGCACCTGTGCCCTTGTTATAGGAGAATGGGCTCAGGTCACATAACAGCCACAGCGCCACCTTGTGGAAAGGTACATTTTGGCTCCTAAAAAACTAACATTTTTGTGGTTGCATGTCAACATTTGCAAAAGTTCAAGTTGTATTTTTACAATTTGTCTGTAGGTTTGTTTTGTCATCATGTTTTAGTCATTTCAAAATAAAATCTTTACACATGTGTTTTAAAAATCCTAAAAAAGAATGATGGAACTTCAGATACTCCACTGTTTGCCTTAATACCCACTGCTCTGTCCTGAGGCTAGTTTAGAACGGCACATTTATGAACATTTACAGGTCACATGGAGTGCTGTGACCTGTGTCTGTGACCTGTGTCTGTGTTCAGGTGCTGTGACCTGTGTCTGTGACCTGTGTCTGTGACCTGTGTCTGTGACCTGTGTCTGTGACCTGTGTCTGTGACCTGTGTCTGTGACCTGTGTCTGTGTTCAGGTGCTGTGACCTGTGTCTGTGTTCAGGTGCTGTGACCTGTGTCTGTGACCTGTGTCTGTGACCTGTGTCTGTGACCTGTGTCTGTGTTCAGGTGCTGTGACCTGTGTCTGTGTTCAGGTGCTGTGACCTGTGTCTGTGTTCAGGTGCTGTGACCTGTGTCTGTGTTCAGGTGCTGTGACCTGTGTCTGTGTTCAGGTGCTGTGACCTGTGTCTGTGTTCAGGTGCTGTGACCTGTGTCTGTGTTCAGGTGCTGTGACCTGTGTCTGTGTTCAGGTGCTGTGACCTGTGTCTGTGTTCAGGTGCTGTATGGGAAGCTGAACGTTCGCTGCTTTGACAAACTGGACTCCGATGGGACGACCCCCCCTGAGTTTGATCCAGCCTTGCCCCCCTCTCAGGTCCCGTCTCTGTGCCGCTCAACGCTGCGCTGTGTCTCTGAGTACTCTGCCGACAGCGCCCCGTGCCTCCTCACTCCACAGCGGGACAACCTGCACCAGATTGAGGCGTTGGGGGGCCCCGCCGCCTTCCTGGACATCTTGGCCCCCCCTTATGACCCTGATAACAACCGAGACTGTCACTACTACAGAGTCCTGCAGCCCTCAGCTCCAGGCTCTGAGAGTCCAGAGGAGACGTGGCTTTTAGAGATCCCTCAGCCTGAGGACTTCTGGTGTGGGGGCCAGGCGTACCCAGGGCCCCCAGTGTCCATGTGATGACGGACTTGGATGTTTAGATTCAGATTCAGATTCAGTTTATTTGCCATTTGCAGTAAAAAAAACCACAATGGAATACATTAGCAAAAGTCTCCAGTGTTCACAGACAAATACAGACAATAAAAGACAGAAATAAAACAGTAAACAAATGTCACTGTGAAATGGATCGACTAAAACAGTTTCAAAACAAGTGCAAATCATTAAAGTGCTCTGTTCACACTGATAACAGCTTGTGGATAAAAACTGTTAGCGTAACGAGATGTCCTGCATCTCAGAGAGCGATATCTTCTGCCAGAGGGAAGAAGCTGGAACATGGCTTTCCCAGGGTGGCCAGAAGAGTCATTAACAATCCTAAGAGCTTTGTTTAAAAGTGTGGATTTATAAAGAACCTCCAGAACAGGAAGCTCACAGCCCACGGTCCTCTTTGCAGAGCGGAGCACCTTGTTTAAAGCTCTCTTTTCTTTATCTGTGATGTTTCCAAACCACACAGACACAGAACCAACAAGTAAACTCTCAATGGTGCAGCAGTAAAAGTTAAGCACAATCTTAGAGTTAGTGGTAAATTCTCTAAGTTTACGCAGAAAGTAGAGACGCTGACGAGCTTTCTTAACGACTCGGTCAGTGTTTTTAACCCATTTCAGGTTAGACAGAGTTAAACCCAGAAACTTGCTCCTCTACGATATGCACCTGGGAGTTGTCAATAACAACAGGCAAATGAGAACTGTTGCGACTGAAGTCGTGACCAGTTCACATGTTTTGGATGCGTTCAACTGGTGGTTGTTAGTTTGACTCCACTGAACCACATTTTGTATCTCTGCTCTATAAGAGGATTCATCATTGTCACTGATGAGACCGATGATTGTGGTGTCATCAGCATATTTGATGATCAAGTTTGAGTCAGAGGAGGACACACAATCGTGAGTGTACAAAGTAAAAAGCAAAGGACTCAAAATACATCCCTGAGGAGAACCAGTGCTCACAGAAACAACATCAGAAAAACAGTCGTTGATTTTCACTCTCTGAGCGAAGACTAGTGTTTAAGACTGATATCAGAAAACTAATGTCACATTATACTTTTCCATTTTGTACATTGCACTGTTAGCGTTATATCAACAACAAATGTTTAAATAAGGGTGTGTCACCGCAAAATAGTTACTCACATTTTAGAACTACTGATTCATATGTTCTGTGTCAAATCTGTATGTTGTATGTTCCAACGATGCCTTTTCTGTGAAACACTTCATTTTCAGAGCAACAGTAGATGTTGGAAATTAAGGAGAAGTTCAGATCAAAAACTGGATTTGTTATGATTATGAATCAATAAATACTGTTTTACACCCTCTGGTGTCTGTGCCTCGTCTTAAATATGAATCATCACAAAACATGCATGAAAATCATGTCAAAATATATTACAAATTACAATTTTTATGCATCTGATTATTTTTGCTTTGTGTTATTCCTCTATACGTCACTGAACTCAATAATAACTACTTTCATAAACGTTTGTGTTAAATGCTGTCAATTTATGCCTTTTTCACTAAATGTTGAAATTAAATTTGTTTTCTGAAAATGATAAATAGATTAATAAGAGTCTTTAAATGTGGTGGAGTAGAATGACTCTAGGCCTGGTCCAAAACGTATTTTTTACAGTCTATGGAAGTGTCCGGTACACATGAATGTGAATATTTTCATGAAACTAGAGCGTTCACTTTTTCAAAACATTATAAAAACATGTTTTGACAAAGAGACGCCTGCGCCCTCTCCTCTCTCTCTTGCAGGCCTCTGCAGAGTGTGGCCTTAATGGTCAAGCCTCTGTCCTCCACTTGCGTAAAATGGGCGCAGACGCGTACGCGAGGCGTGCGTAGGATTGGCGCTAATGAAGCAATGACGCAGTGTTGAAAAACTGTATCTACAGAATAATGCTTCTTTAGGCGAAAGGACAATCACGGGAGGCCTCTGCAGACTGCACAGAGATGTCAGTCCTAAAGTTTCGTCAGGCCTGAAATAAGGATAAAGGACAAATAATTCAGACTTATTTCTTGATTTGTTTCATATGAGGCGCGTGTGAAGTCCACCTCAGGCCACGCACGTCACGCACTTTCTGAACGTTGAGGCCCAGAACCAGAAAGAGACATTTGCTGTAATAAGCCACTTCTCTAATGTGACAAAAACAGAGGCAGAATACAGCTTCAATCATAAGTTTTTAATTCACTGCACAGACACACGGCACAACTGATATTTACACATAGGTTACAAAATAAAGTACACTTTTGTACAATATAAAAATATATTCTTCTCTGGAACATGGTACAAGGCACTTCATCATAAAGTCTGTGCTCCCGTGGGCTACGAACAAAGCGCTGAGCCAGACGCAGATGCGGCGGAGGACTTCCGCTCCTTCTGCCGCAGGTGGATCTTCGTGTGCCGCTTTCTCTCGTCACTGCGCGCAAACTTACGTCCGCAGAAGTCGCAGGCAAAGGGCTTCTCGCCCGTGTGCGTGCGGATGTGCGTGGTCAGGTGGTCGCTGCGGCTGAAGTTGCGCATACAGATGCGGCACTGGAAGGGCTTGTGTCCGGTGTGGATGCGTATGTGACGCGTGAGTTCATCTGAGCGAGAGAAGCGGCGGTCACAACCCTCTGCCGGGCACGGGTATGGCCTCTCGTGCACCGGGGTTTTGCTGGGGCGGTTCGGGTATTTCCGGGGCCGCAGAATGGGCCGAAGGGGCAGGTTCTGTGGGCTGTACGCGGAGGGCAGTCGGGAGCCTGCCTCCAGGCCTGCAGGGGCCCCGAGGGTGAAGTTCCTGATGGTGTTCAACGGGGTCAGTGGCGGTGGGACGCGAAACGTGTCTAACGGACACGGGCCAAAGGGCTTCCTCTCAGGGGCCTCTCTCTGACACGCGGGTTGGAAGAAGCCCGTGTAGTCCGGGAGGAGAGGGAACAGCCCTGGATCTCCAGCCCCGGGCTTTGGGGAAGAGTAGGAGGGTGGTGGGTAAGACATGGGCCCGGAGGGCGCCAGGAAAGCTGACGGGTCCTGAAACTCTCCACAGGTGGACGTGTACGGTGGCGGTGGGGAGTACATCTGCTCCTCGGTCTGTGCCATGCAGCTCTGTGCACGGGATAAGTGACCGGGAGAGCGGGAGGATGAAGAGGAGCATGAAGAGGAGGGGGGCGGAGGCTGCGCCACGTTGAAGATCCCTGACACGATGTTAATGACCCCCTCGGGGCTCCAGGAGCCCGGGTACTGGGAGTCTATGGAGAACTTGCCCATGTAGGTGAACGTCTGACGGGGACCCGGGGCCATAGCAGGAGCCAAGCCGCAGTAGGACAGTCTCTCCGCGGAGTGGTCCAGCACCGGTTCTGTACAAGACAGAGTTCAGAAAGTTCAACACACACTTTTCTAACAGAATACCCATACTGACACACACACATAAATAACACACATATATAACACATAATGAGCCTAAGTCAGAGTCAACAATCGTTTTTTAATTTACGGGGTTGACATCATGCGCCTCTTACCTGAGGTCGCTGGATCGTAGTGGCCCAACTCGCCACTGAAAGGGGCGGAGGCGTGGAGGGTGCTGGAGATGTCTTCCATGGTGTACATGCTCTCAGGCCCCGGGTGTCCGTAGCCCCCCAGGCTCACAGACACTTTGTCCAGGGTCTTTGCGGTCATGTCCGCTGCCCGCAGGTGCAGAGGTCTACAGGCGTCTGCGCACGGTGACAGTGAGAGAAGGAGCAGGGCCCGCGTCTCTCTTTGGTTTTAAGGGAATCCTTTTGAACATGGTGACACGTCATTGCCCTTATATAGCATGGGCGTGGCGAGAATAGACGCTCATAGCAGAAGCGCTCCAGCCGCTCATTGGCTGGATGTCTGTGTGACGTCACCCTATATCAGAAGGAGGTTTTCAAAGACCTGCTTCAGACCGTGTGCAGGCTTCAAACAGTCCAGCTCTCCCGGGTCACACAAGCCCTATGCACATAAACAATCAAAAATAGCACTGGCCTTACCGGAGAGGTTCCGGGTTTGACCATATAAGGCCTACTCCGGTGTGTGAAGTTTAGCCTACGCTCCATTGCTCTATTGCTTTTTCCGGAAAGTGATGCTCGGAAAGTGTCGACCGCAGGCAAATGATGTGGAGCGGAATCTCTACATAGGAAAGTGCCCGCGCGTTCTCACTCCACGCGCAGAAATGACTCTTTCAGTCCAAAAAGATACCGTTTGAAACGGTTTATAGGCCATGGTTAACGGAGAGGACTGAAAAGAGCGTGCAGCCAAATGGAACAGAGACATGTTCTGAGTCTCAGCAGATCGGTCTAAAACACTGGACCTAACGTAAGGACCGCGTCTTGAACAATATCTATAGTTTACAACACTTGAATCATATATACAGAGCACTTGTCTGTGGCCCAGAAGTCTGTCCACAGAGAAGTGCGCCCTCCAGCGGTGCGTCAGGGGGCTCCTGGCACAGTGTGAAGTCCCCTCGTGGGAGGATGTGTTGACAAACAGAAATAAGGTGGATTTTGTTTCCACTAATTGTTTTCACGCATCTGTTGTGTGTAAAATATTCATGTTTAGATAACTACAAAAGAACAGTTCAGTTCACTTATCTGTTTTTATATAAACTATTCAACAACATGATGAAGATGAGGGTTTAATCTATATCACAAACACACAATGTTTTAAGATATTTATGATTCAAATTGTAAGTAGCATCGCGTATACGTTTCAGCCAGAACTGTCCCAATGGTCACACCATCCGAGCATCCATCAGCCGCTCGCCTACACACCCGCCAATAACCAACACGCGCCTCACCACGGGAGGAAGAGGAGGAGAGGGGAGGAGGAGGAGAGGGGAGGAAGAGGAGGAGAGGGGAGGAGGAGGAGGAGAGGGGAGGAAGAGGAGGAGAAGGGAGGAAGAGGAGGAGAAGGGAGGAGGAAGAGGAGAGGGGAGGAGGAGAGGGGAGGAAGAGGAGAGGAGGAGGAGAGGGGAGGGGAAGAGGAGGAGGAGAGGGGGGAGGAGAGGGAGGAGAGAGGAGGAGGGAAGAGGAGGAGGAGGAGAGGGGAGGAGGAGGAGGAGAGGGGGAGGAAGAGGAGGAGGAGGAGAGGGGGAGGAGGAGGAGGGGGGAGGAAGAGGAGGAGAGGGGAGGAGGAGGAGAGGGGAGGAAGAGGAGGAGAGGGAGGAGGAGGAGGAGGAGAGGGGAGGAGGAGGAGCAGGGGGGAGGACTAGGGGAGGAAGAGGAGGAGAGGGGAGGAGAGGAGGAGGAGGAGGAGGGAAGAGGAGGAGGAGGAGAGGGGAGGAAGAGGAGGAGGAGGAGAGGGGAGGAGGAGGAGGAGGGGGGAGGAAGAGGAGGAGAGGGGAGGAGGAGGAGGAGGGGGGAGGAAGAGAGAGGAGAGGGGAGGAGGAGGAGAGGGGAGGAAGAGGAGGAGAGGGGAGGAAGAGGAGGAGAGGAGGAGGAGAGGAGATGGGGAGGAGGAGGAGCAGGGGGGAGGACTAGGAGAGGAAGAGGAGGAGAGAGGAGGAGGGAAGAGGAGGAGGAGGAGAGGGGAGGAGGAGGGAGCAGGGGGGGAGGACTAGGGGAGGAAGAGGAGGAGAGGGGGAAGAGGAGGAGGAGGAGAGGGGAGGAGGAGGAGCAGGGGGGAGGACTAGGGGAGGAAGAGGAGGAGAGGGGAGAAGAGAGGAGGGGGAGGAGGGAAGAGGAGGAGGAGGGAGGGGAGGAGGAGGTGAGGGGAGGAGGAGGAGCAGGGGGGAGGACTAGGGGAGGAAGAGGAGGAGGGGGGGGAAGAGGAGGAGGAGGAGAGGGGAGGAGGAGGAGCAGGGGGGAGGACTAGGGGAGGAAGAGGAGGAGAGGGGAGGAGGAGGAGCAGGGGGGAGGACTAGGGAGGAAGAGGAGGAGAGGGGAGGAGGAGAGGGGAGGAAGAGGAGGAGAGGGGGAGGACAAGGGGAGGAAGAGGAGGAGGAGAGGGGAGGAAGAGGAGGAGAGGGGAGGAGAGGGGAGGAAGAGGAGGAGAGGAGAGGAGGAGAGGGGAGGAGGAGAGGGGAGGAAGAGGAGCAGAGGGGAGGACAAGGGGAGGAAGAGAGGGGAGGAGGAGGAGGAGAGGGGAGGAGGAGGAGGAGGAGGGGGAGGAAGAGGAGCAGAGGGGAGGACAAGGGGAGGAAGAGGAAGAGAGGGGAGGAGGAGGAGGACAAGGGGAGGAAGAGGAAGAGAGGGGAGGAGGAGGAGGAGAGGGGAGGAGGAGGAGGAGAGGGGAGGAGGAGGAGCAGAGGGGAGGACAAGGGGAGGAAGAGGAAGAGAGGGGAGGAGGAGGAGGAGAGGGGAGGAGGAGGAGCAGTTAATCAGTTCTTACAGTGTAATCATGTGACATCACTCGTGGTTCTTTGTGGGCCGTCCTCCTGGAGCAGGAGACTCTGAGAGAGTAAAGTATGTCCTCATTTCAATCCTGAAAAACAAAGACAGAGACATAGTAACGATGTGGGTCCATTATCGAGCCGCACATTCATAAAACATGAACGCCATGTTTCCTGAAGTGGGCAGAGTGTGAAGCACAGACTGAAGCACTGACATTACACTGCAGCGGCCCAGCTAATGTCCTGCTCAAAGGCACTTCAGCAGCACTCTCTGCACCACTGCCTCTGGAACACACCAAACCCATTTCCACATGAGCCATGAAGAAGACCGACTCTTTCTACTCACTCACAAACTTTTATGAAATATGTTTTCTCTTTGTCCCACTGTGAGGGTCAGAGGTCAGTGATCGGAGAGTTGTATTTACTGTTTGTCCAAACACAAACGATGTCCATATTAACTTTAAACACATGGCGGATGTCTTCCTGAGGGCTGCTGTGTCCTGAGGCTTTGGAGGAGAATCTGAAACACCATCATTAGATGCTGTGAAGTCGGCCTCGTGCAGTTGGAGGCAGATAAGACTGGAATAAGACTGGACTTGTGAGAGAGTGTTGTGCTGACGAGGCTGAGGGCAGAGAATGTGAGCTGAACAGTGTGAACCACACATGAACAAAAGCTTCCACCACAAAAGACTCTCAGATCCACAGCACAGCGCCTCAAAAGCTCCATGCTCTTCGGGTCCATAAGAGGAATGTGTCCGCCTCCACACTAGCATCAGGAAGCACTGGGCGCTGGGACAGCAGTGCTCGCCCACGGACACAAACATGCAGCACAGTGCCCAGAGGACGGGCCCCGCCAGGGTCTTCCTCAGCAGCTGTCTCTGCAGACCCTTCCTCAGATTGTTTGTGACGATTCAAAGGAAAAGTTTTTCATTCTAAGTCACAAATGCAGCTCTGTAATAAGTACTTTCACACAAACTCCCACAGTGAGTCCCAGCTGCACACAGCTGAGCTCCACAGACCCTCCAACTCCGAGCCTAAACTAAACACTTTCAACTCAAATATTTCTATGGGATCTTTACTGAATACATCAAATGGATAAAAATACAAAGCAAATGTGCTTTATTTCTTACTCACCGTTAAATCAATATGTTCCTCTCTTCACGTGTGGCCATGAGCGTTGGATAAAGGCTGGAGTAAGAATGCAAACACAGGTGGCAGCTCAGTCACACAGAAGGAGCTCAGCGTAAAGCCACTGCTCCTCTATGTCCACATATCTGTTTTGAATCCCCCCTGGAGGCCAACCTGGACATGTCCCACCTGTGGGAGACCCTGGAAGACCCAGGACACACTGGAAGGCCCAGGACACACTGGAAGGCCCAGGACACACTGGAAGGCCCAGGACACACTGGAAGGCCCAGGACACACTGGAAGGCCCAGGACACACTGGAAGGCCCAGGACACACTGGAAGGCCCAGGACACACTGGAAGACTCAGGACACACTGGAAGACTCAGGACACACTGGAAGACCCAGGACACACTGGAAGGCCCAGGACACACTGGAAGGCCCAGGACACACTGGAAGGCCCAGGACACACTGGAAGACTCAGGACACACTGGAAGACTCAGGACACACTGGAAGACTCAGGACACACTGGAAGACTCAGGACACACTGGAAGGCCCAGGACACACTGGAAGGCCCAGGACACACTGGAAGACTCAGGACACACTGGAAGACTCAGGACACACTGGAAGACTCAGGACACACTGGAAGACTCAGGACACACTGGAAGACTCAGGACACACTGGAAGGCCCAGGACACACTGGAAGACTCAGGACACACTGGAAGACTCAGGACACACTGGAGGGACTGTGTCTCTCAGATGGATTCTCCTGAATGAGCTGGAAGTATGTCACAAACAGAGAAGTTTGGGAATCTCTGCCTCAACAGGTGGATTATTCAGCTGTGGCTTATGTTTAGTTTATCAAATTTAATTATAAAACAATTGCTAAAATTTGGCAAAATGTCTTAGTTTGAGCACATTCTGACTGCCTGGCTCTGGATATTTTAATGTGTGGATGATTAAAATGAAGTCCCCAAGTGTTGTTTTTGTTTTTCCCAAGAAAACAAGATCTGCCAATGGGACAAAGAAAAATGATCTTGTTTTAAAAAGATACGAGAAATGTCTCCTTTGGAATGAGGAAAAAAAAGCAACTGTTCTTGAAATAAGACTAAATGTCCTGGTCCCAAAACTGGTTTTAAGACAGTCAGAAAGTACTCAAATAAAATAAAATAAAACCACTTGATTAAAGACACTATTACCTC